TCTCTTTGCAGCACCTGAGATCTTGTCTGATTTCCTTCACTGTGTGACTTATTTCAGTTTCCGAGCTACTCACTTTTGTTAGCCAATCCCAGTGAGGGAGGCAGGACTTTAACATATGTGTATCAAAGGGTTGAACCCAAATCAAAAAGGAAAGAAACACATATACTGTTGCGCTGCAATTATTCTCAAAAAATGAATGAATGAAAATAAAATGTATGGAGAGTTCAGAGTTCAAGTTCAGAGTGTTAATCATGTGGTTTTCCAGAACTGAAGGCATTCAGAGGCCCATTTAGTTCTTCAGCCATGCCGTGCTAGAACAGATCCGCTCTTCCATGTTGCAGAATTACCCCTCAATTCTACCTTGCAAAGGTGAAAAGACAAATATGTAGGGTTACACAACAGGTGATTTCCAGCCAATCAGATTGATGGAGGTTCTCAAAAATTCTGGTAATAATATGTGAGTATAGCTATTTCCTGTTCAGACATCTGCATCTGTAACTATGATTTATTGAGAGTGATTGAGTCCATTTTCCATATTCCTCGTTTCTGCGGCTTGTCATTCGTCCGTCCAGCCCTCCCCTCCACATTCTTCCATCCGCCTCCTTGCTTCTGCACAAGCGAGTTTGTTCTTTTACGACGCAGTCGGGCAAACTAAAGGGACGAAGAGCCTCGCTCCCAGGGGGGAAACAGCTGGGGACCCCCTGTAACCTGCTTTTGCTGAAAGATGAGCAGCAGAAAGCAAAAAAAGTGCTAACACCTGGACAGCCGCCCATCACTTAAGTGGGTGAGATGCTTATTAGGTAAGTGCATAACCACATGCCGGAATGATAATTTTCTCCGTCCCACCAAATGACACAACTGTTTGTAATGTACTTTATAAAACATTGAACTGTAATGGACATCTTTGAATAAAATCCAACTGAAGGCCTAAATTCAAAGGACAAGAAAATAAATAAAGTCATTATAAAAGTGCATTATTCACACCAATGTTTCTCAACCTGGGGTTCAGACAGGAAAGATAAGAGGCGATGTGCTGATATTTGCCTACTTCTAGCCCTTTAAAAATTTGATTTACACATGTCCAACTAGAATCATAAAAACAACCCTTACTAGATAATTTGGTCTATACAGATACAGGTTTTTGTATACAAACAAAAAACATCATATTGGGCTTAAATAAGAAAATATAAAATAATATATAAACTAGTATCTAAAGTATGTTTCCAAAAAAGTTCACGATAACTCTTTTCAACACAAACGTTGGTCTCCTTGTTGTAAGTCCTGCATTTTTTGCCAGCAGCAAACAATTATCAAATAACCGAATGGATTGCCTCAATCATAAGAAGATATTGCCGAATTACGTGGTTTAGGTGCAACCACATTCTGCATTTATATCTGCTTTAAAATTACTATTAATTCCCATTTATCTATCGGAAAATGTCTACATAGGTCCAGACAAGACTTTCTGTTCATTGTAATGTATATTTCCCCAACCTTAACCAAATGCTCAAGTACTTTAAGAACCTTTTAGGATAAAATCTCATGGATTGAAAAACGCTGACAGACACAGCATCGTCTAACCACTTCATTGGAACAAACCGGAGAGACTGAGAACGGACTGCACTAATCAGGATCAAGATTTAAGCAATCCGTTATCCTGAGTTAATTTTTCACACAGCATAGACAAACCTGAGCAATATTTTCATTGCGTTAACCAAAGCTTTTAATATCAAGTCCAGAGCCATGGCCTTTAAAGCACGAGCTGCTTTCTGAAAAGATCACAGTTTGACTTAATACAATATGGTTCATCACAGAAATGTTTGTTTTTCCTACGCCCTCCTGTCCGTGTTTCCAACATTTTTTTTTCTCCATCTTTGTTCTCCCAAGAAAACATTGGAAATTACAGAGTTAAAAGTTTTGTTCCATTGGTCACTCAGATTTTTCATAGCTGTGCGATTACTTAAATTGGATCACACTTATGTGTGAGTAGATTTGTTTAGCGCGTCAAACATAATGTTCTGTCGAAGACAACTGATCAGTCGACTAATTACTGGTAGCTCTTTCAAGGCAATGTTTGCTAGGAATGGCTTTTTAGGAATCAAAGCCTTTGTGTACAGTTTTAGAGCAAATGCACATGATTTTGTAATCTTTCATTTAATCCCCATTACGTTTTAGTGCTCAATTATCAGCTCCACAACAACATGTTTGGTCAAGACTATACAGAAGAAGGAAGTTTATTGCCCTAGATCTGTACCCTCACATAAGGAGTGTGTCTAGAGGAAATGCTGAAAGAAAGCTCATGTTTTAGGATCCCCTTTTGGCCTTTTTTAACCTGCATGAAGTTGAGCTATTTGAAAACATCAGTTGTGCTAAACTTTCCCACTTCATTCAAACCCATTTAATTCCAAACAACAGTTTTGTGTTGCGTTTAGAAACACTGCAACTTCTGGTTGTGTATAGCTTGTTCTTTACGTCATAACTTTGGATTTTTTAAACATGGCAATCCGCAAAACTAAGCTTTAGTCTATTAATGGAGCCCAGAGGCTCTTCTTTTTGGCTGCAGAATCTTGCCTACATCTGGTAATTTATAATGCATAATTCCCGAATATAACTTATAAGATCTGTGTGTTCTAAGATTTTGCCGGAATACTTTTTCTAAACATGCCCAAACTCGACAAAAAGGAAGGCTGCTCACTGCCTGTCAACTGAATAGGAACACAGTAAAGTTATTGTTGAATGGCCACGAGTTAATTCGGTGTTGTTTGCTGCAAGAATCCGATCAGAGCTGGAGGTCCGATCATGGAATGATGAGGTGGCGCTTTACTCCCTTTCTTCTTCCTCTTCGTCTTCTCTGCTTTGCTTTCTCCTTCCTGAAATACAGATTGCATTCCAGCCTCTTCCCTGTGAAAAAAAAGGAACAGGCAGACACATGGATAATGTGAAGGTATCTGCAAGTGTGTATGTGTGTATGCGTGTGTATGCGTGTGTGTGTGTGTGTGTGTGTGTGTGTGTGTGTGTGTGTGTGTGTGTGTGTGTGTGTGTGTGTGTGTGTGTGTGTGTGTGTGTGTGTGTTAGAGAGAAAGAGAGGAGGAGGGAATTAGAGGCTTGCTTGGCCAGCTCCAGAGTGTGCAACGTGTCTGCTGCTGCTGGATCAGATGGCAGAAAGAGCTGCGTCTCCCTGCAGCTCTTTCTGCTCCATAATGTCTGCTTTCTGCTTAATTACAGCTCACCTGCAGCCCGGCCGGCGCTGCACACAGCCATCTCATGAGGAGGGCGGGGGGCAAGGGGGGGTAACCAGAGGAATAGCCCGTGTACACCTTTATTTGGACTGGGGGACGCTAAAAAAGGCTTTTATTATTTAGAGCCAATAACAACCATAATGTCGGCAAACCCCGCAATTGCGCAGGTATTTCAAAAGAGGCTGTTCCGGCCGTTTGCAGTCGCTCGCTTGAAAAAAAAAATGCAAACATCTGGTTCACTCCTTAGAAATATGTTTTTTTTTTTACTCTCAGCCGCTTCGTTCTGTACGGTATTTATTCCTCTTTCCGTCAGTTAGATCCATCTATTGCTCTACGTTATTACGTAGAGACAAATTCACAGCACCGTAGAGTTCTTATTTCTATCCGTTTCCATCACAACAATGTAAATAAGGTGGTCATTTTTGTGGCCCGGGTCTCAGGAGGAAGCGTTTCAAACCTTATATTCGTGCATCTCTCAAAAGCAACACACATGAACACTGAGTCTTGCACTCTGGGAAAGTGAACCTGCCCAACTAACAATGCTATTTTAAGGCCACGCTGGCCACACACCCGGATCTCCTACACAGCAGTTGCATTGTGGGTAATGTAGGACGAGGAAGAGTGGATATAAACAAATCTGATGCATTCATTGGTGGTGCTTTTTCCTTTTTTTTTAATGTTGTGCATCTTTACTGTACTTTGCATTCCATTTACCTCATAAGTCAGAAGTTGGGAATGACGTCACTCCAGAGTTCAGCACATTCCTGTACATCAAGTTGGAAATTTTGCCTGGATCCTCGTTGACAATGCCAGTTTATAACATATATGCAAACAATGTACCAACATATCCACGGATAGAAGTTGGACTGTACTGTGTGTACGACTGTTTTAGTGAGACACAAATGAGACAAAAAGTCTAATAAAGTAAAGTAAAGCTTTTTCCTTCTGTTGACGCCATCTTTGATTTTTACCAAATTATCAATCAGAGGTCCGACTTCAGAAAGTGTTTCTAACATGCAACCAGGACACATAACCTGACGCAGAACTGATTCAGGTCACATGACCACAGGGTCAGCTGACATGCTAATATGGAACTGAGAGTTGATTCGGGAGAACTCAACAACACAAAGTACCTACAGTGGCGTTGTCTCACAGACATTCTCTGTTGACGTGTCACTAATTAAGATCTAAGTTGTCTGTGGAGCACAAATCTGTGACACTTTAAGCATAAATTCCCCACCACACTGACTTTCCCAAGTGAAATTAAGAGGGCACTCACCAATGCCTAAAACAAATGTTGTATCGTACTTTGATGAAACTGGACGACTCACAAAAGACAGATTTTTGAAAGAGGGCAGAGGCCATCCTATCCTTACCTTTACTCCCCTGGACGGATGATGCTCCAAAAAAGATGAATCCTACAATTCCCAAAATGCAACCTGATGGCGTCTTTTTACTGGACGCTCCCTTTGTGGTAAAGGCCTACTTCTTTCTAATGCACTGTGTTCGCACTCCAGCTTGTGCCCATAGTAAGTAAAGTTAACTGTCACTGCGGCCGAAGGGAGAAGACATTTTTGAGCTGCGGTGCCGCGGTTCCAACACAATGACAACCCTAAACATGAAACTAATTCATGTAAAGTTGTTTGGACACAAGTAGTGAGCCTTTCCCAACCCGGGGTTAAAAACTTTGATCACAAATTGATTTGCAATATAAAACCCAACTACAAGCTAAACCTGAACATGAAAGAAACACACTCCAAATAAAACTTGACCAATTCTTTACTGTAATTTTGCTTGTGAACTAGACCTCAAGCTGAAGCCAGGTCCCCAGGAGCACTGTGAAAAATCAAAGGGAATCAGGATGTAGACCAGAACCAGAAATATAAACCGTCCTCTGAACCCCTGGATGTCCTTTAGGATAAGGTTTTCTTGCTTGCCCGCCTCCCCACCCCCCTTCCAGCTCTGATCCCAGTTCCAACAGTTTGGCTGTGGAATTATAGAAGGAGGGAACTGTTGGGTTTTTTTCTTCTTCTTTTCTTCTGTTTTTTTTTGTGAAGGAGGGGTCCATTCTTCTTCTTCCCTAAACGTGCAGCAGCAGCAGCAGCGGCAGGGTAATGAGGGTGCGTCCCCAGTCCGTCCAGGCCCCCCCCAGCACCTCCCAGTTCTTCAGGCTCCCATATAAAAACCCCGTCAGAAAGTGAGTGTAGGCAGTAGGGAGTTTTCTGCTGGGGTCAGGAGGATTGTGAACAGACGAGCGGACCCTGCCCCAAAAACACCCCGTGTATGAGTGGAGTGTAGCAGCAAGAGAAAACATCCCCCAGCATTTTTTTTTCCTCACTCGCCTCAAAGAGTCTACATGTCTGGTGACATCTAGACATGTTCAGCTTTGTGGATTTGCGGCTCGCGCTGCTGCTCGGTGCAGCGGTGCTCTTGGTCAGGGCGCAGGGCGAGGACGACCGTAAGTCTCATCACTGTTTGCTGGAGCTTCTCAACCCATTTCTTTTTGTCTTCTTTTTTTGTTTTTTGCACTGGTTTTCGAAAGTGGACTTTCTCTTCGTGGGTGGACGGCTGCTGAGATCTTAGACAGGGACGAGAAGAGAGGGAGAAGTTTGAAGTAGAAGTGGAAACTTTGCTGCCTTTGTTTCCAACAGATAAATAGATGGTATATGGATGAGCTCCTGCAACTTGCAGTTTAAACAGTACAGGGTGTACGTAATGCATTGGGCATGTCAAGGAGGCCCCTCTCCCTCTCTACCCCTCTCTCTCTTTCTCCTTGTGTTTGTCTCAGTCTCTCGACCACCCCCCTCCCACCAGTGCATGCGGAGCGAGTTGCTGCAGGTTTTCCAGGCTTTTCTCCAGGCGAACCTTCTCCAATAGCAGAATTGCATTTTTATCCAATTTAGACAATAGCAGTAATTTCAGGTTAACATCTGCATTTTTTCTGAATTTGACACAGCCATAAATGTCTTGTGGCATTTTATCAACTCAACACTCTTAACCCCTCTACCTCTAAAGGTTAACCCTGGCCGGAAAATGTGGGACATTGAACAGTTGTGGATGTAAGACTGGAGAGTGGATAAAAAACATTTTATTTTAAGGAAGAAACCCCGTCCCCGCTGCGTCCAGCTGGCAGGACGAGGCAGTAAGGGGGAATTCTCCCTCAGGCCTGGAATGATGTGGCAGTCATCCACTGCCTAGAGCTTAGTGTCAAGTTGGCCAGGTGACCAAGTGGGAGAGTCGAATAAGGAGAGATTCGGGCCGCCAGAAACATTTGACCTTGGCAGCCCAATGATCCCCTTTCTGCCCTAGTTTGATAGTCTACAAAAGCTCATATGTAATTCCATAACAAATTTGGGTGTTGGTGCATTGGGGAGCACAAGAGCCGAAGTTGTGGTTAAGACACAACAGCGTTTTTTCCTCCTGAAAGAAGACAAAGAAACTCAGTTCAATTTTTCCAGATGTTCCAATTGTCTTGAAAGGACTCAGCTGCCTGTCTGTCTTCTGTTTGACCCCTTTGAACAGCCTCACAGCGCCACCCAGAGGCTCGAATTGGCACCTGCGTACACATCTGGCCGCCACGTCCCCCCACACCGCCTCCCTTTTTTTTCCCTCCCTCCTCCTCTTCATCTTTCCACCCATTTTTTCCGGTTTCCTCTAATTGCAAACACATGCGGCCATGTTTCCACCAGCTGCTGCCAAAGTCTGCCGCGCAGTCGGCTTGCTTTTCTCTCGAAGCTCAGCACTTTGCCCCGCTGTGGAACACTTCTAGCCCCTGCAGGGAGCCCCCTTTGAGTTCAGTTTTGCTTAGAAAATGCCACAGCAGCGGTGGCGGTGATGCAGCTGCAGGTTGGGGGAGAGATTAGTGTTTTTATTGTTGTTAAAGGGAATTGAAGTCACATGGGGACGCGTTTGGTCAGTCCATCTTTTTGCTGAGGATAAATGCGTCCACTAGAAGCACTCTCTCTGCCACGTCCCTCTGTCCTCCCTCTGGTCCCATTCTGAGGCCAACAGCTCCAAACCTTTCACAACACGCAGTTCTCCTGCTTGATATTTCTAGGTCACCATTTCCTATGTTTGCATTTTGCGTTTTATTGCTATGAGAGCTCCATGGAACAGTCAGTCAGACAGAACTGTCATCAAAAATTAACAATTGATTTTTATTTATTTTAACTTTAATTGTGTTAGTTATTATTCTATTATTCTAATTGTATATATACGTATTGTAATTTATTCTTAATGTATATGATATTGTTATTTTTGTAAGTTTTACTTTTTGTTAAGACACAACTCAAAGTTTCTAAAAAGTATAATAAAATATAGTGTTTTTGTTATCATGAAATCTAAAATAAAAATCAGCTGTTTTAAATGACCTCACCTACTCACATGTAGTCCCAGCGTGTCCAGCTATCTCACCTGTCTCGCTCTCTATCGCCCCCCATCAGGCACGGGCGGAAGCTGCACCTTGAACGGACAGGTGTTTGCTGACCGGGACGTGTGGAAGCCGGAGCCATGCCAGCTCTGTGTGTGCGACAATGGCGCGGTAATGTGCGATGAGGTCATCTGCGAGGACACAACTGACTGCCCCAACCCCTTCATTCCCCACGACGAGTGCTGCCCAATCTGCCCCAACGACGGTACTGCGCCCCCTTCACCTCATCTGTTCTCTTCTGTCTATCTTAACCAGGTGTTTCCGCTACATTGCATTCTGTGTCTCTGATGTCACCTGCGTTGAACTGTCTGTTCCTTGTTCTCCTTGTTTCCTTACAAAAACAAAACTAATCCAAGACATTTAAACACTTCTAGACCTTCCTTTCCTTCTTTCATATATTGCTCCAACAGGAACAATATTAACCCCACAGATGATAACACACACAATAACACACTATCTTGTACCTCGATCTTCGTGATCATACTTAAATTAAGGAGTTATTGTTAGGCTAAATCGAATTCCACCCTCAATGCTCAAACGGGACGGATAAGGTCTGTCCCAAGTGAGGCTTGGTCAAACTGTCCACAAGTTCGAAAGATTGTCCTCCCTCTGAAGGACTAAAACTCAAATTGTTCCTCACAAAAAAAGCGGACCAAGAAAATACAACCTTGTTCTTTACAAATATAACCATACAAATGCACACACACATTCTCATCTAGCACCACAGGCTCACTCCCCCATCTTGCTATCTGTCATTGCCACTTTTGCTTATGTTTTATACAATTATTATAATTTGTCTCCTCTCTCTGCAGGCTTCCAGGAGCCCCAGGTTGAGGTAAATAATTATTATTGCATATATCATCAACAATTTAATGATCCCTATACATTTGAACTAATATATATTTCAAAGAAATACGGAATCAGTTTTATGTACCTGTTGACATTAGAATGTATCATTTATGAGTAGGACATTAGATAATCTAGTGGAAGATGACAAAATGTATTGTTAATGCATAAATGTCAGATTGTACCTTCAACTAATTAGCATCTGTGGTACGTGTATTAATTAGATCAGATACATTAAAACATCCAGTGAATTCTATTCAGATAGATTAATTACATAATTCTGTTTGATCGTAAACTGTTGTCTTTTAAAAAAAATGTTTTTTTTACTCACAGGGACCCGTGGGAGAACGGGGACCCAAGGGAGAAAGGGTAGGTTCACACAATTGTCAATTCTCTCTTTCTTGTCACCATGTGCTGCGTTCAGTGCCTGTCACACAGTAGATTCCTGTGAATATATTTTGAGATGGATCTGGCATTTAGATAGTTTGCTATCAAAGTAACTACTGACATCAGATACAAGGAATGATGTAAAAATACCTTGAAAAAAAACACTATTACAGTAAAGCATATACATCCTGAAATGTGCACCTCTGAATATGAGCAACATATCTTGTGTCTGGAAACCATTATGACACAACAACTGAACTGAGGAGCTGGGAAAAATATCCAGAGGTCAGGTTGAGACGCGTAGGTAGTGAGGAGGAAGTTGACACTTTGCTTGGTCAAAGGAATGTTAAAAACTGTGAAAAAGTGTAATTCCATCTAAATTGAGATGTACAAATGATTTGGTATTGCTTTTGCATTGGTGGTGCCAATAACCTAAATGGACAATTCATTTTTTTTTTTTTTTTTTTTCAACGGATCTTTTTAATCATAATAGGAATTGGTTCAGGGTGCTGCAAAGACATCTCTGTCACCAAAACCAAACCCTACAGCTAATAATAATTCGTTATTACAATATAATATCACATTTCATCTAATTATGACTTTTCAGTAATGCTTTTAATAATGCATTTATGGTGTTATGTAATAGGTAGAAGATATTTGGATAATTTATTTTGAAGTTTGTTTTATAAAATGTGTAGACTCCTATAAAAGCAGTTCTTACCCAAATCACATGACCACCACTCCATTCTTGGTTAGTGATCTAGTCAGTCTCCCAGGGGAATAAACCGCACATCCTCCACGTTTAATGCTGCTGTCACCAGTATAGGGAGCCGGTGAGCCTGCCACGACACACATAGGAAATCAAAGGTGACACACAACGATCTGTTCTGACAATATAATAAGAGTCCACGCAGTCATGTGAATAAATCAACCCCTAACGTTTTGCTCTGTTTAAAATCCAGGCAGACGTCTGTTCAGATCCTGACCCCTTCTTTTTTCTTTCTTTATCTCTTGCCCTCCAACCTGCAGGGTCCTGCTGGTCCTGCTGGTAGGGATGGTAAGCCCGGCCTGCCTGGTAGGCCCGGTCTTCCCGGCCCCCCTGGACCCCCTGGCCTCGGTGGAGTAAGTTGTAGATTTTTTTTGTATTTGACTCGTTAGGGTTGAAAAGGTTTTTAAAGCCAAACGTGGCTGGAAAAAGTAATTCCCAGCCCTCATATCCCACTGCCCATAATCACTGTGCTTTCTTGTAGTTTGTTGGATTGCATGCCTATACCACCTCATTGCTTCTTTTATAAAATGGATTCCCAAATGTCTTTTTGGTAAAGCACTGAAATACACCTGTATATCAGGACAAGCTGGGAAACGGAACCCCATTTCACAGCTAGCTGGCTTTGGATAAGAAATATTGTCTCTGACTTGGAGTTTGAATTTTATTCTGGGGTCAGAAGGTCAGAAGGTAATTGGAGTTAGATTCTGAAGGAAAGGGATGCAGAGATGTCCCGAATGCTTGTTTGATAGCTGGTTAATTGATTAGTCAAAGGCTTCACAATCTAATTTTGCCTGCTTGCTGCTTGTTTCACTTTCATCTTAACTTATTAAAATAAATTAAGATTTCTTACGATTGTAGTTTTAAATGAACTTACATTTCCATTGACTTTAATTGTAGTTATTATTGGTAGTGTAGAGCCAACATCCCAAGACTTATTTTGGATTCCCATGTAGAATTTTGTATGGCCTCACATGCTAACTGGACTATCAAGTCATATTACCCTAGTCTAATTTACCATCATAATGTAGAAGCTATTGTTAACTAACTGCTTGACATCATATGACCAATAGTATCACAACTTAGCATGCTATAATTCACTTTACCATTGACTTCTATCCTAGGCCAATCTGACATACCACCCTGGTCTGATTTAGCATACTGAGGTAGAATTTACCAACAACTCACATGTTTATTTCCCATAAATAGCTTTAACGGTTTTGGAATCGAATCAATCATGCTATGATAAAGTTTACTATTGACTTCAAACTGGCCATTATATACTAACAACACATGTCCATTCTAAATGACCAAGCTAAACTGACTCCAACATTAACCTTATCCTCCTAACATTAGCCTCATCAACCTCTCATCATCAGAGGTCTCATCATCAGATCAGATCTCATCATCAGATTGAATGGTATAAAAAAAGCCTCTGTCGTCAGATAATAGTAGTAGCATCCAAAATGCCTTCATCGAGCTCGACAAATTCTACAGCACCAACAGTATATGTGGTTAAAGGACAGGGGATGTTCCTGGCGGACAAACCTGTTTGTCAACAGAAAATATATGGGACATGATATATCGAACTTGGAATCAAAAGACTACTCTGGTCATATATGTATTTGTCATAAACCGGCATGGGCAAACCAAACTGCACTTTGATATTGAAACTGGCATGTTTTACTTCTGGTTGCTTCTGTGTGAATGTTGATTTCCACACACGTGTCACGTGTGTGACATTAAAAAGGGAATGTAATATTTATATCATATTCATATTAATTTTCTTTTTTCCAGAACTTCTCCCCTCAGATGTCTGGTGGTTACGAGGATAAATCTCCTAACATTGGTGTGCCTGGACCAATGGTAAGACGCACACCGACACTTATTTCATCACAAATCAAGATGCCAAATCTTACAATGCCTCTGTTTGATTGACAGGGCCCAATGGGATCCCGTGGAGCACCCGGACCTCCCGGTGTTAGTGTAAGTACACTGCTTCCTTCTTTAAAGCGAATAGTTTAATACTCATCACCATGACCATGTCACCCCAAGCTTGGTGCCCATTTTGCTTTAAACCAGCACCAAACACTCTTTTCCCATTTATTGCACCGGTGTTAAATTCCAAAATATACACACAGTGGCAAAACAATTCTAACTCCCAAAAGAATAGAACATTGATTTCAATGCCTGAAGAATGAACAACTGCCTTCTTTCAGAATTATAGTGCAGTGGTTGCATATATAGTCAATGGAAAGACATAGACAAACATGGATAGAGCTATTGACGAGCACCAGAAAGGTACCAGAAAGGATAATTAAACGGAAATCAATTTGCAAGTCTATGCAAAAGCCTTTTTGGATTTTACACATGCTAGATTAATTGTTGACAATTTATTTGTGTGATTGTAGTAGTAATGGTGTTTGATGTGTTTCTCTACCTACAGGGACCTCAGGGATTCAATGGCCCTCCTGGTGAGCCTGGAGAGGCCGGACCTGCTGTAAGTATTAGGAACATACAACAGCTAGAGGCCTGCATTGTGCCTCAGTAGCTTGTGGTCATTCTCGCCTTGGTGTGTGTATTTCTTTGCAGGGTGCCATGGGTCCTCGTGGTACCCCCGGCCCACCTGGAAAGAACGGAGAGGATGTAAGTCGACTGGATCTGCTTGTATTTACCATCTGCATCTTAGCTTGGAGTGGAGGATGACTTACTCACTGTATTCACCCCCTTCACTTTTCTCTTAGGGCGAGTCTGGTAAACCTGGTCGTGGTGGTGAGCGCGGACCTTCCGGCCCACAGGTAAGTCCCCATGGCGGTGTTGTTTTGTTATCCCTAGTGAAAGAGAAAAACAGAGCCATGATAGATAAAAATCTCTTGTCTGTTTTCTTTCCTTCAGGGAGCTCGTGGTTTCCCAGGAACACCTGGTCTGCCCGGCATCAAGGGACACAGAGTGAGTCACAACTCTAGACCCCCAAATGAACAACTAAATATGATTGTATCTTTAACAACCGTGGGCTTAATCTGTTGGTATGTCTGTCCATTTCTGTAGGGATTCAGTGGTCTGGATGGTGCTAAGGGAGACACTGGCCCCTCGGGTCCTAAGGTGACTGCCTGCCTTTTGATACCTCACTCCTCCGTGCTGGGTTGCAGTGAACAAAAATTTGAATCTTCAATTAAGTTTGTAGAGCCCAAAATCATAAACTTCCCTCGGAAGGCTTTAGTACACATTTAACATCCTCAAGTCCGTAAGGGGAAAATCTACACCCTAAACCTTTATTGGATAAAAAAAGTAATAGACACTAGAGAGAGGGTATTGGATATAAATAAATGTAAAAGATGTAATGTTTGTCATCCGTGCCTGTTTATGCTGTCCTTCAGTGACATTTGCAAGAGAGGTGGATTTTTAAATAATCATACAAATAGAAGCAAATTAAGCTGAGTTATCCTGACTTTTAGCGCCTAAAACTGGCTAAAACTTGCTTCCTAATTTCGAATAATTCAACTAGTTTTGTCTTTAAGATCTACAAACTCCATGTACTTAGTTTTACAGTTTGCAGTTGTGGTCTTAATTTGTGTAACTAGCTGTAGCAGCCATCTTGACCAGTTACTGGCTAGCGGCAGCCATATTGGCTAGTTATTCGCTAGCAGGGGCAATATTAGCTGGTTATTGAGGTTAATGTAGACAAACAATTCTAGTTTCTGTCATTTTCACCGCCTTACCCGCCTGTGTGTTTATGCATGTTTAGGGAGAGACTGGAGCCGCGGGTGAGAATGGAACTCCTGGTGCTATGGTGAGTAAAACAATCACTTCTACCATGAATTTGCCATCAACAATTTTGGATAGCTGACTGACTCTGACTCTATTTCAGGGACCTCGTGGTTTGCCCGGCGAGAGAGGCCGCAATGGTGCTACTGGAGCTGCTGTAAGTCTACTCTTGACAGAATTGCTATGACTTTAATCGATCTGCCAGTCAGTCAATGAACAAATCAACCAATTGTGTTTCTTTGTGTGCTGCAGGGAGCTCGTGGTAACGATGGTGCTGCTGGTGCTGCCGGACCTCCCGTGAGTCTTCCATTTTGCTCAAATTGAAACTGTTCTCACGATAAACATTTTTAATGTACAACTTCCAGTGACCCTAGTTGTTTTAAACCCCAGGGGGATTCTCAGACAAGAAGACATATTTTCTTTCCTGCTATAAAATGAAGAAAATAAAAAACAATGGATTTGCCAGATTTGTCTGATTCTGTTTGTCTTATTGTTTTCACCCAGGGACCCACTGGTCCCGCTGGACCTGCCGGATTCCCTGGTGGCCCTGGATCCAAGGTACAACGATGACCATTGTGATCCACAGCAATATTGTTGAACAGCCTCCATTTCTATTTCAAAACGTGTTTGATTCTATATTAAACATCTTCAATCTTCCATGGCTGTCGCCATCCAAAACAACCCCACACATATGTGCTCCCTTTTTCCATTTTTACGAGAGCTTGCAGCTGTCATTAAAAAGTTACTTCTGTCTTGTAACATATCGGTCCTTTTAAGGTGACATTAGAACAGCTTTAACACAGATTGCAGATTACCTTACCGTGGATTGCAGTAGCATGTAAAAAGATACCTAACAATAGTAACTTCAATAGCACATTTGCTTATTTTATTTTGTATGTGCTGTTGATGGACACTATTAACGTATAGCCCCACTTGTATTGTAATTAATCAAGTATTACTAAATATCAGAAAACTCCTCAATATAGTTTGAAACCATAACAAGCTGCCGTTTTAAACGTATTTTGACGATGAACACTGTGTAACCGCAACATACAGTTCTCTATTCTCCAACTTCATATTTACTTTTCCTCACGATTTGGTTTTTAATGGTATTTGACATCCCTCCACAAGCTGCCCCCGTGAAGATATCACAGCCTTGCTTTCACTTTGTGCACTGATTGTCTGACTGCTCTTCGTTTCCCTCTCTACCCAGGGTGATGCTGGACCTCAGGGTGCTCGTGGGTCCGAAGGCCCTGCTGGATCCCGAGGCGAGCCCGGTAACCCCGGACCTGCTGGCCCCGCAGGACCCTCTGTAAGTACAATCAGTAACCCCTCTTATGACAGACTGCTCAAGTTCTAGATAGGATCACTTTATTGATAATATAATGGCATTTAAATAATTCCTGAGAAATCTTTTGGTCAATGAAAATGTATTTCCTTCTTTCTCATCCCAGGGAAACCCCGGAACTGATGGAAGTGCTGGAGCTAAGGGAACCCCTGTGAGTATCTTTCTCATCACATTTACCTGATTAGCACGACAGGGATGAGTTTTTAAATCCCATTCTTGCTCAAAAAAAGTGTTTGGCAGTCCTGCATGATGTGACCCTGTTTCTGCTGTTTGCTGCCGCCCCCTGCAGGGTGCTGCTGGAATTGCCGGAGCTCCTGGTTTCCCTGGACCACGTGGACCCCCAGGACCTCAGGGTGCTGCCGGTGCCCCCGGTTCCAAGGGTAACACTGTGAGTAAAAAGTTGTATTTTCTGTCCAGCCTGTAATGCACACAATTAGAGAATGTATCACAAGAAAATACTTTTGCTTTGTGCCAGTGTTTTTCTTGTTGTCGACAGCTATTTGATTATATTTATTCATATTATTTATTTTTTTTGTTCAGATCCGAGTCAGTGATTGCTTATTTGTTTGATTTTGACGACTGATGAATTAGTATTGATTATTTATGTTTGCTTATTTGCTTGTTTCCCCCAGGGAGACCTCGGTGCCCCAGGAGCCAAGGGAGAGGCCGGTGCCAAGGGAGAGGCTGTAAGTTGAAGTTCACCACAGTCAGAATGGAGCTTAGCTCCGTAATACACATGTGTACAAATACACGTTCCATCTCTTATGCCATATTCGCATGTTAATGTTCTTCAGGGCGCTGCAGGAGTTCAAGGAGCCCCCGGACCATCCGGTGAGGAAGGCAAGAGAGGATCCAGAGGAGAGCCTGGAGCTGCAGGAGCCCGTGGAGCTCCTGGAGAACGAGTATGCATTTCACTTTCTACTTTCTTCATTATTAAGGTTAACTGGCAAGGAAAGTGATTGATTTACCTTTAGGTGCAAATGTGAATATCTTATCAATGTTATGAGCACATTAATGAGGGAAAAGGTTGTGAAATGGCCGAACAATGTAATACAAGTATGCATAGTGTAGGCCACAAATGATACAGAAGCCCTTTCGGCTTATTACGATCATCCAAACTGCAGACTATATATATATATATATATTACACAATATTACTGACACAGCTTTTTTTGTGCACATAATGCAAACATACCTTGTGCCGCCACCAGGGAGTTTACTTAATGGTAAAGTACATGGCAAGTTAAAATGGGCTACCCCTGTCTGAATGCGGTGTCTTTTTTTTTATCGAGCTCTCTTTTTTATAGTGCTTGATTCTCTCTACAGGGTGCCCCTGGTGGTCGTGGATTCCCTGGTTCTGATGGCCCTGCTGGACTCAAAGTGAGTATAAAACATAAACTCACACCTAGGTACCTTAAATAGAGATACTTCAAATCAGATTTGCCTTTTTACCGCTGTTCTCTCTCACTCCTCCATGTCATAGGGTGCCAATGGCGAGCGTGGTGCCCCCGGTGCTGTTGGACCTAAAGGTTCAACCGGCGAGTCTGGCCGCAATGGTGAGCCTGGTTTGCAAGGAGCCAAGGTGAGTTTCCCTACCATCTACCCATCGCATAATTATCAGCAACATAATCTAATTACTGCAAAGGCCGTCCTCTAACCTCTGCCCTATCGTCGTAGGGTATGACTGGTAGCCCTGGCAGCCCTGGACCTGATGGCAAGTTGGGACCTGCTGTAAGTTCACGCTTAGGACAATGTATTTAATGTTAATCTCAATAAAAAACAGACAAGTTGCATTTGATTAAATGAATCCTTCATAAATTCTCCTCACCAGGGAGCAACTGGACAAGATGGCCGCCCCGGACCCCCTGGCGCCGTTGGAGCTAGAGGCCAGCCTGGAGTCATGGGATTCCCCGGACCCAAGGGTGCTGCTGTAAGTAATGGTCTTAATTGCTGCAAAGTATCATCGACCATTTGTTTCTGACTCCAGTCGACTACTGAGAAGTAAGCATCTCTTATAATAGTGCTCTTCTACTCTGTAGGGTGAAGGTGGGAAGCCTGGCGAGAGAGGAGCAATGGGACCCACTGGTGCAACTGTGAGTTGTCCACACTCTGCTTCTCTTTGAATCGACTATGACTTACTGCTTTTTGAGCCTGGGTTTCTGAAAGCCTACCATCTCTCTACCCAGGGTGCCCCTGGAAAGGACGGTGATGTTGGTGCTCCAGGACCCTCTGGACCTGCTGTACGTAAAATGCACACACCCATGCCCGCATTGAGACCCACTCCATAAACCTGATGGTCTCCCACTACAAACTAAACTTAATAGCTACTGACAGTACAGTACACTTCTATACCTTACTCCTGGATATATTATGGTTGCACTAACAATCCTTCTCCTCTTCAACCTCAGGGTCCTTCTGGTGAGAGAGGAGAACAGGGACCTGGCGGAGCTCCCGGATTCCAAGGTCTCCCAGGACCCCAGGGTGCTGTTGGTGAGAGTGGCAAGTCCGGAGAGCAGGTACTGACCGAGAAACGGTGGATTTAAATACCTGAATAAATTGATAGTCATACTGTGAAATAACATATGAATTGCCGTTCTGTTTATCTAGGGTGTGCCCGGTGAAGCTGGAGCCCCAGGACCTGCTGGAAATAGAGTAAGTCACTTATTGCCATTGCAATGTTCCCAGTCTGCTCCCAGTAGAATCAGATCTTCTATCCAAGCATCTTTAAAGAGTTTGCTAACCAAGTATATTATTACGAACGAGGCAACAAACAAACCTACATGTCCTTGCTGGAAGTGGAATGAATATGGATGTTAATGCTAACAGGCTAAAGCTAGCTAATAACAAGCTAACGGGGTAGGACTTATCAAAGATGACTTGTGACTTCTTTGACCATGTTTTGACGATTTCCATAACTCTCTTTCACCTCGTCCCTTCAGGGTGACAGAGGATTCCCCGGTGAGCGTGGTGCACCTGGTGCTGTTGGGCCTTCTGGTGCTCGTGGATCCGTTGGATCTCCTGGAAATGAGGGTGCCAAGGTAGACCTCCGGAAATGTGAAAGAAAGAAATCTTCAAACTTCAACCTCATTGATTGTTAAGTGACCCTACTGCTGTCGTTCTCTTCCTGTTTTCTCCAGGGAGATTCTGGAGCCCCCGGTGCTTCCGGAGCCCAGGGTCCTCCTGGACTGCAGGGAATGCCTGGTGAGCGTGGAGCCGCTGGCCTTCCAGGACTGAGGGGAGACCGAGTGAGTCACGAACACAATATTCCTAGTATTCCCAACATTCCCATTGTGTAAAATTTGTCATTACTTTGACCTATTGAATCTAAATGAAAGGCCCGACTAAAGCAAAATCCTCAACCGTACTTTCCAGTATACACATCCCTCACTCTCTCTTTCTATCCAATAACAAAAGGGTGAGCAAGGAGGCAAAGGTGTTGATGGAGCTCCTGGTAAGGATGGCCCCCGTGGTTTGACTGGACCAATTGGACTGCCCGGACCCGCTGGTGCCACCGGAGACAAGGGAGAGTCTGGCCCTGTCGGAGTTCCTGGACCTGCTGGACCTCGCGGAGGATCTGTAAGTACCTGTCAGTCTTTTCTTCTCCAGAGCAGAAGAGGGAGCTGCTTGAATTTTACAATCATTGATTGACTTTTCTTCCTTCCCTTTTTCTTTAGGGTGAGCGTGGAGAGTCTGGACCACCTGGACCTGCTGGATTTGCTGGTCCTCCTGTAAGTTACACGAATGTCCTCGCTCCTCCTGACTCCTCTCAAAGAATGTTTTTCTTTAGCTTGACGCTTCAACACAGAATTTACTAAGCCTCTTTGCCCATCCATTCCACCACAGGGTGCTGATGGACAGCCCGGTGCTAAGGGAGAGGCCGGAGATAATGGCGCTAAGGGAGATGCAGGTCCACCCGGTGCTTCTGGACCAACTGGTGGCCCTGGACCTCAGGTTTCTAAGAATTTATATTTTCTTACAGACAATCTGATAATTCAGGGTGAACTTTACAAATGGAGGCTGCATTCCCGGAAACTGGTTCTCTCACGTTGATTAAAAATGTGCTTTTACTTGTCAGGGTCCCACTGGTAACTCTGGCACTAAGGGAGCCCGCGGAGCCGCTGGTCCTCCTGTGAGTCACCACTCTTCTTCTCTGTCCTCCTCTACCAGTATACATTTACATTAATGCCACCTTCAACTTCACATCATCATAAGATGTAGTGTAGTTTTTAGATGGGTCAATATCCATGGCCAAAGCAGAGAGATATTTCTGGAGACAATCCACTGTCCAACATCTTTTCTTTCTGATAAATTACTTGTATCCGCCATGGATACGAGGATGGCGTTTATTAGTCATCCCTTTTTTTATTCATTGTGCTAATGTAATACGGAAATGCTTCCAGCCACAATCAGCTCATTTCCATGTATCTATCCCTAGGGTGCTACTGGCTTCCCTGGTGCTGCTGGCAGAGTCGGACCTCCTGGCCCCTCTGTAAGTCTTCCTCTAATGTTATTGGCACCGTTCTTGTGCAGGGCCCACCATCCTCAATGGTTTGCAGCAATTTTTTGTTCTTTCCCATAGGGCAACTCCGGACCTCCTGGACCCTCTGGACCATCTGGCAAAGAGGGACCCAAAGGAAACCGTGGTGAGACTGGACCCGCTGGTCGCCCTGGCGAGATGGGTGCTGCTGGAGCACCAGGAGCTCCTGGAGAGAAGGGCTCCGCTGGTAGCGACGGGCCTGCCGTAAGTTACAGTTCAATATCAATATAATCCGGAGCCCCTTCCATCTAAATCTATTACAAAACCAAATGATTGGTGTTTTCATTGCAACTAAATTATTCTCTTGTAGTAGCACTAAATTGAGTTTTCTCATTTTCAGTAACATCACAGACATTATTTCGCCATTCTTTGTTGTTCCCACACCTTGATGTATAATGTCTCAAGTTTCTTTCACTTTGTCTCTCTGTCCAATTCTGCAGGGACTTACTGGTGAGCCTGGAAGTAAAGGTGTAAATGGACAGCGCGGTATTGTTGGTCTGCCTGGACAGAGAGGCGAGAGAGGTTTCTCTGGAATGCCCGGACCTGCCGTAAGTTCCTGTTAATACTGTAAAAACTCTAAACTGCAAAACTACAAATGGCATAGTGGATCTAATGGAACTAGAATACCCAAACCTGTTTAACCAGCCAATATGATGTTTTTATTTAAACAATCACTCAAATCCAGAAATATTAAGTGATCAAAAATCCTGTTTACATAACGTGATAATAAAACAAAACCACTGAGAATGACCCGTAAATACATTAAACTTATTGTCTGCTGATCTGGTTGCAAAACTATGGGCCCAGGAAGTCTATTTTCAAAAAACAGCACCTTGCTGGCTAAAAGCTTTAACATTAAAGGGGACATATTATGAAAATTCCACTTTGATAGCGCTTCTACTCGTTAATATGTAGAAGATATGACACAAGAAGCAAATGGATTAATTTCATATATGAAAATCATGTCACGGCAAGAATTGGGAAATAGCGAAAATCATTTTCTCAACCTGGGATAATATCACTTAAAGAAACAGGCGCTAAAAGGAAATGTCTCATACAATACGAGAACAATTATATGCCTTATTACATGTGAACGTGTTATGGTGGAATGAGTCTGAATGAGCATGATACTCTTAACAAGCCAATATAAATTTGAATCTAGAAACCTGAATTTGGTTGTTAGGACTGCACTGACTTTGCCTGTATCAACTGTAGGGAGAAACTGGAAAGCCTGGACCTTCTGGCCCCAGTGGTGAGCGTGGACCTTCCGGACCCACGGGTCCCACTGGACAGCCTGGACCCGCTGGTGAGCCTGGACGTGAGGTATGACAAAACAATTGCACCTGTCGACTATCTACCTAGCTGACTTTTGATACCGGTGTAGATGTAGTTTCACCAGTTAACCTGTTTTCGCGTATGTGTTTTAGGGAAGCCCCGGAAACGAGGGATCAGCTGGTCGCGATGGAGCTGCTGGACCCAAGGTGAATTCATGACATCATTGTCCATTGTCCAAGTCCTCAGCATCAGATGAATCACTAAATAGCTGTACTGAGCACATGCAACTACAAAGAGACACACACTATAAAGACACTAAAACAACTATAAAGATATGCAAAACAGCTGCAAAGGGACAGCAAGAGTCACAAGAGATACAGAGGCACAAAATAACTACTAAGAGACACAAACAATGGTTAGGCCTATTGCACTGTCCCATATTCCACCCATGATCACCCATGTGAACAGTTTGCTGAGCTAGATTTGTTTACAAATGTCACAGTGACACAGTAAACTTTACTAGTCTGTTCCAGCCTTTACTGCAAAACTGAACTTGAGAAGAGTCAGCTAGGTTGACCTGAACCTAAAGCAGCCAGCAAGGTAATTTAGCAAATCATTTGCTAACTATAATGGTTTCCGCTAGGTCCAGTGAGGCTTAGCTTAGCACCAGCTTCGTAAGCTGACATCTACCATTATTACATACAATTAGAGCTACTTCTGTGCCCGAAAATACATTTGTTGAAATGATAGAAACACAAATTTGGTTGCCAGAGGAAAGAGTTATAACTGCACGTAATAATTTATACAGCCTAGATAGTGGCCTGTTTCACCCATTGCTGTATATCTTTATTGCGACAGAAATTGAACACAGACAGACTATGTGACACCCTGGTGTCAGACATTTGAGCATTTTCACAAGGAAATATTTTGAATTAAAACAAAAATTTGGTGTTTGCATTTTAGGGAGACCGCGGTGAGAGCGGACAATCTGGAGCCACTGGTGCCCCTGGGCCCTCTGGTGCACCCGGACCCGTTGGACCCGCTGGAAAGAACGGTGAACGTGGAGAGGCTGTGAGTGACACTAAAACCGTTTTTCAGTTTAGTTATTGCCTTTTATCACAATGAAATATATAACATTGTAACACACAAATTGTCTTTCGAAGCACCTGGCATTTACATCAAACTGTTTTTTGTATCTCAGGGACCTAGTGGCCCCGCTGGCTCCGCTGGCCCCGCTGGACCTCGTGGCCCTACTGTGAGTAACAACTTTGTGCCATTGATCAAATCAATCAACAGAATAGGAAACAATGTTCATCATCCTTTTTACCCTCTGTAGGGAGCTGTCGGACTTCGTGGAGACAAGGGAGAAACTGGAGAGGCTGGAGAGAGAGGCATGAAGGGACACAGAGGATTCACTGGCATGCAGGGACCTCCTGGACAAGCCGTATGTGACTTCACAAACAAATCTACACATAAACTACATGAACAACACACATACTTAATTTCTAACTACTGTTTTTGTTCTGAACCCATAGGGATCTTCTGGAGAGCAAGGACCTGCTGGTTCTGCTGGACCTGCTGGACCTAGAGTGAGTTAACACATCAAACATTTTCTAGTGCTTGTATTTTTGTATTTTAATATTTGGTGGGACTTTAAAGGGACTTTGACATTCAGAGAATTCCCCTTTATTCTGTTTGCAGGGCCCATCTGGATCTGCTGGATCTGCTGGTAAGGACGGTATGACTGGCCTGCCTGGACCCACTGGACCTCCTGGACCTCGTGGACGTTCTGGAGAGATGGGACCTGCTGTAAGTCTAGCTGCCTAACTACCCATCTAAGTATGTTACACATACAAGGAATTTTGCTTGGGGATTGGCTCAACATTAAAACACAGTCATGTGTAATAAGTATTTTGAAATAGAAATTTTACAATTTTAGAATAAAATATGGCAAATCAACCAACAAACAAATAGATAAGAGTACATTCCTTTACTTTTTGTATCCCAACTGAGGGAAAATAACCAACTTCTTCTCTTCCTCCTCTTGCCCTTCTTCTCGCTCAGGGTCCTCCAGGACCTCCTGGACCTCCCGGAGCACCAGGTGCCCCTGGTGGCGGATTTGACCTCGGATTCATTTCCCAGCCTCAGGAGAAGGCCCCCGATCCGTTCCGTATGTTCCGCGCTGATGACGCTAATGTTCTCCGTGACCGCGACCTTGAGGTGGATGGAACCCTGAAGAGCCTGAGCCAGCAGATCGAGCAGATCCGCAGCCCCGACGGAACCCGCAAGAACCCCGCCAGAACCTGCCGCGACCTCAAGATGTGCAACCCTGACTGGAAGAGCGGTGAGTTTTTACCCAGCAATAGTCCATCCATCCAGGTCTAAATAGGAATAGGAATCTAAAATAGCATTTTGGGTTTTTCTGAACTTTTCCTCTCCTGACTAATTTCTCTTTAGGCGAGTACTGGATCGACCCTGACCAGGGCTGCCCTCTTGATGCCATCAAAGTTTACTGCAACATGGAGACTGGAGAGACCTGTGTAACCCCAACTCAGCCTGAGGTTGCCAAGAAGAACTGGTACATGAGCAAGAACATCAAGGAGAAGAAGCACGTCTGGTTCGGAGAGGCAATGAACGACGGCTTCCAGGTAATCCAGTTAACCAACCAACCAACGAGAGCACTTCCTCACATCTTGCCTCGAAAAATACATCCCTACCTGCCTTCTCTATCTTCCATCTCAATTCCTTCCTCCTTCTACGCTTCATGCCCCTGCTCTGTCTTCGCTGTTCAGTCGGTAACATCTCCTTCCTCTTTCCTACACAGTTTGAGTACGGAAGCGAGGGTTCCAAGCCACAGGATGTCAACATCCAGCTGACCTTCCTGCGTCTCATGTCCACTGAGGCAACTCAGAACATCACCTACCACTGCAAGAACAGCGTCGCCTACATGGACGCAACCGTCGGCAACCTCAAGAAGGCCATGCTCCTCCAGGGCTCCAACGAGATTGAGATCAGAGCCGAGGGCAACAGCCGCTTTACCTACAGCGTCCTGGAAGATGGATGCACGGTGAGAAAACTCCACAGCAATTTTGGTTTTGAGTGCGATCGCCAAGACGCATGCTCGCTACTGTAGCTCCAATTGCCTTTTTGTTGGATTTGAACAAAATTCCAGGCAGAACTGGAGACATTTTCGAAAGTCCAGTTTTAACAGTCCAGCAGCTAATTTAAATGATGGTCCTAACTCCCCTCTTTTCTTCCCTCCCTCCAGTCACACACCGGTACATGGGGCAAGACAGTCATTGACTACAAGACATCGAAAACATCTCGCCTGCCCATCATTGATATCGCTCCTATGGACGTTGGTGCTCCAGATCAAGAGTTTGGCCTTGAAGTTGGACCCGTCTGTTTCTTGTAAAAAGAGAAATCTGGACTTGAAATTGTTGTTGTGTGCGTGTGTATGTTTCATTTTTTCTAGCAGTCATCTCTCTCTAAAAAAGCCCACCAAAACATTTCTCTAATGCAATTTTTCTGAAAAATCTAACCCCTCGCTCCTGATTCTACAAATTTCCATTCGGCCATTGTTCCGATGGTCCACTTTGCCTAAAACCTGCACTTCAACAAGATGGCAGCGATGCGGCCATCTGCTTCGTCGCGTTTGGGACCACTACTTTTTTTTTTTTGTTTCTGACTCTTGGTTTTGTTTTTTTTTGTTTTTTTTTTACCATCGCCAACACCAAGGATCCTGCAGAGAAGACATTTTGTTTCACTGGCAACAAGAAAATAATATATGCTTCTGTAAAGTGTAAAGAAATTGACTTCCCCTCTTCATCCAGCCATACCAGGCTTCTCTGGAGTTAACAGAAACACACAGGTGACTTTTGTATTTTTTATACACCACTGTGGCGAGAGGAATGAAAGGACAGTCCCCAACAGACAGAACCCAATTGCTTTGTACCACGTTTCAGGTGATGACGAATAAACGGTGAAACTGACAGCCATTTTTGTCTCTGTTGTTCTGCCCCCCTGCCCCCACTACCAAGTCAACCTGCCACAGACAACACTGACAACTCCCCCTTCCTCATCCGCTGATTTTGTGGCTGTGGTCATTTGTTTGTTGTTGTGGTTGCTTTCTTGTTTGTTTCCTTTCTATTTCTCCCTTTTTTTTTTAAAGAAAAGTCACATTAAAACCACAAGCAGAGAAACATGGGTTGCAACCTTTTTTTTGAGAGAAAAAAAATATTCTATGGCTACCTCAGAAAAGCAACGAAAATCAGCTGTACCCAATAAGGGTGGCCCAGTGTCTGTGAAGTGAAGCCTGCGGTAGTTTTGGCTCTCGTTGCGGTGGTCGACTTTTACCAACACTTTAGCAGAAGCGGAAACAGCTCAAACTTAAGGTGCTATACTTTGTTTGAGGTCTCCTGGCTGTCCAGTATGGCTATACTGTTGTGTAGTGTTACGGTCTCTCTGGCGTGGCAGGGACCTCTTGGTGCTAAAACGTAACCACCGTATTGTTTTATTCTTGGCGCCCAGAATGAGACAGACTTCTTCTCTCTTTTTCAGCCGTGGTCGCGCTGATGCTCAAACCTCCAGGTTTGAGTTCAAAGTGAAGAGCGTATCCGCATTTCCTCCTCTCATACTTTTTGGCTTCATGTTTTTAAACCCCCACCTCTTCTGTCCTCCAAAAAATCCTCCCCCAAACCCCATAGACACATCTGTTGTAGTTTGTTTCTTGTTTTCTTATGCGAAGGGTGATTTTTCTCAACAAAACAAATTGCATATTCATTTTATTTTTTTCAAACAATGCACAGAAAGAGAGGCATCAGAAAGGAGTTTGTGAGGCAATGCAGACAGACACACCCATGGGGGGAAAACACCACAAGAATCTGTACCTATTTTGTATATGTATAATAAATTGAGATGTTTTTAATTATTTTGAATGCTGAAATAAAGCATGTTAAGTGGTCTGACATTTGAATTCTGCCTAATTCCCTGAGTGACTCACTGACTGCCCCCTTAGGACTTGAATTAAATCAGCTTTTTCAAACAGTTTTACAGGTTGAATATTAACTTGATTTGAGAGATTATTTCAAATGATCTCAGAAATGCTTGATGTATCGTGAGAAAGAGTGGTACTTATTGAGACAGTGAGTGGGAATTTTTGAGGAAGAGGAAAAAATGCAACTGTGCAAAAAAAGACTGATTTGATTAGTCTGATTTGCACTGTGACATTTTACCTGTAATCTAAATGATCTCTTAAAATGTAAATGTTTAAAAAAGAAAACATATTGTCTGACAAAGCGTCTTGTCCAGAAGAGACAAATAATCATGGCCTACCTCTCAGTTGGTGTGGACTCCTCGTTGTGCTATTGCAAAGGAGTCGATGACATGTTGAATCCGCGGGATGTAAAACATCAATAATCCATCAAGAAATTAATGAAAATCCAGCATTGATGATTAGATTTGTCCCGATACAATCCAGTGTTTTTCAAAGTGAGGTGGACCCGTCTGCACAGCTCTGGCAGACTGAGGGCTGCCGGGTGGAGCTGGTGCGGGGCTCCGAATGTTGGCATTAACTCGACAAAGACACTGATTGTCCACCTTGAGGGAGGCAGCTTCCCAGGGATATGTTGTGTTCCCAGCAGGAATCTGGATTATTCCTGCATAGAATCTTTATTTGAGGCCCGGGCAGAGGAATGCTCTCCGGTTTCAAACACAGACGAGGCTCTGTTTGCTGAGAGGAAGGCCCCTCTGCAGGCGAGTGGGACTCAGCGGTTGACTTTACACTGGGGATGAACATCAGAGGACGAGGACGAGATGAGGCCAGGTAAAAGCCGATACAAAAGTTTGACTGGATTTCATGAAAACAACCTATTTTCGAGCAGTTAACTCCCAGTAGTGATTGGTCATGAAGATGGTTTTGATCTAATACATCACTGAAAACAATGTCATCCCCCAAATATTACCAAGAAGCTGGGTGACATGTAAATGTCTGATGTACAATACGTTTAGGTGCTTTATGGTAAGTTTATCATGCCTTCAAGGACACATTTCAAGAATTGATATCCCAAGAATCAAATGAAAACCAAGCAATTTCACCAGACGCCATTTGGGAACTTAATTTATTTTTGTGGGATCATCTAAATATAAATTAACAGATTTAGATAGCTTTCTATCATATCCAACGTGTTGTACAGTTTTTACGTTATTCTTTGTGTACACATGACATCTATTGCACTTCAGGCCATCCCTGGAGAGGGATCCCCCTCCACAGCTCTCCCTGATTTCTTTCTTTTCCCTCGGTGATAAAGGGGGTTTTGGATGGGGGGTTTCCTGTGCCAATGAGAGGGTTCCGGGACATGTGCAAAGACTGTAAATTCCTTTGAAGCAAATCTGTGATTTTGAGCTGTCCAAAATGAATTTAATTGAACTGAATTATCTAGAGTGGTGCAGTGAGCTACATGTTAGTAGCACACATGTCAATGGGTTTACGATGCAAAGCTGTCTCCTATAAAATTACATAAAATGAAACTGTATTCTCAGTTCCTTTGAGGATGATGGTATCAGCTTCATAAACGGTTTGTTCTGGCTTATGTGAAGGTGATCAAACTCCTTGGCTCACTCTGGACACAAACAACATTCTCCTTTATTTATATTCCACTGGCATCCTGACGTCAACCTCAACCAAGATCACACTGGTTTCCCCTTAACGTGATTCACAAAGCAGTTTTTCAGTAAGGGAACGGGAGGAGTGTCTGCATAATGAAAATAGCAAGATGCTGATATTTGGGAAGAATAATGTTAACTTGTTAATTTAAAGGTTTATTTAGAAATACCTTTTGAATTAAACATAAATTAAGTGAAACAAAAATTTCGACCTTGCGGTACGTCAACACCATCGTCAGTATTTGGCGCCACATCACCTTTAGACGTCAGACCTTTACTTCTTCATGTGATACCATTTCAAAGTTAGCACTTCCATCTCAAGCATGATATCTTTGGAACTTTGCGCAAGAACTTCTTGTCACCAACATCACATGTTAGGCATTTGAGATGTATGCTGGGATGTTGGTCACCTGTATGACGGAAATAAAATCCAAGGGTGCTTAAGCAGTAAGAGGTTTTGGGAAAGATCTTCTTTTCAACCTCAACAAGCTCCCTGACTGGTATTGTCACTGGGGGAAATAACGCAGTGAGGATTAAGGTTGGCAGAAGAAACAAGAAGACCTCTGGAATTCAACAATAAACAGCTGCTAAATGTGGCACGGATGTTGATCTTGAACACCACTTTGCACTTTATGTTTGACAGACCGAAGTAGCTTCAAGAAGAAATTTGAAATTCTATAGCAAGCAGATAGGGAAGGTTTTTCAGTAATACAAACCAAAAGGAAATTACCTGATTGGGAAGAAGTTCATCGGTGTCAAAAATATAGAGGACCATTTTAGCAAAATGATTGATTGTTTGATTTTCAAATCAAAAAATGTATTCAGTACGATTCTAAAACTCTTTTCCCAATATTTATTGTCGGACGATATATGTGTGCCTGCAAATATAAATAATAATCTCTCAATTAACTCAATAAAAGTAGGGCTGCTGCTTCACATTTGGAGTTGACAGTCCCAGTAAATTATAAATAATAAATCTAAACACATTTTACCAATTGAACAGTTTAATAGAATATATATATATATATATATATATATATATATATATATATATATATATATATATATAAGGTTATATATATATCCACTCCCCCACTTTTTTGTTAAGTGGGAAAATTAATATCTAGTTTTTCAATGCCAGAATTTTAAACCAGGCCCGTTCTCTCCCTCATGTGGAGGAGCACATTGCGCCTTATGGCGGTGTTTTAACGTGTTCTGAGAAGATGAGACACTGGTTTAGTGCTGCTTTTCTTTTGGTCCGGATCCAGACCGCCGCCAGTTAGTAGCCTGATCTAAATCAAAAAAGACCTCATTATTAATTCTGATATTTACAAGAAGAAAAGATATAATAGCGTCAACAAAAACGTTATGTTTCAGCTTCGTATTGACTTTTGACCATAGCTTAAACGGTCATGATTGAGACAGAGAAAAGAAGAGAGACTGCTGTGTTCTGTTTTACCTGGTTCTCTTTAATGACTACGTATAGTATTGACCCAACTAGGTTCATTTTTATTATCTTAAACCTGTTTATATTGATTTTCCTTCGTCCCTCACTTCATTATATTCTATTCATTACTAATGTGATGGATCTCTGTCACCTTATGTTTTTTATTTAGCTTGTTAAGCATGGTATTTATTGGGCTGTAACTCCCCGGGTGGCATTGTTGGTAATCTCCCCTTTTTCCCCCCTAAAGCCCAGCTACAATAACATTATACAGCAGTTGTGCACATAGCGCAACTGTTATGTGTCTCCATCTACTGGATGTAAAGGATCAAAATCATATCTTGTGAAAAAATCTTGTTGATAATATTTAATGCATTCATATCTTATATATACATTTATTTTATATTCCCTATAATATCTATAACATTGTAATTTTACACATTGAGGCTCTTGATAAACCCTGTTTAATTTCCTCCTCTTGATATTATTCATATTCCGTGGATGCTTTTTCTATGTCGAAGGGTTGGGATTACATTAGTCCCATTACTATTGCTGAACCCATTGAACCCAGCCTAGTTTATGCTTCTGCGTTTTCCGAGCGACGCAGACGCAAGACCCCCTTGCGTGTCCCTTGCGTGCCTTTTCACACCTCCTTGCGTCCTTGCGTGTGTCGACCCATTTTTCTAGGCTTGCGTCGAGGGCGTCGCAAGCCTCGCGCAGAGCACATGGCTGCGATTGGTTTGCTAACTACATCCTTTACGGAGTCTCACATTTCCATTTTCATAGCCCGATACCGCCATTATTAAAACAAAGAATGTTTACGAGAGAACGGATCAGGTTGAAGAGCTTTTGTCGGAATAAATGCGTAAATATGACCGCTTATACAACCCGTCATTGGCGGGTTGTAGAAGCGGGTTGGATTCATGGAAGGAGATCGCCGCAAACGTCGGTTTGCTGGTCGAGAGGTGCACAAAGTTGTGGAGGACAATACGGGACAAATGTGTCCGCGATGAAAAGCAACAGTGACGATGCACGGGGCAATAAAGTCTATGATAAATAAATAAACCAACCAACGACTTTCACACACAAAGACGTGACTCTCTAGGTCGTCCTTGACAAAAACATGTTACTCCACCTGTTGTTCTGGAGGTGAATTGCTCTGCAACACACGCAAGCCTTTTAGAACCATGAATTGAAACGAGTTCGTCGAAGCAACGACGCAGCCTTAATGCTTTGGTTATCGTTATTAACCTGCTACTCCTGTGATAGGCAAAGGCAAAGGTAAGGCAAGGCAATTTTATTTGTATAGCACATTTCAACAACAAGGCAATTCAAAGTGCTTCACATAAAACCATTAAAAACCAAACATAAAGGAAGGAAATTTATAAACAGTTAAGAATATTGATACATTCAGGTTCACCAGCAGTCAAATCGCCAACCCGGCAGACCCCCGGGTCGTCCACTGGAGTTCCCCTGGCTGCCCGACCCTCGTCCCCTTGCCCTCTCCCTCCAACCCTGTTTTCTGCCCATCCTGCCCCGCCCATGTGTGTCTTAGGTCCGTCTGGGAGGAGGCATCATGGTCATGGTTTTGGGATTATTTCCTGTTTTACTTTGTAGTTTCCTGCCTCATGTGTCCCTGGGTTAACTTCCCTTCCTGCCTTGTCCTGCCATCCCCTGTGATTGTCTGCCATGTCTCTGATTGTTTCCACCTGTGTCCAATCACCTGCACCTTCCCAGTGTATTTAAGTCATGTGTGTCTTTTGTCCTTTGTCGCGTCATTGAATGTTTGAATGTCTTGAATGTAAGTCTTCATGTCTTCTCAATCCTCAATCCTGTTCCTGTGATTCGTGGGTTCCTGGTCCCCGTCCGTGTCTGCGTTTTTTTCCCCTCCCTGGTGTTTTAGAATTTTGGTTTTTGGTTTTATTAAAAGTATTGTTTTTGTGAAACTCTGCGTTTGAGTCCTGCCTCTGCCTACCCGTTTGTGACACCCCTGGTGATATAGTTATATAGATTTGTGTGTCATCTGCATAACTATGATAACACACTTTGTTGTTTTCCATAATCTGAGCCAATGGAAGCATGTAGATGTTGAACAGAAGGGGCTCCAGTATTGAACCTTGGGGGACACCACATATAATTTTCTTCAGCTCTGGTGTGTAATTAGCTACAGACAAAAAGTATTTCCGGTCTTTCAAGTAGGATTCAAACCAGTTCTGTTCCAGAGATGTCCCACCTAGTTGATTAGTCTATCCAGTAGTATGTCATGGTTAACCGTGTCAAATGCTGCGCTGAGATACAGTAAAACTAAAACCGAAATTCGGCCATTGTATGTGTTTAAGTGGATCTCGATGAAAACCTTATCAAGAGCAGTTTCAGTACTGTGGTGCTGTCAAAAGCCTGACTGGAAGGCATCAAAACCGTTATTTGCGGTCAAGTAGTGTTGAAAAAACGCTTTTTAAAAAAAATAAGAAGGTTAGATACTGGCCTATAATTTTTCCTTGTTGTGGCGTCTGGATTAGCCTTCTTTAGGAATGGTTTAATAACAATTTTAAGCAATTTTAAGTGCTGAGAAGAGGTATGTGTTTACAATTTTTAGAAGATCGATGGCCATGCAGTTTGAGATATTTTTTGAGATATAAGTGTGTTGGAAGAATATCTAAGGAGCAGGAGGATGACTTGAGATGTTGTATAATGTCATCTAGACCTGTATGGTTGATTGAATGAAATTGTGTCATGGTGTTTGAACAGATGTTATTCTGAGATTGGGATACAACATATGAAGGCACTGACTGCTTGTTTAATTGTCTGAATTTTATCAGTAAAAAAGGAAGCGAATTCAATCATGCCCAGGTGGATTGGAGCTCAGCAGCCACTGACACTGGAGGGTTTGTTAGCCTGTAGCAAATAAGGTGCGTGTGTATTATTTTTAGTTATTATGTCAGTGAAGAAGGCCTGTCTTGCATTTCTAAGTTCAGAATTATAATTACGAAGTCTGTCTTTACATATGTCACAGTAGACCTGGAGATTTGTTTTCAGCCTTCCGACACTCTCTTTTCTGGCCAGCGGGGCATTTCTCCACGGAGATCTTTGCTTACTTGGGACAACTTTTACTTTAGTGGGTACATTGTCATCAATAATATTTTCTACTTTGGAATTGAAGCTGTCTAGAGATGCAGGAGAGAGCCGGTGTGGAGGAAAACCTCTGTCTGAATAGTTCACTGGTGCTTTCAGTGATGTAACGCTTCTTCACAACCTTGGTCTGGACATTTGTGTGCAAGGAGAAAACACAGAAATGATCAGAGAGTGCAACGTCAGTCACAACAACCTTGGAAATGTTTAGACTTTTGGTGATGATTAGGTTGAGAGTGTCCCCCCTGTTGTGGGTGGGTCCTGTCACATGCTGAGTCAGATCATAGTTATCAAGGACACAACATAGTTCTATGGACCCTCTGTCCTGGGGATTATCAACATGGATATTGAAATCACCAACAATAACAATACAGTCAAATTCAATACATGCTATAGACAACAGTTCACTAAACTCGTCAAAGAAGGTTGCACAGTATTTAGGTGGTCTAGAAATGTCCAGGAATAAATCGTGTGTGGATGTGAGAGCCACATATTTAAATGAAGTGAAATGACCAAAGGCCCTCTGCTTGCATTTAAGAGAAAATAGCAATTCCACTCCCTTTCTTATGCATGAGGCCAGCCACTCTCCTGAGGAAACCCATTTTGGCCGTTTGTACTGTGACCTAGTCCTTTGGGTCATGACCCGTCCTTCATGATCACAGGTGAGGCTATCAACAAAGATTGACCAGAAGATCGAGAGCTTTTCCTTCAGGCTCAGATCTCCTTTTGTTACAACGGTGCGGTAAAGCGAGCGCAGTACCGCCCTCGCTGCTCCAATTCTCTGGCCAAACTGACACTCCATCTTCCCCTCACCCGGATGGGGGCATCCTTACCGGATGCCCAAACCACCTCAACTGGCTCCTTTCAACACAAACTCCTTCACTCGGGGTAAGGACACATTCCCTAGCCGGAATAGGCAATCCATTGTTTTCCTACAGAGAACCATGGCTTCACACACGTCAGCTGTGAACAGTTCCAGTGAGAGTTGGAAGTCACAGACCTTATTAATTGTCTTTCCTCTCTCAGGTCCATTTGGACTTGTTTATCCAAACTGGCTGTAGATGTCAAGAAAAAATACACTTTATCACACAATGGATTAACACCTTTTCTTCACCTGTGGGTGTAAAATGTAAGGTAAAAGTGAATATAATATATCGCAGCACCACAAATGACCATGCTTATTTCCATATAGTGTGCGAAAAAGTCAATATATTGATTAACGCGACAGGCCTACTGGTGTCAAAACTAATTGTTCTGTGATGCACTTTGAAAGGCCCTACACACACAATCACACACCTAGCATGCAACAGTACTCATACCACTGATGTCCACACATGGTATGTTCTGTTCTGTTAATTTCTACAATATAGTTCATACTAATTCTACTCTCTGATTCCTATGTTTTTATTGTGTGGCCTTTCTCTGCTGACAGTCATTCCTTAAGGCTCTCTAGATATACCTATAACCATCTGATACTAGCCCAGAGTCAAGCATATTCATTCTAGAAAACTATACCCGGAGTGTTACAATAGCGAGTATCAATTCATTCCATGTGTCCATCCAGGCAAATTGGTGGATCCAAATGTGATGAACCAAACTTTTGACTATAAATGATCTTATTACAGCGACAAGTTGCCCTTGCCTTAGGAAAGCAAGATGTAGGCTAGAGCAAGATTATAGGCTAGAATCCAATAAATTAAAGTATAGATAGATAGATATAGATTGTGGTAGATTTAAGAAATTATTACAAATCAATCTTTTCCACCACATTTCCTGGTTGATTTTTTCCCAGGAGACAACAAAGGGTTTTCTGGGCCTTAATTGTCGTCACATCGCTGTAGTCAGGATATTTGGACAGTTGGCTTCGCCATACTTTGTACCATTCTGCTTCACTTTAAGTGGGGAAATATTTGTGTCTTGATCTGACAATGGAACACACACTATCTTTGGTTTAGTCATTTCGTTACCTCCATGTTAGGTTCTCTGACACTTTTATCTGGTAACGTTGCCAACAGAATCCTTCAGCCCTACCGTGCTTTTGATATGTGGTTGTTTTGGCTGTAGTTAGGTGTAGAAAAGGACCAGAATGCAATTAAATGATGATTGTTTGTGTTGTTGCTGAAGGAGACTCAAGCTATTGTTAGAAAACAATAGCTTGAGCTGACTACTGCCACTCCTTGTCAACATCTGTTACGTATGTGAAAGATGGAAAGTAATAAAAGATGGAAATAACGACCTCTCTAAACTTTTATTTTGAAGGTTGCCCTATAAGTTGCAGACGACCCGGATGTTGATCTCCGAGAAAGTATGCTCGATCGGTCGTAGAATCAGCAGTGTCTTTGTTACGTTGATCAAGTATTTCCATCAGTCCTGATCCACAAGAGTCTCTGGACGTCTGGATAAACCTATGACGGAATTTCAGCTTCTCACCTTTTTATTCTGGATTTTGTTTCCTCTCAATCATCTCCCGGTAGCATGCTAAGCTATTGGAGTTATCTTAGCATGCTAGCTGGAAACAGACCGAAGTTAGCAACACAGCGCTAGTCCGAGTATAACGGAGTTTATCTGGAGGAAGCGTGTCTGTGATTTAGTGAAGATGTTTAAAGTCCAAATGCTGAGATGTTTATTGAAGCAGCGACTCACTGGTTCTGCTGAAGAGATATTTGGCCTGTTTGAAAGAACGATAGCAGAGTACGAGGAGGAAACTTCTAGATTAAAAGAGGACAACGAGCGACTAAAGAAACGTCTGCACGCTGTTTTCAACCCGGAGGTCCGCATACAAAGAGCAGGTTGGTTCTCTCACACTCGCGCTCATAAGGTAACGGCTTTAAACTCCTGGAAGTGAAACCTTTAACCCCCCCCTAACTTGTAATGAGGTGTGTAACATGTGGGTGTGTAGTATGAATTTTAACTTTTAGAATTAAACCAGTATTTGACTCGAAATGTAATGAGTTAACGCTTACTTTAACATCTTTAAATCACCTGAAAACATTACACAATTATTTCTATAAATCGTTTTACTGGATAGTTTGCTATGTTATTCAAAATAGAAAAATAAATGGACAAAAAGTATTTTTGGGTTGAATATAATTTTGCCCCTCTCCGCTGATGCCCGTCCCCTACGCCAGGTCAGGGTTAGTCTGAATCTGAAAATTTGATCAGAAAGTCAAAGAATATTTGAAACTTGAAAATATAAGCTTTGAATCTGAAAATATATAATCTGCAACCGTAATATATAATACAGCGAGGGTCAAAAGAATTAATCTATTTATATGGTCAAAACTATATTCAAGCCCAAAATACTTTTTGTCCACCTATTTTTATTTTAAATGCATTGTTGTATTTTTCAATCAATAAGACCAAAATTTTAATTTTAATTTTCAAATTACCAAATGTTTGACCTGGATTTGGCTCCATAGGGCGACTGTGGGTGAGTGGGGAGCACGGTCGTCCTCCAATCAGAGGGTTGTGGGTTCGATCCCAGGCCCGGCTAACCTGCATGTCGTTGTGTCCTTGGGCAAGACACTTAACTCAACATTGCTCCTGTAGCTGCGACTACAGTGTGTGAATGGTAGTTACTGATGGCAGGTGTCACTGTGTATGGTTCTCCTGTCATCAGTGTATGAATGGGTGTGAATGGGTGAATGATGTCATGTAGTGTTAAAGCGCTTTGAGTGGTCAGAAGACTAGAAAAGCGCTATACAAGTACAGGCCATTTACCATTACCATAAGGATTCCTTTATGTTCCAGTTCAAACGGCTCAAAGAACAAAGACGTACATGACAGTTATATAGCTTCTATGACACATAAAAGTTGCTTCTTATTGGCTTAAAGTTGTTGAAAAGGACACGCCATTTGTCACTCGTCACTGTCCGAATCTGTTGCTTAAAATTAAAATATTTAATCCAAGAAAAAATCCTCTGATTTATTACAAGTTTCACATAAATAAGGAGCTGGCTAGGTTAATTTAAATCCTGACGCCGCGTCCAGCCTTAAAAACCTATTGTAACCACACCGGTTTTGGCCCTACAGTGGTCTTTACATTCCTACGAGCCAAATACGTCCCACGCTACTTACACACAATGTCCAAAAGCTGACAGTCTTTTACTGTGGCCAAATTCTAGGCATTGTTTTTCACACGTAGATATTTTGTGCGCATGCTGAAAAAAAAGGAAAAACAATTATACTCTTCAGTATGTTATATTCCAGTTTCAAAATTGTTTATGCATGTATCTAATCCCCGAAAATAAATACCAAACAGTTTAAATAGAAAACAGAATACCTTCACAACTAGCGTGGGTTTCCCATAAGTGACCCTAGACAATTATTGAACCACAGTGATGCTGAGATGATGAGAGCTGTTGAGGCCAATACGTCAATGGATACTGAACCTGGAGGAATGGGAAGGACCCAGAAAAAGTGACTTCATTCAATGCCTTTGATTTCATAACCTGTTCACAACACCTACATGTAAGATACAAGTGGTCAGAGACACAATAAGCAAATAGTTCAGTATGTACTTTATTTTAAATGATGTTGTGCCTAGTGTACTTTGGTACACTTTAGTAGACGGGATCAGGGGCACAAAGACAATACAACATGACAATGTATTTTCACATAATATATTTTAGTTTTCATGCAAATTGTCCTCTACATTGTCAACATGTGATGAATTGCTTAGAATATTCAGGCGGTAAATTGCTGTAGTTGTATCATAAATTGATTGTTACACAATACTTTCCATTATATTTCTTTTTCTGATCCACAATATTTCCCAAGTTCAAGGGGATGATCTTTTCCAAATAGGTTTTAACGTCTTTGAGATTAACACCTGTACAGTAATAGTCACAGCATGAAAGAATGAACTAGCTAAGTGGTAATAATTAATAATTTAGTTGATTAACTATATTGTGTGTTTTGATTATTATTATCCATAGACCTCCAGCAGTTGTTTGTGCTTAAAGAAGAACAGAAGGAGGATCCAGAGCACCCCCACATTAAAGAGGAGCAGCTGGAAGAGGCTGACATGAAGGTCTCATTCACTCCTGTGAAAAGTGAAGATGATAAAGTGGAAGCTCAATTCTCGCAGCTTAATCAGAGACAAACTGAACAGATGGCGAAAGAAGGTGATGGGGAGAACTGTGGAGGCCCAGGTCCAGCTAGTCCTCCAGAAACAGATACTGATGAGAAGACTGGAGAGTCTTCTGAGACTGAGGACAGTGATGACTGGAATGAGACCAAAAAAACTCAGTCAGGTTTAAACTCTCATAATAATGGTGACAATTTTGTCAGTGATTCAAGATGTAGAACAAGTGAGAAACCTTTGCTCTCTTCTGAATGTAACAAAACATTTGGTTGCATTAAAAAGCGTAGAAGGCACATGATGACCCACACATCAGAGAAACCTTTCAGCTGCTCACAGTGTGGAAAATGTTTCAATGTGAGTGGAAGTCTGAAGAAACACTTGAAATGTCACACCAGGGAGAAACTTTTCAGCTGCTCACAGTGTGGTAAATGTTTCACTCAAAGTAGAGGTCTAAAGACTCACATGAAATATCACACAGGGGAGAAACCTTTCAGCTGCTTGGATTGTGGTAAATGTTTCTCTCAAAGTGGAGGTCTGAAGATACATATGAGGCGTCACACAGGAGAGAAACCTTTCAGCTGCTTAGAGTGTGGTAAATGTTTCATTGTAAATGATCATCTGAAGAGACACATGATATGTCACACAAGGGAGAAAGCTTTGAGCTGCTCCCGTTGTGGTAAATGTTTCACTCAAAGTAGAGCTCTAAAGACTCACATGAGATGTCACACAGGGGAGAAACCTTTCAGCTGCTCACAGTGTGGTAAATGTTTCACTAAAAGTGGAAGTCTGAAGACACACATGAGATGTCACACAGGGGAGAAACCTTTCAGCTGCTCACAGTGTGGTAAATGTTTCACTAAAAGTGGTCATTTGAATAGACACATGCGATGTCACACAGGGGAGAAACCGTTCAGCTGCTCAGAGTGTGGTAAATGTTTCGCTGAACGTGGAAGTCTGAAGACACACATGCGGTATCATACAGGGGAGAAACCTTTCAGCTGCTCGGAGTGTGATAAATCTTTCACTAAAAGTGGAAATCTGAAGACTCACATGAGATATCACACAGGGGAGAAACCTTTCAGCTGCTCGGAGTGTGCTAAATCTTTCACTACAAGTGTAGATCTGAAGACTCACATGAGATGTCACACAGGGGAGAAACCTTTCAGCTGCTCGGAGTGTGGTAAATCTTTCGCTAAAGGTGGAAATCTGAAGAAACACATGATATGTCACACAGGGGAGAAACCTTTCAGCTGCTCAGAGTGTGGCAAATGTTTCTCTAGAAGTGGACACCTGAAGAGACACAATAACTGTCACATAGGGAAGAAACCTACAACTTTCACACAAGGTGGAATTCTAAAAGTCCACATGAAAACACAAACGGATGAGAATCCCCTTTAGCCTTTTTACCATATCAAATTATTATTATATTATTCTGAGAACAAAACTCAAAGGTCACTCACATAAACTACGTTAAGCTGGTTATTCATTGGAAGGGTGTAATCTAAGGCACGTTGCCCGCTGTTGATATTGTAACATTACCCAACCTTAAATCGCCCTGTTCACTGTTGAAATACAAGTGTGACTGATTTGTATGTTTCATTTGCCATTTGTGTTACTGCAGGCAATTTTATATTATCAACGGATTACAGCATACATTTTTGTGAACCAAATTCTGTTGTTTTGCGTTTTAATGTTCAGAACTTCATGCTTCTACTTCTCACGCTCATTAATATTTTTTTAACGTTTTTTAGAAAACATTTTTTAGGACTTTTATTAGTTATATGTCTGTCAATTTGCATATTGAGCTACGCATCAAAAAATGTATCTGTGTATTAAGGAACAAAATAAGAATAAAATCACATGGCATTTTACAGAGCGAGCAGAGGCGCTGAAAAAGTTATGAAAGCAATGAATGGATTTTATTTAGTCGAGTTGTCTTTTTCCACTTCCCACACATGTTACATATGGAAAAGACTAAATTAAGGTGGTAATGGATTATATACCACAAAAATGTATTAACGAAAATATTTGTATTAATGTTGTAAGTTACTCCACCAAGGTGCAGGAGAACCCAAGTAACAAAGGTAGAAATGGTTAAGATGACACTGTTCTAATTTACAGACACATGATTCCTACCCTGTAAAGTGAATGTTGGTTGGTGGTCTTGGGGAATGAATATTTGGATTTATAACAATGGGTTGCCTTTCTGTGTGGATTCTGCACATTCTCTTGTCTGCGTGGATTTTCTCCGGGGAACTCCGGTTTCCTCCGACAGTCCAAAGACATGCTCTGGGGATTGGTAACCCTCAATTGCCCGTAGATGTGAGTGTAATTACAATATTTATGTAAAAGAATGAATGTGCATCCGTCCGTAACGAGATCCGTAGCCGTACTGTCAAGCTCGTATTCACACATAAACCTTCCTTTTCAAAATAAGGTGGTGGAGGGGAGGTCACTGAAGAAACTGTTATCCATATTGGATAATCCTGACCACCCCCTCCACCACCTGCTACAGGGACAGCGGAGCACCTTCTCCAACAGACTTCAGCTCCGCTGTCACAAGGACCGATACAGGAGATCATTCCTGCCCAGTGCAATAACACTCTACAATAAATCATCCCAGGCTAAATAATGACAATAATAACCCTGTACTGCTGTTATGTTGCTGCTCTTTCCTCTTTCTCTTCTCCTTTTACAAATTATTATTGTCTCTTTTGGAAGGTTATTCTTTTGTTTCAGTTTACTTAATTTAATTTAATATTTCTCTTATTATATTGTATATAATGTGTATCTTTTTATTCTATTTTCTTCCCTGTACATGCTGCTGTGATACCAAAATTTCCCTCTTGAGGGATCAATAAAGTATCTATCCATCTAAAAGTCCTATTCCTTTACCGGAAGGTCTATTCAATATACGTAATCAAACTACGCTTTTTTTTCGCAGAGAAAAGGGTTGAGTGTAAACACGGAGGGCTCATAGGTTGATTTTTTATGTGTGGACATGTTAACTATTGGTTTTGTTGTGGTGGAAAGATTGGAAGTTTCTACTGTGGAATTACTGGACATTTTCATCAAAGGTGCGCTCACCTTTACTCACGAGGTGAAACAAAAAGGAGAAAGAAACGAGATGGCGCGGTTGCGCGACTCCAAAAACGTGATTCTCGCACAGCTGCTCAGAGCGAACCGCAGCTGGTGCAACAACGTAGGAGTGATTCTTCAACACTGTTCTGATCTGGAATCTTTTATCGCAAACCGTAAACCTTTGTATTCCCTCCGTGAGTTAGCTTTATTCATCTAGGTGTGTGTCCACGACGGCAACAGGCAACGTGCAGCAGGCACAGCGGACACTCGCCGACTAGATGCGGAACAATCCGGACTCCTTAGTTATTGTCCTTGGGGACTTTAAACAAAATTAATCTCAACCATGAACTTCTTAAATACAAACAGTTTATTAAAAACCCAACCAGAGAGGAGCGCACGCTGGATCATTGTTACACCACAGCAAGCAGGGCTTATCACGCCGTCCCTTGTGCTGCGCACTCTCACTAGGTCAGTTTATCAGTCCGTCCCAGATCGATAATTTTGTCGATACTGCTACAGGCTCTTTGAGAGTGGCGCTGGATGCTATTGCTCCTCTGGAAAAAAGAATAGCAACAAGAAGGAAGTCTGCTCCGTGGTATAACCCTCAAACACGGAACCTAAAACAAACTGTGCGGAAACTTGAACGATTATGGCGTTCCACCAAATCAGAAGGATCTAGGCTAGTTTGGCGAGACAGCCTTAAAACGTATAAGAAGGCTCTCCGTAACGCAAGAGCATCTTATTACTCATCATTAATAGAGAAAAATAAAAACAACTCCAGGTTTCTCTTCAGCACTGTAGCCCGACTGACAGAGAGTCACAGCTCTGTCGAGCCGTGTATCCCTTTGGACCTCACTAGTAACGACTTCATGAACTTCTTCAATGATAAGATTCTGACTATCAAAGAGAAAATTGATGGTCTCCTGCCTTCAACCAGTGGCGACCTGTCCTCCGATGTAGGAAGCTTGGATGCAGCAGTGGGCCCTGATGCCTGTTTGGATGCCTTCTCTTCCATCAACCTTGATCAACTGACTTCTTTATTTTCAAAGTCTAAATCTTCTACCTGTCTCTTGGATCCGATTCCGACCAAACTGCTTAAGGAAGTTTTTCCTTTAGTTAGCACATCCTTATTAGATATTATGAATCTGTCTTTGTTGACAGGGCATGTACCACAGTCCTTCAAGGTAGCTGTAATTAAACCTCTTCTTAAGAAACCTACTCTTGCTCCAGAGGTGTTGGCTAACTACAGACCTATCTCTAATCTTCCCTTCCTCTCTAAGATCCTTGAGAAATCCGTCGCAAATCAATTATGTGACTTTCTACAAAACAATGCTTTGTTCGAGGATTTCCAGTCAGGATTTCGAGTGCATCACAGTACAGAAACAGCACTGGTGAAAATTACGAATGATCTTTTACTTGCATCGGACCAAGGACTCATCTCTTTTCTTGTCTTGCTGGACCTCAGTGCCGCATTTGATACCATAGACCATTGTATCCTGTTGCAGAGACTAGAACATTTAATTGGTATCAAAGGAACTGCACTCAGCTGGTTTAAATCCTACCTATCGGACTGATCCCAGTTTGTGCTTGTAAACGGTGAATCCTCAAAGACCACCAATGTTGGTCACGGAGTCCCACAAGGTTCTGTACTTGGACCGATCTTATTTACCCTCTATATGCTTCCTTTGGGCGATCTTATCAGGAAACACCGCATAAACTTCCATTGTTATGCAGACGATACCCAACTGTATCTGTCGATCAAGCCAGAAGAGACGGACCAGTTAGTTAGACTTCAAGAATGTCTTGGAGACATCAAAACTTGGATGACCGGCAACTTCCTGATGCTAAACTCAGAAAAAACGGAAGTTATCCTGATAGGCCCAGAGCGCCTTCGAAGCCAGCTGTCACGTGATACAGTTTTTATGGATGGAATTGCTCTGGTACCCAGCAGCACCGTCAGGAATCTGGGAGTTCTCTTCGACCAGGATATGACCTTCAACTCGCATATAAAGAAGACTTCAAGGACTGCCTATTTTCATCTACGTAACATATCAAAAATCAGGAACTTCCTGTCTCAAAGTGATGCAGAAAAATTAGTTCATGCGTTTGTCACTTCCAGACTGGACTACTGTAACTCTTTGTTATCAGGCTGCTCTTGTAAATCTCTTAAGCCTCTCCAGTTGATTCAGAATGCTGCAGCACGTGTATTAACAAGAACTAAGAAAAGGGATCATATCACTCCTGTATTAACTTCTCTGCACTGGCTCCCTGTTAAATCAAGAATAGATTTTAAGGTACTTCTCCTCACCTACAAGGCACTTGCTGGTGAGGCACCGTTGTATCTTCAAGAGCTTGTAACACCATATTGCCCTACAAGGCAACTGCGCTCCATAGATGCTGGGTTACTTGTTGTTCCTATGGTTTTAAAAAGTAGGCTGGGGGCCAGAGCCTTCAGTTATCAAGCTCCTCTTTTGTGGAACCAGGTTCCACTTTCAGTCCGGGGGGCAGATTCGGTCAGCTCTTTTAAAGTAAAACTTAAAACGTTCCTCTTTGATTCTGCCTATAGTTAGGGCTGGCTCAGGTTAGTCCGGACCAGCCCTTAGTTAAGCTGCTATAGGCTTAGAATGCCGGGGGAATTCTTAGGACACACCAAGCTCCTCTCTCACGCTCTCGTTCTACCATAATTCAAGTTTTATTAATGCACATGACTAATTCAGCTTCTTTCCGGGAGTTTTTTTTGTGCTTTCTTCCCTATCAGGTCTCCGTAGATCGTGGTTCCTTCGGGACCCTGGTCCTGACACCTACCGTGGCCATGCTGACGCCTGCTGCTGCCATCATCATCATCATTATTTTAGATATTAATCATATTACTTTACTCATAAACCGACATTACCCTCTCCTAAAATCTCTGTGCTCTCCCTCCCCACAGGCTTCTGTGGATTGTGGTTCTATCTGATGGTGGTTGTCCCTGCAGTGGTCCTGCTGTGCGCCTGGCTTACTACTCACAACTACTTCATTACTATCATTTCTGTCATAGGAATTGCATGTATTATACATTGTTCATTCTGTACACATGGCATCCATTGTAGTCTGCCCATCCCGGGAGTGGGATCCCTCCTCTGACGTTCTCCCTAAGGTTTCTTCCCTTTTTTCCCTCTTGTAAGGGTTTTTTCATTTTTTGGGGAGTTTTTCCTGTGCCGGTGGTGGGTTTCGGGGCAGAGGATGTTGTATGTGTACAGACTGTAAAGCCCTCTGAGGCAAATTTGTAATTTGCGATAATGGGCTATACAAAATAAAATGACTTGACTTGACTAGGTCATGGTCCATCTGATTCCTGCATGCAGGCAGAAACTAAAGTTCTGCAGACCTGTGGTGAGGAAATTCAAGAAGTGGATCAGCGAGGCGCTGGAGGATCTTCGGGCGTGCCTGGACTGCACAGACTTGATGTTTTCAGGACTCCCACCAACTGTCTGAATGAGTTCAGAGGCTGTGACTTCTAACATTGTCTCCTGTGAGGACAGCTGTATACCATCATGCACCAGGGTGAGCTATAACAACAACAAATCCTGGTTTACAGCGGAACGTAGAAAGATAGGACTGCAGAAGGATCAGGTATTTAGGAGGGGGGACCCGATTCTATAATGCCAGATTTGACCCATGTTTGGCAGCCATCTACGGGCCAGAACCTGTTTCAGAGTTGCTGGCCGATAAACCCGGCTGCCATGTGTCAACCAGAATAGGCCCAATTCTATAATGCCGGATTTGGTATAGGTTTGGCAGCCATCAATGGGCCAGAATCTGTTTTAGTACTGGTTGGCAATAAACCCAGTGGCCATGTCTGTGCCAGAATAGGGCCATATCTGTAACAACAACACCTGGGCCAGATCTGGCATAAATAAAATGGGCCAAAGCCGGCTCACATCTGGCCGCATCGAGCCGGAACACTGCCGAGCTAGCCAACACTCAGCCGCAATACGGCCGAGTCCGCTGGCTAGAATCAAACGGATTCCACCAGCTATGATATTAGAGGGTCACACCACTGATTTAGCATGAGGAGATTAATTTGTTGTTTTAGTCCTGACGTTGTCATCAGGGGGTATGGCAGATTAGACACTCCAATTGGATGCCTGGTATTTGGAATCTAATGATAGACTTTAATGCGTTACCAGGTGTAACAATAGGGTCGTTTATTGTAGTACTGTTGTAGGGGGGACGGATTTAGAGGGTGCAGCACACACGCGGAGCGGCCCGGATAACTGTACTATGGAAGAGTATTGATGACTGCTTACCAATAAAGTTCAAGTAAGCAAGACTGCTTTAATCGTCCATTATGTATAGTCAACCGAGAGACAGAACATAATGAAACACTAGGGACCATTATTTTAACAATATTTGAAATAGTATGACTGTGGTCTCTGCTCTATTTCTGAATTCCTTCACTTGGCTTACGGTGGTCTGCTTTGATTGTTACTTTTCAGCGGAATGGTATCTATTAATAATTGTAATCATGAAGTTAACTAGAGGATTCTGGGAGTTTATTCACCCTCCAGTCCCACGCGGTCTCCACGTTGTCAGCTATTCGTTTGATTCTCGGCCTCGGCGTCCCAGTTCTTCCCGCTGTTCCTCTTCCTGGTCCTCTCTGCCATCACCAGAGCCGCCGCCACGGTGACCAGTACAGTACCGGTGATGACGAGCACGGTGGCAGTCTCGGCCACACACAGCCGGCTGTCCACCCAGGCCAGCGAGGCGCCGGCCAGCTGCGGCGGCTCCTGGCACGTCACGTTTCGGTAGTCGTCGACGTGGAGGTGGCGGACGTGCAGGATCTTGCTGAAGACGCGGTGCAGGTCGCAGTCGCAGCTCCACGGGTTGCCTGGCGGCGCAACAACAGAGGTTTAGGAGAACTGGCTCGGAGTGCGCTGACCCGTAGGGGATTATGAGTTCACTTTAATTCTTTCAATGTTTCATATTCCATATGTGAAAGCAAGAGAGATGTAAGAAAGGTAAACCTAATGTGTGTACAGCTGCTAGAAGGATTTAAATACACATACACTGTACATACTTAGAATGTGATTTTAAAGAGTTTAAAGAGCATTTTTGATTTCATCTAGACTTAAATTGTTCAATATTCTGTTTTCCGGCATGTTTAGGTAAAGCATTTATATTGATGGTTTATTGGTTTATTTAGTCTTCTTATGTATCGATGTGGACCTGTCGTGGAAAATGTAAATACCTTTTGTTAATTCAGTACTGTAGCTTTGTAACACAATGTGAATTAAAGGAAACATTCTCAGGATATAATGCGAAGTGGCCTTATAAGTACAATTTAAGTACTACAATGTGTTAGTCTTTTAGTCGAGGTAGAAAAGACATGTTGAGAAAGAGAAAAGAAAAATGTCTTTTCGAACGGAAGCATTTGCTGAATTTATCTCTAATGATGACAATGCATACGTCATTATTATGAAGGAGTATTTAGCAGAGTAAAGATCTCCACCAGGTGTGTCTGCAAAGGAGGCAGTCAATGGCACAGTAGAAATCGGTGAGGAAAATGGGATTCATCCATGAGAATGTGGCGTAGCTTCCTGCCCCAGAATGCGAGCTTAGTCGAGGACAGACACACAGGTGCACTGTCAGTTGGTCAATCACTCACAAACACACACACACACACACACACACACACACACACACTCCTTGGAGGAGATGATATGATATAACATGAAAACGAGGAACGTTTCTCATTAAAATGAGAATTTTTCATGGTGGCAGCAACATGCATTTTTTTTTTGATCTTAACTGCAGTGAATAAACACATTCCTATTGTGAGCTCTAGTGGTGTCTCTTCACTTGGTCAACAATATAAAGTAGTGTAGATACTGGAAACCTGAAAGCTGGATGTGTGTAGCCGTCGTATGAAGGCAGATGAAGGTCTTGAACTTGAGGCGTTGCAGGTTGTTTCCATCCAGAGCAAGGACGGCCAGGCTGTAGAGCGGCGCCAGAGCATCGTTATCGATCCGTGAGATGTTGTTGTTGCTCAGCTGGAGCACCTGGACAGAGGCGGGTAATCAGACCCACAGCCACGCAGTAAACCTGCAGTACATGCACACAGTTGATTTCTCATCTATTGCACCTCTAGTCCCGGCAGCATATCCAGGCTCCCGTGCTGCAACACAGTCAGCCTGTTGTTGCGCAGGTAGAGCTGTCTGAGCCTGGAGAGGCCCCTGAACACCCCGAAGCCAACCGCCACCAGCTGGTTGTGGCTGAGGTCCAGCCTCTCTATGTTGTCCAGATGCTCAAAGCTAACGGACAGGAAGGAGAGACAATTACAGGGTCATTCCACATGTGATGAGTACGCCACTAACTTGATGCTGGGAGATTTGTGGGCTTCTTAGCTCTGATGAATGAGGGGGTGAATAAGACGAGTCGGCATGGCCGAGGAGTTGGCAAAGTCATATTTTGTCGGGTTTGGTGCAATTCCTGCTCTCTTTTAGCTATTTATTGGTCCCTAACAGGTCTGGATTTTGGCCAGTGTTACTAGCTAATCGCTATGTTTGTCTGTTTGAGTGTTTCATTATTTTAAATTACAGACAGCCACAAACTACGTTATGGGAGTACCAGTCAAAGTGAAGATGCTGATCTGAAAAATCAACTATTAGCTTGAAGACGCTATTAGGCTACATAACAAATAAAGCTGATGGAAACCAGAGTACAGAAACAAAGGGACAAAACCCTCGTGCTTTTTGGACAGATGGCGCCGCCTTGGATTGAATTACACCAACGTTTGTTTGTGGATGTATTAAGAGACGTCTGTAATTCAGTAAGTTCCTTTTTGTTTTAGAGATGGATGGACTTTTCATTACAAACATGAAATTGCTACATCCCAATGTATTAAGTTGTATGCCCATTTGTCCCTCCCAGTTCAAATTTGAACAAATCCAGTTCTGAGGAGCTGGAAGGAGTTTAATAAAAATACAGATTATAGCAAAGATTGAAAGATGGACTTCCATTGTATTTTGATGGACCGACTGGTACCTGTTTCCAGATAAATGGTGTAAGTTGTTGTGCTCCAGTCGCAGCTCTCTGAGGCCGGATAGACTGGTTGAGAAGTCAACAGGTAGAGCGGTTAACTGGTTCCAGCTGAGGTCCAGCTTCTCCAGGAAGGACAAAGAGAAAAACGCCTGTGGAAAGACAAAGAGAAAGAGAAGCATGCATTTAAGTATTGACCTTCCTTTTGGTTTATACAGACACAAGTATGGTCCTTTCTACTTCCCTCTCACCGTCCCTCACACTGTGATACCAGTGGACTCCAGATCTTCTTCCCTTCAATTCTTAATATCTGCACGTTCTCCTCCATCATCGTACTTCTTCTCCTGTTAAACCTTTACCTTTTCATTCTTTTCAAATCAACTAGCATTTCCACTGGTTCGTAGCTCAGCTGTTCTTAATTTTCTAAAGGGTAAATAAACTGTATTTGTCCGGCACTTCTCTAGTCCTCCGACCACTCAAAGCTCACTACTCTGTCATCAATCACCCATTTACACCCATCCTTGCTCCATACACAGTGACACCAGCCCATCAGCAACCAACACTCATACCATTACCATCCACATGTGGACTAGCGGAGCTGGGGATCGAACAGCCAAATCCTCTGATTGAAGGGACGACCTTGAGCTGTGACCTTTCACATGACCCCCCGTTCCTACCTGTGGTTGCACTTCATGTATCTGGCTGTCGGTCAGAACCAGCACCCTCAGGGACCAGAGTCCGGTGAAGGCTTGAGTGCCAATCTCGCTCAGGTTGTTTCCGCCCAGCTCCAGTAGCCAGGTGCCGTGCGGGAGGCCCCTGGGGACATGTTCCAGCCTGCAGGAGCGGCAGTCCACTGCGTCTGAATTCTCGTAGCAAACACAGCGTGGTGGACACAACCGGGAGCAATCGGCGGATGGGAAAAGGGACGGTAGGAATAACAAGGCAAAAAGGCAGATGACAGGGGCCAGTAACAGGAGACGCATATTATAAGCGAGAGGAGGGAGGGCGGCCGTGTGGTTAACGTGTGGGAAGTTGAATGAAGCTCTGTAGTTTGATGCCACTGTCCTATTTGTAGAGCCTCGTAGTCAGCCTGAAAATAAGAAAGCGAGCAACGTTTGAGCTCAACTTTAGATTTAAAGTCTCAAACACTTCTGGGAAGGAAATATTCATTTACTACCTTTTTTTTTTTATCAAACAGGCTTTCAGAATACGTTAAATCTTAAACCAAACACGTAAAATTATTTCTCATAACTGCTACAGTTCTGTAACTGTCATCCGATTTACGCCTCCCTCTCCCATCAGAATGTGATTATGTAATCACAGCGATTCCAAGCAAAGCGACAGAAAGGATTAAATCAAGCCGGCCTGTCTGAAACATACTGTATATAGTGCATTTTTTTGTATTCACTATAAGCAGCTTCGGAATGGCAGGTTAGTATTTTCTTCACAACTTCTATCAACACAAACTTTAGAAAGTGCAGTATTTCTAAGGAACATAACACAATATTTTTTCATCATTGATATGAGATTGTTACATTTTTCAAGACAAAGAGTAAAACCGACCCGTCCAAATGATACCGATGTCCTCCCTGATGTGTGGGCCTCTCTCTCTGAGCTCACCTCCCCTGCTAATGTAGAACACAACCATCACTGTGCTGCATCCTTGTCCTGTCGCTCCGCTGGATGGCAGCTGGGCAGAGAAGAGCTGGAGATGACGGGCAGGTGGGGAAACAAGGAAGGAGGGGCGATGCCGACGGAGCGTTTAGCTGTGTCAGTAATAATCCTCTAAGCCCCGTCCATTCGCCAAATGTCTCCTCTCATCCACTGAACTCTGGCAGCTCGTCTGATGTCTCTGTGCCTCTGTCCCCCTCCCTCCTGTTTCCCGCTAATACCCCTAGGGAGCCTTTAGCATCCCTCCGTCCATCTGTTCCACTGACTTTGGTGTTACATAAAGGCTGTTAACCGCTTATGAAGAGTTTGCGGGTGAATATTTACGAGGATGAGGATGTCAGGCGGGGAGACAATAGACCCCCACGCTGGTTCTCGGCATCTGGACACACCAGATAGATCTGATAATGAACATCATGTTTATCAGTGATTACCCATGATATGGACGTTTTTCCCTCGTGCAAACCTTATCATTGCGTCATTCACGCTCAGATTTCAAAAGGCACAAGCTCCATTACAAACTGCACAGAGCAAAACCAAGGATTATGCTGGATTACCAAAACAAGTCACCGACCTCCAAGGGGCCATAAAGTCCCCAGGTTTACTGCTCAGCTATTGGCTTTTTTACATTGAATTGATTGTCGATTTTTCAGTAAAACTTGCTTCTTTGACATTAGACATACACCTGTGTTATTAATTAGTGTGCATCCCGAATACAAAGCCTTCAGACATCTAGGCGACCTAAAATCGGACTACGTATCTTTTCCTTAAACCAACCTAGTCTGCTATATTTGTTGTTGATTCTACTGTCTTAAGTTAATTTGATTGCTGGTTTGCTTTAGCCCTTGCCGTTTTTAGTGCCAGTTCTCGCTGTTGACTCTGCTATTAAGTTAACTCCTAGCGTGCCCTCCTAACTTTTCTAGGTTTGACCTGATCCAACTCTGTTTTGCCTTCTCTTCTGAAGCAAGAGACTTGAATCCTTAAACCCTCAGTTTGTCAAAACAGCACATGGTGATTATTCACTGATTAAAGTGTCAAGCGGTTGTTGTTTTGCATTTTGAGGACTTTCTGCTTTTTGTCCCCTAAACGACGGGGGAGTGGCCAGCGCAGCTGTAGCCAACTTCCACTGACGAGGGAGTATTTAACTAGAGGTTGAGTGAAGCATTAGCTTCAGTGTTTGCATAGCCTCGCCGCACACTGAACAAAGACAAGGGAGTCTTTCGTGGTAGTCAAGACAAGCAGGACAAAGACAAGGAGTCTGTTCGTCGCAACATTCGCTCCCTCTCTCCCTCCTCTCTGGCCTCCTCTATTTTATCAGCTCTCCCTTCAACTGACTCCTTCTCACTATTTCATAACGACGGGCCGGCAAATCTCCTCCGCCTCCATGGCTGTCTGAACCGGTGTGTGCCGTGAGAGCCACCATGCGAGCCTCGGAAAGGAGATGGCATAAATATAAACAACCTGATGACCTGCTTGCGTCTCAATCTCTTCTCTGCTTCTATCTCCGCAGCCAAAATCTCTTCAATCCAGAATTGAATCTTCATTTTCTAACCTCAAATAACGTCTGACCACCTGCCATCTTGACCCCATTCTATCACATGTTCTAAAATCTATCTCTCCTGACCTTCTTCCTTTCCTCACCTGTCTCATCAACAATGCTCTGTTATCTGGCTGTTTTCCCCAATTCTCTGAAGGAGGCAAGAGTTAACCCACTCCTGAAGAAACCTACCCCCAACCCTTCTGAATAAAACAACTAGTCTCTGTTTTTCCCTTTTTGTCCAAATTTTTTGAACGTGTGATCTTTAACCAACTCTCCTCTTATCTCCACCATAACAACCTCCTTGACCCCCACCAGTCAGGCTTCAAGGCAGGCCATTCCGTAGCGACTGCTCTCCTTGCTGTCTCAGAGCAACTCCACACTGCCAGAGTCCTCCTCTTCTCGCTCTACACGAACTCTCTCGGCACTGTCATTCGCTCGCATGGCTTCTCCTACCACAGCTATGCCGATGACACCCAACTAATTCCCTCCTTCCCTCACTCGGATACTCAGGTGGTGGCACGGATCTCTGCCTGTCTGACTGACATCACTCAGTGGATGTCCGCCCACCATCTGAAAATCAACCCCGACAAGACTGAACTACTTCTCTTTCCGGGAAAATATTCTCCGACTCTAACTTTGGCAACTCCGTGTTAACATCCCCTTTTTGCAAATTGCAAATTGGCTTATTTGCTGAAATTGCACTTTCTTGTTTCTTGCTCTTCTGAGTTTGTATCCCTATGGTTGTCCTTATGGTTATGGTTGAATGGACTTATTGTAAGTCGCTTTGGATAAAAGTGTCAGCTAAATGACATGTAATGTAATGTAATTATTGTTTGAAGGAGGGACACTCTGTCAAAATCTATAAGATTTAGAACTGATAATTGATCAGTTTCCTGTTTCTCTGTTTTCAATTATCAAGTAGTTTGGAGATGTCACCTTGAGCTTTAAGAACTTGTGAGGCATTAGGGTTAGTGTTAGCATTACTGTTTTCTATAAATTTTATTTCAACTGAATCAATGAATCAATAATAGAAATAGCTCTAATTGTTAGTGTTAGTTAGTTAGGGGAAACAAATAGTGAGCATTGGCATCTACAGAAATTGGAAAGTAAACAAGTTAGCGAAAAAGGTGGTATGGGGAGGATATGAGGAAATAAATAATATACTTTCAAAATAGAGCGAAATAAGTGATAGTGCCACAAAAGGAGGACATTTACATTAAATAGAAAGTGTAGTATGACGGGTAAGAAGTTGCAGAACTGAAAAAGAACACGTAGGAGTAAATTCGGATTCAGCAACTTGAACATCCCACTGATAAGCACGCCCTGGAAAACCGAAAGTACAGTTGTGGTCAAAAGTGTCCTAATTAAAGTCAATGTTGTTCAAGATCAAAACTTTCAGGTTCACATTGGTTTTTCTCAAATGATCAAAACATTGGACACCCATTACAGCTGTAAATCCAGCCAAGATCACAGCAATGCCTTAAATAGCGCAATTTACATAAACCTATACCAATGCTACCATTACATTATTAACCAGCAAATGTTTTTATGGTTCCTACTCAATGTGTAATTTCTGACCAGGATATCTTATCGTCTATTTCCCTGAAATGGATGAAAGAGTGAAGTACTCTATCAGAGCTCATCAGAATGGAGTAGTGCCATCTGAAAGGGAAAGTCTGCAATGAAAACCCTTTTAAATTAAATTATTGAAACTAACCAGAATTACAGCAGACTCTTAAGATTTTACCTGTCACACAAAGCAATCCTTTGCTCTGCGACTTGAATATTACATTACATTACAAGTCATTTAGCAGACGCTTTTATCCAAAGCGACTTACATTACATTTTAAACCCATGGCTTTTTCAACTTTTTGCCTGGGGAGCAATTAGGGGTTAGGTGTCTTGCTCAGGGACACTTCAACATGGAACATGGGGCAGCCTGGACTTGAACCACCAACCTTGTGCTTCCCAGCACACCTTCTCTAACCCCTGCGCCACGACGACCCCATATAATATAACATGTAATACAACATATGATATATACAATAATAATATATAATATAATACAATAATATAACATTAGTACGTTGTTTTCCACCCGTCCACTTGTTGTTGTGCAGCAGCCATGGCTGAGGCCGGAGCCCACCTCACCTCCACTGCCGCCCCCGAGCAGCCATCCATCTTTGAGGTGCTGACCCAGGAGTCTCTGCTGGAGGCGGTCCGACCGGCACCGAGGCACGCCGGAACCAAGGTTAAGATGGGGTAACAGACAGTTTCTTTGTTCGAAGGAAGACACAGCTGCAAATGAAAACTTTGAATCATTCTGCTTTTCACACGTTAAACTTCAATACAGTCAATTATCACTCTTTTAGCATAAGACTATGTTACAACATATTTTACCATTACAGCTCTCCCTGATTTCTTTCTTTTCCCTCGGTGATAAAAGGGGTTTTTGGATGGGGGGTTTCCTGTGCCAATGAGAGGGTTCCGGGACATGTGCAAAGACTGTAAATTCCTTTGAAGCAAATCTGTGATTTTGAGCTGTCCAAAATCAATTTAATTGAACTGAATTATCTAGAGTGGTGCAGTGAGCTACATGGTAGCAGCACACATGCCAATGGGTTTACGATGCAAAGCTGTCTTCAGTAAAATGACATACAACAAAACTGTATTCCCAGTTCCTTTGAGGATGATGGTATCAGCTTCATAAACAGTTTGTTCTGGCTTATGTGAAGGCGATCAAACTCCTTGGCTCACTCTGGACACAAACAACATTCTCCTTTATTTATGTTCCACCGCCATCCTAGCATGGACCTCAACCAAGATCACACTGGTTTCTTTGTGTCTTTGTGATTCACAAACCAGTTTTGCGGTAAGGGAACGGGAGAAGTGGTTGCATAATGAAAATAGCAAGATGCTGGTATTTGCGAAGATTGATGTTTAACTTTTGAATACCTTTTGAATTAAACATAAATTAAGTGAAACATTTTTTTCGACCTTGCAGCACGTCACCACCATCGACAGTATTTCGCGCCACAACACCTTTAAACGTCAGACCTTTTCTTCTTCATGTGATACCGTTTAACTTAACACCATCTCAAGCATGATATCTTTTGAGCTTTGTGCAAGAACTTCTTGTCACCATCAACCTCCACCAGGTTTAAAATCTTTGCAAAAAAAGAGTCCTCATCAGTGATTTGTTGGTAGTACTGGTGAGAATTTACAGTATTAAGTAGTATTTGGCTTCAGGGGAAATCTGAAGATGGAAGGAACACTTTGAGGAACTCCTGAATCCAACTACTACGCCCTCTTTGGTAGAGGCGGAGCTGGAGGCGGAGGAGGGATCATCGTCAATTGGCCTGGTGGAGGTCACTGAGGTAGTCAAACAACTCCGCAGTGGCAAAGCCCCGGGGATTGATGAGATCCGTCCAGAGATGCTAAAAGCAATGGGTGTTGGGGGGTTGTCTTGGATGACACGCCTCTTCAACATTGCGTGGAAGTCTGGGACAGTGCCAAAAGAGTGGCAGACCGGGTGGTGGTACCCCTCTTCAAAAAGGGGGACCAGAGAGTGTGTGCCAATTACCTGGATATCACACAACTCAGCCTCCCGGGTAAAGTACTCCAAGGTGCTGGAAAGGAGGGTTCGGCCGATAGTCGAACCAAGGATTGAAGAGGAACAATGCGGTTTTCGTCCTGGTCGTGGAACAATGGACCAGCTCTTTACTCTTTCCAGGATCATGGAGGGGGCTTGGGAGTATGCTCATCCAGTCTACATGTGTTTTGTGGACTTGGAGAAGGCGTATGACCGGGTCCCCCGAGAGAAACTGTGGGAGGTGCTGCGGCAGTATGGGGTGAGGGGGTCCTTGCTTGGGTCCATCCAATCCTTGTACGCCCAAAGCAAGAGCTGTGTTCGGGTGCACGGCAGTAAGTCGAAGGCGTTTCCGGTGGGGGTTGGCCTTCGCCAGGGCTGCGCTTTGTGTTTGTGCTTGTTTGTGGTTTTCATGGACAGGATATCGAGGCGTAGTCGGGGGGAGGAGGGTCTACAGTTCGGAGGGCTGCGGATCTCATCGCTGCTTTTTGCAGATGATGTGGTCCTGATGGCATCTTCCGTCCGTGACCTCCAACTCTCATTGGAGCGTTTCGCAGTCTAGTGTGAAGCGGTCGGGATGAGGATTAGTACCTCTAAATCTGAGGCCATGGTTCTCAGCAGGAAACCGATGGATTGCCTACTCCAAGTAGGGAATGTGTCCTTTGGTCATGACCAAAAGAACTAGGTCAAGGCTACAAGCAGCCGAAATGGGTTTCCTCAGGAGAGTGGCTGGCGTCTCCCTTAGCGATAGGGTGAGAAGCTCAGCCATTCGTGAGGATCTTGGAGTAGAGCCGCTGCTCCTTTGCGTCGAAAGGAGCCAGTTGAGGTGGTTTGGGCATCTGGTGAGGTATAAGGTATTACAGTTGACCGTGCATATCAGAGCATAAACCAAGCCATGAAGTCCGAGGAATTATCTGTAAGCCTCCGAGACAGAATTGTATCGAGGCACAGATCTGGCGAAGGGTACAGAAAGATTTCTGCAGCATTGAAAGTCCCAATGAGCACAGTGGCCTCCATCATCCGGAAATGGAAGAAGTTTGGAACCACCAGGACTCTTCCTAGAGTTGGCCGCCCAGCCAGACTGAGCGATCGGGGGAGAAGGGCCTTAGTCAGGGAGGTGACCAGGAACCCGATGGTCACTCTGACAGAGCTCCGCCGTTGTTCTATGAAGAGAGGAGAACCTTCCAGAAGGACAACCATCTCTGCAGCACTCCACAAATCAGGCCTGTTTGGTAGAGTGGCCAGACGGAAGCCACTCCTCAGTAAAAAGCACATGACAACCCGCCTGAAGGACTCTCAGACCATGAGAAACAAAATTCTCTAGTCTGATGAAACAAAGATAGAACCCTTTGGCCTAAATGCCAAGTGTCATGTCTGGAGGAAACCAGGCACTGCTCATCACCTGGCCAATACCATCTCTACAGTGAAGCATGGTGGTGGCAGCATCATGCTGTGGGGATGTTTTTCAGCGGGAGGAACTGGGAGACTCGCCAGGATTGAGGGAAAGATGAATGCAGCAATGTACGGAGACATCCTCGATGAAAACATGCTCCAACGCTCTGGACCTCAGACTGGGGCGACGGTTCATCTTTCAACAGGACAACGACCCGAAGCACACAGCCAAGATAACAAAGCAGTGGCTTCGGGACAACTCTGTGAATGTCCTTGAGTGGCCCAGCCAGAGCCCTGACTTAAACCCGATTGAACATCTCTGGAGAGATCTGAAAATGGCTGTGCACCGACGTTCTATTTTTTTACATTTTCATAAAATTTATTGTTTACACAATATTTTCCATCATATTTCTTTTTCAGATCCACGATCGTTACACAAAAGTTCCAGGAGTCAAACTTTCAAAATATGTATTAACGTCATTGAGATAAACGTCTTTACCGTAATCTGTGTCTGGTAACATCATGAAAGGATGAACTAGTTAAGTGGATGGTAATTCATATTTTTGTTAATTAAGTCCATTGTGTTTGTAATTTATTATCCACAGACCTCCAGCAGCTGTTTGTGCTTAAAGAACATCAGGAGGATCCAGAGCGCCTCCACATTAAAGAGGAGCAGCTTCAAAGGCTGGAGGAGGCTGACATGACTGTCTCATTCACGCTCAGTCCTCTCAGCTTCGCAAGCGACAGACTGAACAGATGGAGGCTGACTATGTTGGAGAGGACCGTGGAGGACCAGAACCAGACAGGAACTCTGGTCCAGATAGTCCTCCAGAACCAGATACTGATTAGAAGACTGGAGACTCTTCTGAACCGAAGACTGAGGACAGTGATGATTGGAATGAGATCCGAGAACTTCAGTCAGGTTTAAACTCTACGCAAAGACCACCAATGTTGGTCACGGAGTCCCACAAGGTTCTGTAGTTGGACCGATTTTATTTACCCTCTATTCGTCAACGCTGTTCTCCTGATATGGAGTCTTATCGTAAACTAAACCTTTTTATTCCCTCCGTGAGTTCGCTTTATTCATCCTAGTGTGCGTCAACATGCCGCCGGCGGGCAACGCGCAGCAGGCAGAGCGGACACTCGCCAACCAGATACGGCGTGTGGAGCGGACCAACCCGGACTCCTTATTGTCCTTGGGGACTAATAAAAGTAATCTCAATCACGAACTTCCTAAATACAAACAGTTTATTAAATACCCAACCAGATTTTATTAATTTACTCCGCTAGAGGGCGGGCTGCTGCTGAAGTTACTGCCGGAATAAAGACAACAGAAGAAGAAGGCGGAAGAGGAAGCGGAAGCGGTGCGTGTTGTTGGGGCGCTAGCGCACCGTGCAGCGACGAGGCGGTTCGATAGGAGAAGGAACATAGAAACATGGCACCTGTCTCTGCCCGGTGCCTTTAGCTAACTCAATGATCCGAGCGACGTGTGTCATTGGGACGAAGCCGGAAACAGCAGCGACGCTGTGCTAGCTTCCAGCTAGTGATAGCACAGGCAGGTTCGTTCACCGCTGACTCTTCAACGCACGGCTCGATAGTCTGCGTGTGTTGTTATGCTTTAACGTTACTGTGTGTGTGTGTGTGTGTGTGTGTGTGTGTGTGTGTGTGTGTGTGTGTGTGTGTGTGTGTGTGTGTCCTTAATAAAAGTTTACATTTGTTTTACATTTAAATGATCAAAGCGTTTGAGCTGGATTTGGCTCCATAGTGTTGAAAATATATTGTAGTTTGTAAAACATTTTCAAAGAAAAGTGTAGGAAACAGTTAGCGAGCTAAACCAGAAAGGTGTGACTTTGCACTATTCTTTACTTGATATTCCACTTTTATCTGGGACGACGTTTCCCACTGCATCAGTGAACTGGTTCTAATCAACTTTAATGTGGTTTATCGTGCTTCCCCGAGCTAAATTTCTATTTGCTACCATAACATTATTAACCAGCAAATGTTTTTACACTCAATGTGTAATTTCTGACCAGGATATCTTATCGTCTATTTCCCTGAGTGAAGTACTCTATCAGAGCTCATCAGAATGGAACCCTTTTAAATTAAATTATTAAAACTAACCGGAATTACAGCAGACTCTTAAGATTTGACCTGTCACACAAAGCAATCCTTTGCTCTGCGACTTGAATATAACATCAGTACGTCGTTTTCCACCCGTCCACTTGTTGTTGTGCAGCAGCCATGGCTGAGGCCGGAGCCCACCTCACCTCCACTGCCGCCCCCGAGCAGCCGTCCATCTTCGAGGTGCTGGCCCAGGAGTCTCTGATGGAGGCGGTCCGACCGGCACTGAGGCACGCCGTCAAGGCAAGCTTTGTCTTCTCATTTATTTGTTATTTTGCTTTTTTTTTGGATATAACATCTGGATTTATTTGGGAGAATCAGGATTTTTAGCAACGTGAGATCACAGGGAAAGAAGTATTTATTGCAATTCATTGTGGGACCTTCCCAGCCTTCTAATTACTTAGAATTAGTGTAAAGTCACTTCAGGTACCACAACACAATGAACAGTTATTCTTAATTCATTTATTATTCCCAGTTCATAACCTAAAGGTCACGCCTTGAGGCGTCATCGCAGGTCATAGCTTTGCTCTCGACATCTGTAGTCCATCAGCTGCTGTTCAATGGAGTCGCCTTGATTCATGATCTCACTATCCTTTTTATAAAATTAAGAAAAGGTTATCAAATTAAAATGAAGTTTGATAACCTGAAGGGAATTATATTGTCATTTAAAAACATATTTTTAAAATACATTTTGGATTATTTTTAATTTAAAATGTAGATTTTAAATAACAAATAGCGTTGCTGACCCCTCTCAGGTTCTGGCCGAGTCCAACCCATCCCGCTTCGGCCTCATGTGGCGACGCTTCGACGAGCTCTACCTGCTGCTCGACCTCCTCCTCCAGAACCACTTCCTGTCCCACTGCGGCGCTTCCTTCTCCGAGAACTTCTACGGCCTGAAGAGAGTGTCGAGGCGGCGGGGGCTCCCCGTTGGCGGGACGACCCACTGGCGTTCTCTGCTCCTCCTGTGCCTGGCGCCTTACCTGCGGGCCAAGCTGGAGGCGACGCTGGCGCGGCAGCGGGACGAGGAGGACTTCTCCATCCGGCTGGCTCAGACCCGCAGCCAGAGGCTGTACCGCGCTGCCGTGGTGGCGTACCCCTACGTCAGCTCCGCCTGGCAGGCCTGGGCCTTCTGCCAGCAGCTGCTCTTCGTCTTCGGGGGCGCCGGCACCCACAATCCTTTGCTGTGGCTGGCCGGGGTCCGACTGGCACGACTGAACGCTCGAGACGTCCGAGACATGGAGCTGAAGAGCAGCAGAACGGGCCGCCCAGCCGAGGGGAGGTACGTGGCCGCCTTCTGTTGGTTTCTATCGCATAACTCGATGTTGGGCTTTGTGTGCTGATGTCCGACAGCAGAACCTGAAGCTCTTTGAAACATGGCCACAAGCGGAGCAGAACCCGCTGCCTTATGCTTCGGCAATAGAAGCTGCAGCTACGGAGGGGCATTGTTAGGGATGTCACGATATCGATTTTTGTTGTGCGATTATTGCACCAACATTTATTGCGATATTATTGCAATTTTCAGACCATTTTATGGCACTGATAACATAATAACAATATAATAGCATAGTAACATTACAAATTGTAGGGAGAACACAGTATGCTTTGGAATTCTCATTGTTTAAATATCTTCTCACTTTTCCGTGTATACAGGAAGATTTAACCATTTTTGGTGATGGAAATTTAGTTTGAAGTCATGGAAATCCATTGGTCTAAATGAATATGAACCCTGGGGTTAACTTTAGAACCGGGTTCCCAGAATGCATCGCTCCGACTCAACGGAGCTCACAGAAGGAATCAAGAGAAGTTTAAGTTAGGAAGATGTGTATTTCATTTTCAGACCAAGCTCTCTCATTCCCCACAATGCATTGTTCTGCTGTTTGCAGCGCGGCGCAGAGAGCGTGGTGGCTGGCGGCGGGGGCGGCTCGGGGAGCGGCAGTGTCCCTCTCCAGCTCCCTCTCGCTGGGCGTCTTCTTTCTGCAGTTCCTGGAGTGGTGGTACTCCTCGGAGAACCGGGACACCGTGAAGAACCTGACCTCCCTGCCCGCCCCCCCGCCCCCTCTCCACCTGCGGCGGGACTGCGGGAAGGACGATGGGCCCGGCGGCGGCGCGGACTGCCCGCTGTGCCGCGGGCCACGCACCAACGCCACGGTGCTGTCCACCTCCGGCTTCGTCTTCTGCTACCGCTGCGTCTACGCATACGTGAAGGCCAACCGCCGCTGCCCCGTCACCGGTTACCCCACGGAGCCGCAGCACCTCGTCAAGATCTACGCACCGGAGGGTTAGCGCGCGCACACTGTGCCGGACGCTGAGGGACTGGAATTGTTTTTAAAAGGGACTCGAGAATCAGCGAGTGTCTGTTGAAGTACGGTTCTCCTTTTTTTTTTAAATAAGCACATTTTTTGTATAAATGATGCTTGCTGTGTACATACTGGTGAATGAATACGTCAGTGGTACCAGGTGATTTATACGTAATTGTGTCTCTGGTTAACTTACCATTGGAGGGACCCTTTTTATTAATGGTGATTACGATGCTCCAATTTGACAAATTTTGTCAAAAATAAAATAATTTTGGGTTAAAATAGTGATTACCGGTATCTTTATTTTACTGGCTTTTTTCTCAATTCATCTGTCGGTCCAAAGAACGTGAGAAACCTCATGGGAAATGTCTTTGACCAAATCTTGTACCTTTTTGAGAACCAGCTGCAAACTGGAGATTACATCTTTTATTTCCACTTGATTGGTTTCCTCATCTTTCCATATTTTCACACCACCCACTGCTGTAGCAGCTCGTGTGTGTTTGTATATACACTCACTGGCCACTTTGTTAGGAAAACCATCGCTTTAAACACAAATTGCTAATCAGCCAATCACATGAGAGCAACTCAATTTGTTTAGGTGGTCAAGACAACTTGCTGAAGTTCTAAGGGAGCAACAGAATGGGGGGAAAGGGCGGATTTAAGTGACTTTGAACATGGGTGGTTGTTGGTGCCGGACCGTATGTCACAAACTAGAGAATTCCTTCTCTGTGTCCTGCAAGCTGGACGAGAAGATGAAGACCTTGTGACATGTGTCAGTCAGCGAGTTCATCACACATGGCAGAACTCTGGGAAACAGCTGGCCAGAGGAACATCGCAGCCGCAGCACAGTCAGTGAGTTGCTTTATTCAGTTTCCAGACAAGTTTAACAGGCCCACTTAAAAAAACAAACACAAAGAAACAGATCATCAGGATCAACGTCACAACATTACAGTGAGTAATAAAAGAAATAAAAAGGGCTTCATTAAAATGTCTGAGTGAGCAGCCACAGGAGTCACCTTCCTCCCGTGTTCATGCTCTTGCGACACATTTGAGCGACATGAGACGGGGGAGGGGACAAGTATCATCAATAATAATCACAGTAATAGATTGCTCAAATAGCGTGTATTGCACATGTTTACACGTATATGCGCTGTATGTACATGTGAGTCGGTAAGAACTGGAAACAATGTGGACAGAAAACAGTCAGGAATGTGCTCGTGATCCGTTCCGTCTCAACGCCGCGGGGGGGCTCCTCCTCGGTCGGACAAGAGGACGTCTCCCTCAAAGGAGGGAAAGAGGCATCAGTCGCACCCAACGGAACCTCTTCCGTCCCCGTCCAAGAGTCCAGAAACAAACGTATCAAACGTGTCGAGAATTATACAGTGAAGCTGTGTGTGTGTGTGTGTGTGTGTGTGTGTCCGGTAGCGACAGTAGACCCGTGCAGCCTCAGGACGGCAGAGGGACAGAAACTCCGAATCGAGCTGACCTCAAACAGCCTCTTAAAGCTTCGTGAAGTAGCCGTCTCCGAGTGCTTTTTGCTTGAACTGCTTGCAGGTCGCCCACGTTGCTTCTCCTCAGGTCGAGGAACGACTCGGGCTGCACAGGAACACTTGGCTGAGGCCTCCAGCCGTTTTTGGGGTCCGTTGGTGCCTGCTTGTGTTTCTTTCTATCTCAAACTTCTATTCACTGGTTCTCGACCCAAGTTGTGAATTACCTCACGTTCAAAACATATGCTGCAGTTCCTCCAATGGCCACCAGATGCTGGTGCTCATACTTTGAGATATTTTATCTTAAACGTTGGGCTGTTAATTGCACAATTGTCCCTCCATCCAACTTGAGGCGCCGCTTTTTTACTACTGGTGTAACGAACAAAATGGCCTTTGGTACTTTGAAAGAGAACTGCCAGGAAACACGGCTCAATGAATTGATTGATTGATGCTCACGCTCCACCACAAAAGCCGGAAGGGAGCCTCTGGGAGAAAGTTCTCCCCAGTTGTTGCTGACACATTAGTGTTATATAACCTTGACCAGATGGGACCCAGAAGATTTGCGGTGTCGGCTACAACACTGGCTCACCAGCTGAGGGTTGTGGGAAATGGAGTCCATGTAGGTGATGGAATGGTCAGTAGCGCCGCGCTGGAAAAGCGGCAGGTTCCTTTTTCAGGACGGCAGGATGAGGAGGCGGGTGCCTGCTGCTACATGCCGCTCTGAGGAGAGGAACCTGCTGCTTTTCCATCTCGGCGTCACTCGGTTCGGAGGCTCCGTTCGGGTTTTCTCCAGCGAGCGAGTGCGGTAGTTTAAAGCTTTTGGGAGTTCTGAGAAAAAGAAGCGGAAAACAAACAGTCCTGGATATTTAACCACGCTGGTTCTTCCAGGCATTTGTGGCCAGAACAGATGTTTCTAAAGCCATCATTATTAGAATTGAAATAAATACACGTTTGTTAATTGGGTTGGTGCAGCGTAATCATGATGAATTTGAGTTGGGTTAAAAATATAGTTACAGAAAGAATATTAAAAATACAAATTAACAGGATGGTCCTTGAAAATAACCAAGAAAGTTCTTCACCATTTACGTGGAAAAAGCCTTTCACTCTGCAATTCTGTCCGCCAAGGCAGTCTTCATTCGCAGCACAGACAAACCTCTAGTATCTAGAGTATCGGTGCCAGTTCTTCAGTTACTGTCACGTACCGGAGTAACGGGGGAACCCAAAAGGCAAAGGGTGTCCCGCGTTGTTGGAGGTCAAGGAGGTTGTGAATGTGTTACGCCTCACGAGTAGTGAATTCTTTGGAGGACAGAACTCGGCATCAGCTGAGAAAATTAAGACCTGCAGCAACTACAAATGTGTTTTTGTTCATTTAAAATCCTATTTAAGACGTTTTCAGGGCTGCACAGAAGCAAAAAATAGACAAAAAGTTAGTGCCTCATGCTCGCAATGACTCCGTGGAAATGGGAACTGCGGCGCGTTGGCCGTAGTTACATCATCGCTGGACCAAACTACTCCTCGATACGACCTCTGACCTCTACATCCCCCTTTCTGTCCTTACTGCGTCTGCGCTGCTGGTTGGTTCCTGGCAGAGGAACTGAAGCTCTGCGTTTGACCTCCAACAGCTAAAGAATCCAGTCGTCCTCACCGTATATAAACAAACAAACAATGTGCTTATATCCTGTCAACAACCAGACCTTTAAAACATCAAATCTCCAAATAGAATATATTCATGAATCCAATTTGATCGGATAGAACATAATACACACGTGTGTGTGTGTGTGTGTGTGTGTGTGTGTGTGTATATATATTTAGTTCTTTTTTTATAGAAAAAGAGAAAGTATTTTGTGGGTTTTTTATATATATATATATGTATGTACAGTTATAGAAAAGTGACACACTGCGTCTGCTGTGACGTAACCATAGGCAACAGGACAGGAGAAAGTATTTACACCAAAGAGAAAATATTAAATTCAACAACAAAAAGGGGGACGTGCTGGACGTTGTGCGGTTTGAAAACGTGCCACAATCCCACGTTCTCGCGCAAAAGGGGGCGGGGCTCAGACCAAGTGACGGAGACGGATTGGCGGTTTACATTTCTCAACCAGTGAATACTGTTAAACGGGTCAGAGTCGTGTCAATATCCACGGTGAAAGACGTTAATATTCAACAGACGCCCACTGGGGACCCCCAGTGTGTGATGATGGCTTCAGATGCTTTTCTTCCCAAAATAAATCAAAATCGGGAATACCTGGCGGAATATTGTCAGATTTGAAGGAACATACAATTGTTTTCAGTATATATATATATATATATATATTCATGATTCTCCCTCGCGAGGTTGCTGAATAGTGAGATAAGGACAAATTAAGGCATCCAGATGAAGAAACAAGAAGAGAACTGAGTGAACGGGCCGCTGTGTGAGCATGTGCGTCGGTTTCTTCAGTCCTGATTGGCTGCTTGCTTTGCTGAGGCTTTGTGTTTTTGATGGGATGATTTTATTCTTAAAAAAGGCACCTAGTTCCTCCTCTGCTCATTTTACAAACAGTGAACTCCTCCTCTGACCCGACGGCGCCCGGTTCGATCCCCCGGCAGACGGACAAGAGGGCGCCCACTCGGTTTGACTCTTTGCTGCGGACACCGAGGAGCGGGGACCCAAGAGGAAGGAAAAAACCTCTGTGGTGCCGTGTGCAGGTGGTAAAAGTATGCAGGTTACAAGACGTGTCCCCTCGCCGACGCTGCCCTCCCGTGGTTACCGTGGAGACGCCAACAAGTCGTTTGCTCCTACCGCGGGCTGATGGCGAAGACGTGTCTGTGGTTTCCACAGCGCCTTTTGAAATCCGTAATGTCCTCCTTGGGAGTCCTCCACAACGGCACAACTCTGCTCTGTGTGTGTGTGTGTGTGTGTGTGTGTGTGTGTGTGTGTGTGTGTGTGTGTGTGTACCAACGCACACTCTGCGGAGGAAGAAGAGAAGGAAGAGGACGTGCCAGAAGGAAGTGAAACGTTTTTTACAATACAGGCTCTTCTTCCATTGGCTCCTCTGTGCACCTGAGAGGTAAATGAAACAATGTCAAAACCTGACAAAACGAGTACATACACAAACACATGTGTAAATAATTATAATGTATAATTATATAATATGGCTGTCAACATAAACGCATTAATCTATGCGATTAATGTGGCTGAGATTAATGTAACACATTATTTTAATCAAAATGTGGGATTAATTAGTTAATTTCGTAATCTATTAAAAGCCCTATATATATACATATATATGTATAGTTAATTACAGTGCAGTTAATTACAGTGCAGTTAATTACACTGAATCGCAACATTTAATCTCACTTTTATTCAAAAGTAGTGTATTGGGTGATTTTATTTGGGTGCTTTTATTCATGCAAACACTAAACATTAAGATACTTAACAGAATCCCCCGAACACAGTAGCAGTTCATTTTGTAAATTTCAAATAAAGAAATTGTATATTCATTTATTAAATTAACTTAATCAAATTAGATATAAAACCAAAGCGCTCATGACGCCTCCCAAGTCAACACTGAACAACGCGCTACACACAGTAGTGGGTCCGTGTGCACTGCACTGCTAACCTGCTGGTTTCCGCGTTGTCTGGATCAGAGCCCGGCCGCTCAACGTCGACGCTGAGTGAGGCCATGGCACTGACCGTCTCGGCCTCGTCCTTTTCCGATTGGCCCCGGGCCCCCACGGGGTCATCAGATAGCGAGTGGCCACTCGTCTGGGACAAACTCTGGAGACACGACCAGTGTTTATCTGTAGGGCAGAAGAGAGAACGTGGGATGAAGGCCTGGCTTCTCATCCCCGTGTGTGTGTCTGTGTGCGTGTTTCTTACCCTGGATCTCTATGACTCTCTCCAGTGAGGCCCACGCTTTTGGACACGGCTTCTCCTGAGGCCACTGAAACCCTGAGTCACACTGAGAGAAGGAGAACGGCAGTTAACGGAAAGATCAACCTGTTGGAGACAGTGAAGTGACACGGCGCCATCCCAGAGTCAGGTGAGCGGGTGTGTGGGGTACAAAAATTGCCTGGATCTGTGCAAAGTGAAAAAAATATGTTATATAAGCTATTTACACTGTATCTCATTTGATTGCTACAAAGTGTGAAAAACTATTTAAAAAAGATTTGTGATTTTTCAGGAATCAGGAAACATTTATTTGCCAAAATATGCTAAACATACAAGGAATTTGTCTTGGTGGTTAGTGCGCGACAGTAGACAGACAAGACAACAGTGCACAAGTAATAAAATAAAGTAAAATGAAATGCTAATGCAATGGGTTAGTAGAATTTGTGATGAACTAATTCATATTTGGATTATTAGATATCCAATAATTGGATTAATAGATGTATATCGAACCACATGCCATCTCTAAAAAAGGGAAGCGCTGTGCTGATTCAGCTCGGCCGGGGGGGTGTGAGGAGTAAACACTGAGTACACTTTACCCTTTTGCCGTCTTTATGCTAAGCTATGCTAACCATTTACCCAACATAAACAAAAACACACACAAATTTGCCAAAACGTTGAATTGTTCCTTCAACATTCACACCGTTGTAGCAACTGGGAGTAATCCACCGCGTCAAAGCTTATTCAAGGACATTAAACCAGGATTATTCAGCCAGTTGCTCTCACCGGCTCTCCCAGCAGCGCCGCGACGCAGGCCTCCGATGCGTCGCAGATGGCCGTGAGGTCGTGACCTCCCTCCAGCGCCATGATGACGCGGCCGCCCGCCAGACCCATCAGAAGCTGCGTTAGCTGCCCGAAACCTGCCGAAACACACACACACACACACACACACACACACAGAGGACGTAGTTCAGAAACACTGATGAAAATAAGTATTTGGGAGTCATGCCGCCCGAGATGCCGGCGTCGCTGCGGTAACCGGTGTAGCACTCACACTTGGCGGAGACGTTGTAGCCTCCCAATGGAGACTGATGACCCTCCACGGCGTCGAAGCCCGCGGACACCAGGACCACATCTGGACTGAACTGCTGGGCAATGGGCATCACTACGCTTCTACACACACACACACACACACACACACACACACACACACACACTTTACAGCTTGTGTCTTAAACTTTTCACAATTTTAACCAAGGCACCAAACGTGGTAAAGATGTGTACCTGAAGGCAGTGAGGTACTCCACATCCCCCATAGGCGGCTCCACTCCCCCGGTCCACGCTACGTTCACATTGAAACCAACCCCAGCCCCCGATCCCACCTGCAGGGAGCACGATCCACGAGGACATCAAAGAGGGAAACAATGCAAAGCATCGCCGACATTGAGAGAGGAAATGAATACCATGGACATTTGATCCATTTGGATCCATTTTAAATAGATACTACGACGTGGTGGTTGGGTAATATACCAAGCTCAATGACCTATTATTACATATTTAAAAAGAGCAAATTAACTGCTTTATTAACTACTTTATTCTCTTTTCTGATGATCTCACATCCATCTCCGTTAAATGGTTGATGGGTGGTGGACTGGGGAGCCAATCGGGGGCTCCACCCTGCTTGTCTTTCTCTAGAGCTTATTGCTGCATTACACAAGCGGGAGAGATTTTATCCAAATGAAGTATTCAATCAGGGCCGTTAGTGGCTCCAGCATACGGCATCAACGAGAGATGGAGGTGTAGGCGCTGTTGCCAGATTGGGCCGGTTTGGATTTTTTCTTGAGCTGGTAGATGGAAATTTGACGGCTTTTGCCACCATTTGGTGAAGGATCAATATTAACACTTTCTTTTCATGGTCATGACAGGAGAAATGAACCCACGAGGCCATTTAAGGGGGGGGTTAGGGTTAGATAAGCAACGTTTAAGGAGGAAGGAAATGCATTCATTAGGCCTCAAGGATTACACTGTGTAGTGCAGGTACACGCGCACACACAGTGCTTTTGAACACACTGCCGGTGTTGTCAACACTGCTGAAGTGTTGTGAAAATAATACACTTTTGGCCTCATGGGAACTTTTTATTCCAAGTAAGAGTGGAATTATTCCAGATTCACCATTTAGCTAAAGCTCAGAGAGTCTCCAGTGGGTGGACAAGGAGTTATTAGTCGTTTTCAGAACATGGGGCTGATGACTGTTTCTCAATTCTAACCTCTGCTTTGTGTGTGTGTGTGTGTGTGCGTGTGTGTGTACCTCCTCTGGCGCTCCGCTGCCAGGAAAGAAGTTTCCGTCGTCGTAGCGATGGAGGGAGATGTAGAGAACGCTGGCGTCACTGTAGAAGGCCTGCTGGGTGCCGTTGCCATGGTGAATGTCCTGCAGTGACGGGTCAGAGTGATGCGAGAGAGAAGGTCAACGTGCTGCTGGAATACACACGCCGCGTCGGCTCAACACCTTCTCCAGGGTTTATTCTCCTTGCCTGCTCATATGTTCACTTCTTTATCTCGTCTCTGAGGGGGAACTGAAGCCGTTTCATCCAACTTCAAACTCACATGACTCCATTGACAATCTTTTTGGTTTTACCTAGCAGAAAACAGGAGTTGCGGATCTGCCACTGCTTGATCAGATCTAATCCCTTCAAAACAATCCTACAATAATAATAATAATAATAATAATTGTTATTGCTGCTTTAGAGGCAGGATGGAAGGATTTCAGCGCTTTGGTTCCCCATCCAAAAAGGTGATAAACAGCTGCAGGACATGTGTCTTCACACCTACGTGTGATTGCTCTCTCTTGGTGAAACAGCCCTGAGATCTGACACCACAGGGGTCCCTCTATAATATTAATCCATTCAACAATTTAAAAATACAATTGTATATGAATAGTGATCGCTTTTTATGTCAAACGAATGAGTGAATAAAAAATGGAAAATACTACAAAAGCCGACAGATCGTGTGTGTAGGAGTTTGTGTGTGTTGGTTGTGTGTGTTTGTGCTCAAACGTGTCCGTGTATCTCACCCAGTCCACGATGAGGATCTTGCCCACACCCAGCTTCTGCTGCAGCAGCTTGGCAGTGATGGCTACTGAATTAAAGAAACAAAAGCCCCTGTTGACAGACACACACACACACACACACACACACACACACACACACACAGAGGAGGCAGCCGTTAGTCGTCTCCACCCTGACACGTGGAGACATTGAGCGGTGTGCCAGGGACCCGGTACTGACATGGCGGTGGACTCCTCGGCGTGGTGGCCCGGCGGACGCACCACAGCGAAGCCGTTCTAGAGTGAAAGCAGACACAGAGCGAGAGGGGCGGGTCAGGCGCCGTGTCACGGGGTGGAGGGGGTTGGGGGGGTGCGCTCGTGACCTCTTACCTTCAGCTCCCCCGCCGCCACCCTGAAGGCCAGCTCGATCACCGAGCCGACCGCCATGCGCACCGCCGCCGACGAGTGCATCTCGTTCCACACGGTGTCGCTGTCCACCTGGAGGGAGAGCGGAGGTCACAGCGGGGCCCGATACACGATACACGGCCGCACCAGAGAGAGAGAGAGAGAGACACTCACCCCGATTCCTCCACAGGGGAGAACGGCGTACATCTTCTGGCTGATTGGACCTGGAAGGACCACAGCAGAACCCCATTAAGAAAACAAGCATCTCTAAAACAAACAAACGAGAGTGATGCGAACAGACTCAAGCGGTCCGGCGGTCAAAGGAACACGAGGCTCAAACAAGTGATGAATTAGGCGGATACAGGTACCCAGCAGCTTCTTGTGGTCCAGTTTGTGTCGATTCAGCGGACTGGTTCCATACAGCAGAGTGTGGAACTCTGAATGGACCGACTGGATCTCATCCAGAGAAGCTTTTCGCCCCCGAATCCTCTGCTCAAACGCGCGCACACACACACACACACACACACACAGAAAGAGAGAAACCGAGTTAGAAATCTGCACATTTTTATTTTCCCATAAGACAAAAAAACAAAAACTTATTTTGCTACATCACTCAAAGAAGAAGGAAAACTAACATGTGATGCAATATGATGTTTAGCGCCAGCGAGGACGTGTTGGTGTGATGGAATGACGAGGAAGATAAGAGAACATCAGCTATGCTTTCAACCAGGAAAGCTTTAAAATCCCCTTCCGAATGTAAGAAGCCTATTGTAGTGCATGCTGGGATAGCCTGCAACCAACTATGACCTCGCAGCTCTGCTGTGAGCACAAAGGTCCTGGTTGTGTGTGTTTGTGCGTACCTCGCAGCGCCCCAACAGACCCGTCTCCTGCAGTCGGGACCAGATGCTTTGCACTCTCCCAGCATGCTCTGGGTGGATGTGAGCGTTGCCGCACACACACTGATGCTTCAGCATCAGACTGTCATACACAAGTCCTGGAGGGGCAGAGAGGAGGAAATAGAAGCTACACAACAATACTCCACGAGACCAGAGGAATGCTGGGTAAAACAAGAGAAGTACGGAGATCAACAGTAAAGGAGACATCGTTTGTAGTGACAAACAAGCACCACCAGATGTCAGCAGCCAGATGTGCAACATGTGTGAGAGATGCAGGCACTTCATCCACCACAATGCCTTATCTCAACCCACTATTTACAACAAACACACAGGCCTCTATTGACTTTATTGCTATGCAAGTTAGCGGCTCATTTTTAACCTGCGATGTTTATCTGATACACTTAGAACCTTGAAACACACAGAGATGAATAAGTGTTCCGTTCCCTCGGCCGGGTTAAACCCTCACGCTTAGAACCCATACGCAGCATGACTCATGCTAAGAGACGTACGGACAGACACACTGACCGGTGGTGAAGAGGTGCTTGATGGGGTTGACCGGGGCGGCGGGGGACGACTGCGCTCTCCCCAGAGGTCTGTGAGGCAACAGGGACTGGAACACGCCCAGCTGCTGCAAGGCCTGATGGGACGGGGACGAGAGAAAGTTGGGATGTCGCACACACACACACACACACACACACACACACACACTAAAACTACCACAAACTAAAACGGATTGACATGTTGATTTGACAGAAAATGAATCGATCATTGCAGCTACAACTCTTTTCATGATGACGAGAACACACACACACACACACACAGAAAGTAGCTTCTATATATAGGGAGTGTTGCTGTGCTCCCTGCTGCGAACTGGGTGACTCACCATGTGTGGGTGGAGACCAAAACGCACACACACGCACAAACGCACAAACATACACGCGTCAAGATACACAGACGTACAGGAAGAGACACGGCAACGAGTCCAGCGGTTGAGTCACCAGGCTGGTGAGGTCACTGCAGCGTCACAATGTGTGTGTGTGTGTGTGTGTGTGTGTGTGTGTGTGTCTCGGCTTGAGCTGGACTGACCGTGTGCACATGTCACAGCATCAGAGCCTTTTTTCTGTTTCTGTAAAATGTCAAAGCTTTCTGCGGATGACTCATCCTGCACTCTGGGAGAGAAAAAAAATGTAATGGAATTCCATTCAGCTAAAGTCGATGGGAGATTTTGGACTGGATGCCCTCAGCAGCCGGTGCCCCAAACTGGTCTCGGTGAGTCGTATGTAAATCGCATATTATTATTACTAGATAAAAATAATACAATAATGTAAAAACAAATATCATTACTTTGAAGATATGACAATCAATTATCCTGACGATATCCTGTTTCACCAAATATTACCCGATAATATAACAGTTTTTATAATGTTGTTGCACGTACGATTGTGCATTGATGCATTACATTGATGTAAAATGTTAAATCATTTAACCCCTTCTTGTTGCGGTCCGTTCTGTTGCATGCACACTCATTTATTTGTTCCACCTAATTACAGAGAACATTAAGCTTCTGCTGTGGTGGAATTGATTTATTATGCCTTCACCGTGATGACACACTCAAAATAGAATGCTTTTCAAAACATGCACATTCACTGAGCAAAACAAGAACAGTGTTTAAACATAAATATTCCACAATATTTCAGGTACCTAATTTATGTATCCATGTTTCATTTCAGAGTTTTCTCCGCGTTAACTCACACCTTAGTTTGCTTCCCCCTCCTTTACGGTCCGTGACCCTTTGCAGATCCCCCCCGTCAGACAAACCACGCTTTAGGTTAGACTTGGCGATTATCCATTACTTTAAAAATATGTAAAATAGTTTCAACCATTTAACATATAATGAATGGATAATGATCCAATAAGGTGGTTATGCTGTTATCATCAGGATTAGGGGAAAAAACTTCAAGTCAGATTTTCATGAAAGATGCTGGAGGGGTTTAAGATGTGTGAGGAAGGACACACAAAATGATGTGTATAGTATTATGGAAACGGCTTTAGTGGAGGTCTGTGCTCTAAATTGCTTTTGAAAAGCATTTCCCTTTTAGTATTTCAAACATTTACCCGTTAGCGAGCACACAAACCTGTGTATAGCTTCCCCTCTCCTCTTCGTCGCACTCCCTCAGTTGGATGATGTCGTCTTCCTCCTCCTCTTCATCCAGCTCACTCTCTGTGCTCTCCCCTTTCACGTGCACGCTTCCATGCTCCTCCTCGCTCTTCACGTGCACGCCGAGCCGCTCGGAGGAGTGTGTGCTGTCGTCTGACCCCTCCTTCTGAAGCCTGATAGGTCAGAATGACAGGTATGGTAACAGTACTTCTAAGATATAAAGCCTGGTCAGTCATTGGTGCTGATGCTGTCAAAAATGCCAAACCTGTGTAGGCTCGGCCCTTCGTCATCCTCCTGCATGTCGTTAGTCTCCGTTAGCTCCTCCTCGGTCTCCTCTGGGTGTGTCGGCGGCGGCCTAGGAAGGTCCACCCCTTTGGATAGAATCTACACAGATGGTCATGTTAGCGAGAGAGCGTGGGCGTGTGACAGTTTGTGACTGTGTTCGATTTCTTCTTTTTTTTTTTTTTTTACCTTGTAGTGTTTCTCCAGGAAGTGCTGGTGCTGCTGCTGGACCACCAGCTGCTGCAGGGCCTGGGGCGACTGGGGCAGAGGTGCACTCTGGGTACGAGCCAGCGGCCGGTGGCGAGGCAACTTGTTGACCGCCCGCATACCGCTGGACGCGCCTCTCTCTGCGGTAACCAGCGGCGACTGGCTGTACATGGGGACTGGGTGTGGGCGGAGCGTCATAGCAGAAAGAAAAGGAGTTAAGGGGGGGGGGGGGACACCGAGATGGACCGTGGTGCGGACGGAGGTGTTCTTGTGCGTGTGTAGCTACCGGCTAGCATAGTAGTCTGTTGTCTGGCCTGCTCCAGCAGTAGTACATGTTGCAGTAATGAGGAATGGGCAGAATGAGAGCTGGGGGGCTCCACCTCGTGCCCCACCCCTGCAAAGAAAGAAATATTAAGCCGAGTTATAGAATCAATTTGAAGGATCACACAACACGGTTATTTGAATAATATATATATATATATATATATATATATATATATATATATAATAGACGTAGCAGCTGTGGTAAAACTTACCTGCAGGTAGGCACGACGTGGAGAGAAACTTCCCTGTTAGAGCTCCGCCCCCCCGCAGCGATTGGATGGCTAGACGCTCAGCCTCTTGCTGGTTGGACAGCGCCTGGGCGGTCTGTTAGAGGGGGGGGGGTTGGATTACCATGGTTACAACATAGACAAGTCAAGGCAGCCGCCACACAACAGCTGGAGTTGATACAAAATATAAACAAGAAACAACAATCATTTCAGACAGTTTATGCCATTTCAAATGCTCTGTTAAATCTCACGACATGGATGGGTATTGAGTTGACCCACCGTGATGTGCGTGTTGGCTGGGAGCCCCAAGGAAATATTGGGCAAGGAGGGCGAGGTGTAGAGATTGAGAGGACTTAATGTCCCATCAGCCCCCAGCGTCTGGTGGAGGGATCTCAGCTGCAGGCGGACATGAAGGCAGAGGGTTAGTTGAGGAGACTCGCTCCTTGGCATCTCAGCAGTGGTCGAGGGTTTGTCTGATGGTTATTCGCTGTCGATTCAGCCAAGTTACTATGGTAACCGGTGTTTTTTAAATCTACCGAAAGCACCGACTAACACAATGTCTCGCAAATCGAGTCTTTTCACTCCCTGAATCTTCTCTTTACGGCTTCTGTCTTGGGCTTGAATATATAACAAAATATAGGGAGGAAACCCAAATTGTGCGTCTAAAAATAAATAAAGATTTGTTACATTAGTGATATTTAAATATGTGTATAGGCGTGCTGGTGTCTTTAATGTGCAAAGGCAAACACTTTGGGAAGAATTCACGTCTTTTTGTTGGTGGTGTTCATTTAGTCTCCAGGCCTCATGTAAAAAGGCCACGCTGCACACAGGGTGGGTGACGCTTGTGAGCCGGCCTTTAACAGCTTCACTACGAGCCCCAATTTCACGCGAGAATTCCACATCCTGAGGAAGTACTTGATGCAGTTAAGCCCATAATGAACTCCTCCCTAGTGGACGCTCATGTCCGAGTGTCCTCTAATTCAACCATTGATGAAATGGCCTGTAGAGATAATCGGAACAAGTTTCAGGATATAGCGATCATCATCTATGACATCCCCTCTCTCTTGTTGTACTCCTGTTTACTTTGCATGCCGGGATCTGTTTATCAAACCGCCCTCATTAACGTGTATTCGCAGTAGAAAGGCGGTGGTTGTTGGTTGCGTTACGTTTCTCACCCAACGTAAAGATGGAAAGCATTCTGCTGCAAAAAGGAATCCGCGCTCTTATTTTAGAGCCATTTAAACAGAACGATGCAAAGAACTAAAATAGTTACGACACTATTTTAAATGTATTCTCTTTGATCAACACTCTTTTTGAAAATGTACAAAATTCACAGTAGGATTAAACAGCTGTTCCTGTACCTCGGTCTGTATGTTGGGGACCGACCCCGTGTTGCCATTGGCGATAGCCGAGTTGGAACTGTTGGGGCTGCTGGGACCAGAACCTGGAGCGCTATTACAGAGAGAGGAGACTGGTGGAGAGACGGAGACACACACACACACACACACAGAATGAGCAAGAGTCAGAGAGGGAAACTCAAAGCAGAATGCAAAGTGTGCGCAGTGTGCGCAGGGTGAGCAGTGTGTGCAGTGTGCGCAGGGTGAGCAGTGTGCGCAGTGTGTGCAGTGTGCGCAGTGTGCGCAGTGTGTGCAGGGTGAGCAGTGTGCGCAGTGTGTGCAGTGTGTGCAGTGTGTGCAGTGTGTGCAGTGTGTGCAGGGTGAGCAGTGTGTGCAGTGTGTGCAGGGTGAGCAGTGTGTGCAGTGTGTGCAGTGTGTGCAGTGTGTGCAGTGTGTGCGTGTTCACCTGATATCTCTATGGCTCTCTTCTTAAAGGTGCTGATCACGGTCCCGTCCTTCCTGCGGAGGAGTGGAGAGCTCCGCCTCTCTGCCACCTTCTGCTTCAACCGCGAGCGCACCTTCAGGTTGGGCTCCGACACTGGGGGCCGGGAGAGAAGGGGGCGGGGTCAATCAGCAGCCTTCTGTGCAATCAACAGGCACCGGGTGTGACGTACATACGTACGTGAGAAACTGTCTCTGGTCAATGGTCCTCCCTACAACTCCGTCCCGGGACCCATTTTATGACAAATACTTTAATAGGTGATCTTACAACAACGATGGAGGCTCCGTTGTCCAAACAAAGACGGTAAACTTTATTTCTCCTTTTCAAAATGACAAAGGCAGCGCAGACCCCGTCCATGCAAAGCCCTAAACAGACAAACTGGGTGACTAACTAATTGAACTGAAGAAAATAGCTTAAAGCAGCTTAGTAAGTTGTGCTGGAATTCTTAACTTCTTTTTCCTTTCCAGCTTGCGTTATTCGTTTTATTGTGGAGGGCGGCGTTCTGCCTGGTGATTTGCCACCTGGAGACGATACATGAGCGCAGGCTGGACGAGCAGCCTCAGCAGGCCTTAAGCTGCCTTTGGTGTAAAAGTCACGGTTGAGGGACAAAGACAGGAAGAGGGAAGAACGCGCCTGGCTTTTATTGGTTTATCGTTTTGTCATTGCTTACGTTGGGACTACGTGGGATCCTGTGGGTTTAAATGAGCACGTTTGCTTTAAACTATGAATCCATCCATTCTTCACATGTTCTGGAGGGGCGGGGACGTCGGATTTCAGGACACAGTGCAAGACGCGTGAATCCAAGAGGATATATTTTAGCTGGAATTTGCAGCGACTGTAGAACTACAGACTGTAGAATAAGCCACGGCGTTGTGCACATCAGCCTGTGTGTTACCATCTTGTGCTGCACGAATGCGGGCTGTAATAAACGGGAAATGCGTTTGTGGGTTCAACACCAGCTTCAGTGGTGCTGGCTTAGGTTACCTCTTCCCTGGTGAGTCAGACTCACACTGACGCACACACATTTCGCAGAAACACGCCACCTCCGCAAAATCCTCCATCAGACAACTTTTAAATGGCAAAGTGACAAATCACACACACACACACACACACACAAACACATCCTCCCACTGTCTGTAGGCTCCTACCTGTCTTGCGGAGCGGGAAGTCATCTTTGCCGTCGTAGTTCCCCAGCAGCGGGGGCAGTTTGTAGGAGGGAGGAGTTCCTGGGGTGTTGCTCTGCGGAGGAGAGCCCTGCTCCAGGGAGATGTGCTGGGCTCCCCTGTGTGCCCACGCACACGCACACACACACACACACACACACACACAGAAACAGTAGAAAGTGAATTACAAAATGGCAATTTAGAAACACTGAGGGGGTGGGGGGTTGACTAACCGTGCTTACATTTAAACATATATTGACATTTCCAGGTGTCTGAAATACATTTCGCTTCACGCCTACGTGGATGGAGAAGTACCTGATACAGAACTATCCCTTCAAGCTATTGGCAGAGTACAAACTGTGCAGAGGGGACCACTGTTCACACTAGGCCAGGGGTGTCAAACTCATTTCAGGCTAGCGGCCACATACGCCCCCACAGTGGCCCGGACCAGTGAAGTTATTAGCAAGGGGTGATATTCCTTCATCTATATAGAAATATATATGTATATAGACTTAATACATCTTATACTTATAAAATATTTAAATATTAATTCCTCACCAGCACTTTGGGGAGAAGGAATGGTTCAGTCCGCCGATGCCGGGCTCTTTCTTATTGAGAAGAAACTCCTGCAGCTTAAGCTTCACCTCTGTGCTGGCGATGGCACCTTTCCAGAAAAAGGAGAAGCACAACAAGAGAGTCAGGTGGGGGGGGATTTGAGGGGCGGGGCGGCGCCGTGGACGGTGGTGGGGGCGGGACCTACTCTCTTTGCCCTTCTCCTTGTTCCTCAGCAGCAGCAGCTGCTGCTCCAGCCGGTGCTTCTCCTGCTCCTCGTGCCTCTGCTGCTCCAGCTTCCTCTTCTGCTCCAGCTCCTGCTGCCGCTTCGCCGCCAGCAGCTCTTGTTGTTGCTTGCACACACACACATGCACGCGCGCACACACACACACATTTACATTTTACTAAGGTGATGAGGTGGGAAGAGTTTGAAAGCCAGCGGCGGGCTTTTGGGGGCGTGGCCGAGCGTGCGGATGCCTACCTTCAGGTGCTCCTGCAGCTGCACCTCGTGTTGCCTCGTCAGCACTTCATGTTTCTTCTGGAACTCGGCGAACAGCAGCTGCTTCTGGAGCTCCTGCTGCTGCTTGAGGAGCACAAGTTCCTGCTGGAGCTGCTGCTCCCTCATGGCTGTGTCCACCGCAGCTGCCGCGCCCACAGGGAGGGACCCCACCCTGGCCTCCGTCCGCAGGTCCACTGGGCCTCCCCCACCCGGGCCTTCTCCTGGACACGCACCTGTGGAGAAAAGCAGCTATATTTATCCTGAATTACATCATTCTGTTTGCTTCTGCCATCGTCATTTGTTATCTTTGAATTTCATTACTTTGTGTTCTTACATCGGTGGCGTTCCCTAAACAAGTAACTCTCGACTCCCCACTCACCTCCTTCTCCGCCTCCTCCTCTCTGCTCGCTGGCTGTTCCTACTGGGCTCTGCATGCCCGATGGGAGGCTGCTCTTCACCTCCACCACTGCAGGAAGGACAAACAGAGAGCGAGCAATTGATGAGAATCACACACACACACACACACACACACAGCTTTTCGGTCAGCCCTAAACCTAGAGTGACTATTGGCTACATTTAGCTTTTATAGCTGCGCGGCTGCCCTAAACCAGGCGGAAAACTCCACTTCTGAAAAGTGTCCGCAACCCTTTTTACCTGTATTCCATCACACGACCAGCAGGGGGCGAGTCCTCCACGTACAGAGAGGTCAGGTTGAATTTAAGTCGATGAGTATGCAGGGACTCAGTCTAGTTTTAGTGAATGGTGGTCCATTTAAAATCACATAGACCATAAAGCAGCAAGTTTTGTAAAAAAATAAAAAATAAAAAATCAATTAAAAGATGGCGACCACATCAAACAGCGCATGTGTGCAGGAGCAGAGCGCTTGCGGCGATGAAAGGAGCACAGTGTGTCATCACTGACACATTGTGTGAAGGCGATGACACGGCGGTAGGGGTGACGCAGCCGGCGGCCCCCACAGGGGAGTAATGGCAACATTCATACATTTGCAGTATTACCAACAGTGCAGCTGCAGCCGGAGACAAAACGTGTGTTATGAGAAACGCCGCGATTGTGCAGCCTTGTACTGATCTGGATTACGGAGGCCATCGCTGCAGCTATCAGTGACACGGATTAGGAGTGATCTCCTGCGACAGATTTTTTTTTGCCTTTACAAGAATTCTAGTCCGGGTCCGGTCCCAATTAATGATCAATTAGGAAAGGTGGCATCGAGGATACGTGGTCAAGACAGTGTTTGTTAAAGCAAAAATAAAAAGATGACAGGAAGCTTATTGTTTTTTCGTTGAACACGATGAAGTCCGAGCATCATATTGAACCCTGATTGGACAGAAACACACGGTCCTGGTGCAGTTCAGCTACGATGCTAACACAGAGACCAGTTTAGCTGCAACAGGTTAGCACACCGCCTGATTGTGGTGGGTGTAGGGGTGAGCGGGAGGGGGGGCGGCCTTCTTGGAATCCTATCGATGTGGCCTTGTACAGGGCAGTGACCCTGACCTGTGCCGACTGATTACACCCCCCCCGGCTATCGGATCAGTGCTGAGATGTCAGGAGTATATTACTCGTCTGCTGGCCGAGTAGGAAATCCAATGAGGAATTACACACTGTTTAGTCCCACCTCCATTTGCCGCCTACGAAGAAACTTTGCTGCAGATGCTACAAGAAAATAAGTTTTTTTTAAAGTAGCGAGGATAACGGGTCTTTGTGTGTTCGAGCAGCCCCTCGCATCTAAAGTACCTGAACAAATATTCTGGCGCTTCACTGTGACGCACGTGTCTCCCCTTTCCACTACAGCACACACACTGCCCCTGTGTGTGTGTGTGTGTGTGTGTGTGTGTGTGTGCGCAACGGTCCGCTTTGGCCAGAGAGCAGCATTCCACAGCAGCCAGCGTCTGACGTCAAACCGAAGACATTTATAATCTGGTAAACACACACACACACAGCGAGCGCACAGCCTGACAAAGAGGCAACGATTCAGTCGATCGCGTTGGGATCGGACCAACTTCAGCTCGCTGCAGCTACACATTCCAGCGCCTGGGGTGGGACGGAGGGCAGAGGATGAAAGACGGACTCAGTGTGTCCTCAGCCAGGCCCTCCTGGTAGAACCCACGTTGCTTATTGCAGCTGCTAACAGGACACACAACTGATAAAGCCTGCGAAAGAAGAGCAGCTTGTGTGTAGGTGGACTTCCACCGCGAGCTGCTCCTTTTTATATTTCACATTTATTTGCCAACCTTGATTGACTGTTTGGTCAAGAGGAGTTCTGAAAACCGATTGTAAAAGAGACTTTTAGGCGAGCTTGTGAAAGTCCCATCTGGGTTAGACGCTCAGAGCGGCGTGACAGACTGCACAACAACGCTTTTCACACACACCAACATCCCAGAGTGCGTCGGGACGGCATCAAATTGGTTTTCCCCGAACAAAAGTCACAGACCGCATATTCAATTTACTGTATGACCACGAAAAACAGAAAATCCAGAAAGCATTTTTTGCATTTTGGCTTGAAAAGCGATTCGTAACCAACACCAATTACTTTTCCATTTGACGGCTATCAATCAGCAATTGAGAACTTGGGGTGGGGAGGGTTGATTGACAGGACGTGGTCGCCATGGTAACCTGTTAAACTAAAACCGCGGTCAGGGTGGACAACGATCTCTGGGATATAAAAAGGAAACGTAAGCGGGTTCCAAGCAGAACCGCCTTGGTTTGTTCTGGTGGGATATTCCTGGATAGAACGTCCAGAGCACCACTGGAGATTACGGTTTTCCATTCCCCTCCTTATAAAGCCTGGTTTTAACTTCAATCTGGACACTTGAAACTGTTCCTTTCGATCGATGGCCGTCGTCTGAACGTGGCAGCGAGAGGAAAAGCTCCTGAAGGCAGAGGAGTGTAGTTTCATGTCCAGCTCAGAAGGATTTCCCCTCCCATCTCACTCGGCTGCTACTAGTACTGAGGTGTTTCTGGAAACCAATATTGGCGTTTTCACGGTACCCTTGTCTTGTTTGGTCTGCGCCTCTAAGCGAGAACAGGTACTATGACATCAGCCCTGCAAAACAGTAAAAATAAAAAAGCCAGAGAGAGAGAACGGGGCAAAAATAGTATAATGTCTGTGTGTACTTTCGAGAAATTAGTAGCTGAGAGAGAGAGAGAGAGACGTGTGGCGTTGCCATAGAGACTGCGGGAGGTTCAGCAGCATTATGGGCTGGCGGAGGGCAGGTCATCCAAAGTCTGTCGCAGCGCGGACGACCGGCCGCTTCTATCTGGAGCCGAGCAATCGAGTCAGTGGCCGTCGGCTTCACGATAAGCACATAAGCCTGTTAGTCTGAACACACACACACACACACACACACACACACACACACACACACACACGGCCCGGGTCGGCAGGCGAGGCCAATATAGTGAATGTAGCAGCAAAAAAGGAAAAGAAAGATAATTAGCACGAAGGTTTGTCTCGCTTGGAAGCTGTAGACGCTGGAGCAACAGGCTCCTCCAGTGGAACACAAACATGCACGTCTCATCCTGACTGCATGTCCTGTAAGGGGTTTTCACCCAGCCAGTGAGTTAGCTCCGGGCTACAACTTGAGCCCTGTTTTTCTAGCTTGTTTGTGCCCATATGTTTGTTTACATTTCAGTAAATTGGCAGTAAAATACTCATCTGCGAATATTTTGCATCAGAACTGTTTATAGAGGGTAATTTGCTCATTCAGCATGAAGGTTTGAATGGATTGGCGTGTGCAGAGCAGCAGCTGGTGGTCCGCCTTGTTGCATAAAGCCTGCAGCTACTGGGAGCTATTTTATGCAGCGGATTCAGAGTTCCCTCTGATAAACAGTGACGCTGCTTATTGTCAATGGCTTTTGTTGTGAAAAAGTGAGAGCGGAAGAGGCGGACGTGGATTCGGGGGTTAAAGATGGCGTGCCTCCGTTTGGACTGCAGATATGTCACGTATTTATTTTAAAAGCCTCTTCTGAATTAGTCTGTTCCACTCAACGTGATTAAAAGAAATGTGGAAACATTTTCAACAAGGTCATGTCTAATATTTGCATTCTGTGTGGCAGTCCTCATGACAAAAACAGGTTAACAAAATTATAAAAACTAAATAAATCTTTAATCACAGACAGAGAAAAGAAAATAGCAAAAATGCATTTAGCTATTATTAATGAATAATCAATTATAATGATTGACTAAAATGATATTGAAAATGGTTTGGTTTGTCACCTCCACCTCCTCAAACTCAGAAACAATTATGGCCAAAATCTTACTCAAGATTCTTGGATTAATATTGAGATTCATTACAGGGACACTTTCCCATTTAAATGAACAAGAACACGGCTTCCAGTTCTGTTGTTGTGCTACATTCTGGCTAAAGTACACATCTCTGCATCAGACTGGTTCTTATCTCACTGCATCACATAGAAGGCAAATATAAATGAAATAGTATCAATACTTTTTACCCAAAATTAAATCAACACTGTTCACTTTCACTTCCATGTTGTGCTACATTCCAGCTAATGTTCACAACTTTGCATCAAAATAGAACATTATTCACCTGAAGCAAAGTATAAATATATTTTTTTCCCCCAAATGAAGGAATAACTAATTCTTTATTTATATAGTGCTGGACACGCTGTCTCTGTTGTGCTTTTCTGGGTTGACGTCATTGGACGTTGACGGAGATTCAGTGAGGTCACGTTATCTTTGGCAGTGATGCGTTGGTCGTGCGGAGGTTTGTGGTGATTCTTCAGGTGGTTGAACGAGTCAGTTGGCTGTGCGGCGCGGACACGACTAACGCACCCTGCACCCTCTGCGTCTACTCTGCTCTCCGTTAGCATCACTTGAATCCAAAGAACTTCTTTTGGAGAGAGCAGCTCCTCGCCTGCTGCTCCTGACATTTGCTTGACCTTTCACACCATGTTGTCTGCTCTCTGTCCCGTTGTCTGTCTCTGACACACTTGATAAGTTGCAGAGTATTTAAACGGTCAATATCGCTGACGATCATGCTCACATAAATGTGGCAGCCAAAATCGTGGTCGCGACTCAAATTTGATTAATTGTGCAGCTGTACTTGTATTGTATGGATCTTTTTTCTTCGCTATGATTGATTCCGATTGATCGTCTATGAATTTATAAATATCCCTTGATTACTTTGACACTGAAGGACCGAGGATTTGTTGTGTTTGTGTGAACATTGACCGAGTTGTGGCTCTGAGACGCAGCACAAACATACCTCATCCACAATAACCAACTTCCTGTTGTGTCCCTGAACGCACCTCACAGCGTCGGCCGTCACCAACAGACAACGCGGCAGAGCCCGTCCTTCAAAAACTACTCCCAAACGCTACGGAGAAAACTTCTCACATCCGGATCCCCAACCTTGAGCCCCGTCAGGCCTCCAGCACGCAGCGCCCCCCCCCTCCTCCCCTCCTGCGTCCCCAGATGATGACTCACCGGCAGTGGGCATGGCAGTGCTGGAGCCCCTGTTGCCACTCAGGAGCTCCAGAGGCTGGTGGTGGCTGTCGGCGCTGGCGGAGGAAAAGCAGGACTCCGTCTCGTAGATGGTCTGCAACATGGCGCACAATCCTGACACCGTGGGATGCAACAGCATGCCAACGCGAGAGGCGGCGCTCGATTTAGTCACACGCGAAAAAACAACAACAAAAAAAACACGCCTCCGTCAGTTTGTCTTCCTGAGGTACGGCCAGGGCTCGGTTTAGGATTCAGGGTGCTGGAGGTGGACGTAGGCAAAGGGAGGGGGCCACACAGACGCTTTCAGTAAAAGGTATCAAGCGCTGCGGTATGAAGGGAATCATCGGTTACTTTGAGTAAAAACCTCTAAATGCTGCTTAGAGTTGTGTGCTGTTGTTGTGTAATCCAGCAGAGACGTGCAGGCTGCTCTGCAGGGAGCTTCAGCCCGGTCTGAAGAAATGCTCTGCTTGGCTTTTGAAGTGCAGACTTCGCAAGGACTCGACGTCCACATCACCTGCGGTCCTGATCCGAGTCAACGCCGAGTAACTCTGCCGGTCCCCCCACCCCCACCCCCCCAGCCCCCTGAACACAGTGACGGAGGCTGGCGCGTTGCAGATGGAGGAAAAAAAGTTTTCCACCGGAGTCTCTACCCACCAATCCTAAAGAGGCAGGAGCCGGACCAGCGGGCTGTCGGTGAGATCCCGTCGCCTCGTGGAACCGAGCATTTCCCCCCACGAGCCGAGGAGTGATGGGAGGGGAGGCGATTGCTCGCTGCAGCCTCCTCTGTCCGCTACCTCCTTACCCCGCAGCCAACGACACAACACAAAAATACAGGGAGGAGAGGAGGAGAAGCAGAAATTCCCCTGCTCGGCCGCATCAAAGGATCCTCATGCCGCTCTCCTCCTGGCCGACGCGAGAGAGAGGAGAGGAGGAGGAGGAGGAGGAGGAGGAGGAGGAGGAAGAGGGGCGGAGACTTATATAGCTTTGGGAGGAGCGCTCCCCGAGGTTCCACGCTTCCAAATTTAGAAATGAGAGCGCTGAGAGACTCACACACAGAGAGAGGGGGGAGAGACACACAGAGAGGGATATCCAGAGAGGGAGGGTGGGAGGGAGAGGGCTCTATGTGATCAAAAAAAAAAAAAAGAAGAGGAATTGTGGGGAGAGGAGGACGAGTAGGCGAGTTAGAATCCTCCCCAGAAAAAAAAAAGCAAAGGCACCGCAGGTTGGCTCCTTATCCCCGGCTCTTGAAAAAGGAGGAGGCGGGTGAGGGAGGGGTGAGGGGGGGTGAGGGGGGGTATTTGAGCCTTGAGCAGTGACCAGAAACAGCTGCTGGTCAGACGGCTAATAATTATCGTTTGAGAGTCCCCCAAAAGTGTTTGAGCTGCTGAATGAACGTTGAAGAGGGAGGGAGAGGGGGAGGAGGAGGGGGAGGGTCGAAAGCGAATCGCTGGGTGGACAGAAGAATTTGGAGGGATGAGGGAGAAAGTCAAAAGCTCGCTTCACCCCCTTTTCATCCACCGTTTCCCTCCAATATTAAAAAAGGCCAGGCAGGACCGAGGAGAGGAGAAGCGTTTACCAACACAGAAGATGGGGGCAGAGGCTGAAAATAGGCTGCCGGGGAGGAGGAGGAGCTAGAGATAAAAATAGAAGGAGCGAGCAGTAAGCCTACAGCTCTGGGGTGGGGCGGTGGGGGTTGAGGATGGGGGAGGCGCTCTGCAAAGTCTTGTTTCCTGCACAGCGGCACTGTGACCTCCTCCTCTTTATTTTGGGTGGATGCTGGGCTGTGACTGCTCGTGCTACTACGCGTCCCGTCTGAGGTTACGGTACTCGATTGCCTGTGAAATATCATCAACTTGGCGACCAGGCGCCGAATTTATTCCAGACGTGTTCGTGGTCCCCGGGGGATTCGTCCAGCGTCATCATCAGCATGGAGTCAAATGTCTGATTCCAATACTTGAGACTGAGCAACCGGTGATGATGGCCACGACACATTTAGGTCCTGAACCATCCTTTTGGGGATCTGTCCCAAACAGCAAAACCTTTCTTCAGTCCGCAACACCACGATGTTTGATTTCAAATGCAAATGCTTTACATTTTGGGGAAATGACAGTAGGTCATTTGCAATTTCCATAAAAATTCAGATTAATTTTCCGGCCTTCATAAAAATCAAAAGTTAAGGCCGCTGTAAGAAACACCTGACAAACCAACCCAACCAAAGAGCCGCGCGGCTCACTGTTCTCACTCGGCTGTATTATTAATTGAAACCCGCTCGCCGCTATTTATAGTGTTTGTTTGTTCTATTCAGCGGGTGGCTCCTGAGCGCCGCTGCTTTAAAACCGAACACGTTGCGGCGTTTTAAACGGAATGTGACGGCGTTGCAACCTCCCACCCCCTCCCACCATGAGCTAATGTATTAAAAATGAAAGGGCCCCAATACAGATCCGTTGGATCGGCTCGAGCCGACCCTGATGCCTTCGACACCGCGGATGTGTATTTTTCTGTATTCCTCAGCTTCATCGCCGTCTGTCGTGGACGAACAAGGAATGCTAATATTTCATTAAGCCACTCAGTCATCATCATCATCTCCTTCATCACACCGTCTTCTCCTTGTCCTCATCCCCTGTGTTAAACAGCAGACGTAAGGGCCGCCTCGCTGTGACTCACGAGGGGAAGAGACGAAATGCACGGAGAGAGGAGGAAATATGGAGACTGATGAAGGGATCTCTGCAACAACGTCCTCTGTGGTGTTCACGCCGACTTGAGCTGCTGCATTCGTCCAGTAAAATGGACAGACAGTCTTACATCGTCCTTTCAAATCACTTTGGCAACATGAGGGGCGGCCAGAGAGATGCCACTGACCGGGCAACATGTCTCACATCTTAATGGTCTAAACACGACTGCTGAAGGTGTGTGTGTGTGTGTGTGTGTGTGTGTGTGTACTGCAGTAGCTCAGCGGATGACTCATCTCTGCGTTTCTATTTGAGGCGCATCAACCCCTGGAGTCACATTGCTGTCTGTGTGTGTTTATGTGTGCGTGTGGGTGTGTGTGCACGTTATGTACTACATCTGTATCCATGACAACCGCGTTACCGTCAAGTCAGTCGACCAGTCACTCAAGCTGAGACTAGAGGTCCGCACAGGTGTCTTGACAGACTGTTGACAATGGAGCCACTCATCTGCTATCCAATGAACACACCAATATATAACATGCTTGAAAGAAAAAATTGTGTGTTTGTGTGTGTGTGTGTATATATATATATATATATATATATATATAGAAAAATAAGTATTGAATACGTCACTACAGACGTCAGTAACATCCCAAGTAACTCATAGATTAAGAAATCCAAACAAATTACTTCATTTGCAAACGTATGTGTAATAAAATGGAATGACACAGGGAAAAAGTAAAGAACGCGCTTACTGAAATATATTTAATACTTTGCACAAAAGAAATGACTATGGAGAAACTAGGCACATGCATTGCTCAGGTGTGATTTTGGCCCATTCTTGAAACCTTGAAGGTTCCTCTGGCTTCTTCTCTATGAATCCTGATGTTTAGTTATTTCTATAGATTTTCAACTGTCTTCGAGTCAGGTGACGGGCCGTTGTAGCAGCTGTATTGTCTTTCTCTGAAACCAATAGAGAGTTTCCCTGGCTGTGTTTGGGATCATTGTCTCGTTGATATGCCCACCCTTTCTCCACCATCATCATCATCCTCATCCTCCTCGTAGATGGCAGCAGATTTTTATCAAGAATATCTGGGTGCATATTTCCATTCATCCTTCCTTTAATTGTATCAAGTTTACCAGGGCGGTTGGCTGAAACACAGCCCCACACCCTCATGTTCCAAACTCCACCGTTGGTCTGGTATCATCTGACTATATTCTCCCAAAATTTGACAGGCTTGTCTAAATGTCCTGCCACTAACTTTAAACAAGCAAGCGTCAGTAATGGAGACCTGCGTGTGGAGCGTGCACACAGGCCCACATAAGTAAGTGCCTTACTTATTGGTTTCTTTAAAACAATTGTACCTGCTAATTCCAGGTACTTCTGAAGCTCTCCACAAGCCGTCCTTGGCTTCTTGACAACTCTTCTCAATTCTTTTCCCTCCTGTCAGAGGAGCACCTGTTCGTGGCCGGTTTATAGTGAAAAGATGTTCTTTCCAGCTTCGGATTACGGACCACTGCTCACGGGAACATTCAGAAGTCTTGAAATCTTTCTGCAAACCAATGCTAAAGCGAAGCTTGACCGCTCTTTGCTTTTACCCGTCATGAGATGTTTCTTGTAGGACACCTTGGTACTGGGACACATTTTTAAAGGGCATCAGTTGGGACTGATTCACAGCCGATATTCATTTGCATGACAAGGAGCAGGAGTGCTTTCTGATTACTGATAGATTCACGCTGGTGTCTTTGCACCTCCCGTTCTACATGTGTTCAATACTTTTTCACTGTGTCCTTCCATTTTATTACATCATTTTATTTCTTGGATTTTGTTATATCTAGACGATGAATTACTTAGGTTGTTACCAACATATGATGCCAAAAGCCCCTTTGGAAATATATTGACTGAGAAAAACAGTGACATTTTCAATACTTATTTTCCCCGCTGTACACATACACATATATGGGTGTGCGTGAGGGTCCCAGTAGATCAGCAGTTTGTGACGTACTCAGACGAGCCCGTCTGGCACCGACAACCATCGGCGTTCAAAGTCACGGAACAGCGACGCCTTCTAGTCGCAAGCCGCTCCCCAACGCCTTAGCTACTCAAAACTCGCCAACCTGTACGAGGGCGACGGAGAGATCGGAGACCTACCTGAGGCGTGTGAGGAATTCATGAAGGTCGAACCTGGACCCCCCCCAAATCACCCTGCTGTGGTTACACGTGTGTTAAAGCGGGTCCTCTGAGTCGGCCATGTGTTAGGGGACAGTCGATGGACGGACAGACGGATGAATCAGGCTCTCCTCTTAATGTCGGCCTCGCTGCAAAAAGAGAAATACATTTTTTTCAGCACTTGCTACTCGTTGCTGTTTTTCTGTGTAATATCTATCTATCTATATACATATATTATATATATATATATATATATATATATATATTTATTTATTAGGGGTGTAACGATTCATTCTAACAACGATTCGATTCGCGATTCATGGTTGCCGATTTGATTCATGGACGATCTGGGTTAATTTAGAACGATTCGATTCGATTCAGTGACTTGAAATCGATTCAGTAACTTTACTGGACAGTGCAGGCAAAGTTTCTGAGATCCCTGTTGTTTCTTGTAAGGAAATCAGGTTTAAATTAATTATGGATATTATAAACAAGCAAACAACAATTAATGGCAAATGTATGAACCTTTTATTTGAATCAAGTGCCATTTTCAATGTAAACATTACAACATTACAATAATTACACAATGTTTGGATCAATTCACAGAACCCCGGATTTTCAACCACATTGTAGGGTCGCACGTCTTTACAGATAAACTTGGCAATTGTTACTGTGATGGTGAGTTTGGTGCTGGCGAGGCCTGAGGTGTCTGCAGAGCTGAGTTACCTGCTGCTGCTGCAGCGGTGACGCTGCTAGAGGTCCTGACTGTCGGCGTTGTTTAATCCCACGGCGCCTTAGTAGATGGACGGAAAGATTCGTCGTGTTTCCGTGGTTTTTATTTGGCTTCTACATTTTCTACAAACAGCGACCGACTTATTTAGAACACCTCCGTGTTTGCAAAAGCCAAAATGTTTCCACACGCTGGATCGATAAGTTGGTTTGTAAATGTCTCGCTCGCAGTCGTCTCCTCCACGCTGTGTTTTGTTGTCGTTCAGAGTTTCGCGCGGCTGCCGCTGCGTACTGATGACGTCACAGACGGGCAGACTGAATCGAGTAACGTTTAACGTGTCTAAAGTGCTAAAAAACAAACAAACACACATCCACACAGTTTTTGAGCTGCAATGTGCAGTATCGATACAATCGATTGTGTACCATTTCAATCGATTTGTAATCGCTATATGTCGTCTGGAATGCCGATTTGCAGAGCACAGATCGATTCAGTTGGATCGCAGGAATATAAATCGATTCAGTGGATGAATCGTTACACCCCTAATATATATCAATTAACGTACCTCACTAATGTAAGTAGGATATGCCACAGTAGTAGTAGTGATGTAATAATGACATCACAAATCAACAAAATGGTTAAATGAAAATATAATATCAAAGTTGTTAAAAAAAACAATGTGACTTATATAAAGCCTCATTTTCAATGAGGGTAAGTGATGTAGGAGGCTACTCTGCGTAGGTAAAGACCCCCGAAGCGTGGAGAGGAAATATGAGCCAGAACGCGTTCAATTTGGATTCATAATGGCAGGAAATGATTACGGACAGAGGCTTAACATGTGTATTCTTGTTTCTCATTTACGTGAGAAAGTACTTCTCGGATTTTTCTTTCATAACAATCAGTAAGAGGCTTTTAGTAACAACTGGTTAAGAAACCAGGTGCTTTTCCTCCACACAGGTTCCTGTGTGTGACATGTGGTTACATCTGTAAAGCCCTTGTAGTTGTAGGAGATAAAAAGTAAAATTAATTGGGATTTCTATGAATTTCATACCAAATGATTTACTTTAAATTGAATCTTGCGTTTTGATTCTTATTAGGCCCAGACTAAATGACATCTATGTGCAACTTAGAACTCTTCCCCTTGGCTCAACTTGCATCGGACGCCTCCACACCTGTGAGCGTCCTCTCCAGGGCCGGGACAGGACACAACTACATGCAATTAAAAGGGACCAGCTGCTCCCTGTTGCTCACTGGACTCACCTGGTCCTTTGGCGCCATCAGCTGGTCTTGTGCGGCGCGATCTATGTGGAAGTAAGAGGGGAAAGAGGGGACGGTCATTACTCGTTCGATGGAGTAAACTGGTCCGCATAGTTTACAGAGCACAGCCGATCACAATCTAATGCGCTGGAAGACAACAATAGATGTTCACATGCAGCTCGTTCTTTCAATAAAATTAGAGTGCAACATTATTAATAATCATCATCAATATCCTATCCCCATTAAATGCATTCATGCATCTGGGGAGGATCAGATTGTGGATCCCTATTTAACTCAAGCAGCATTCAATGTGGAAAGTAAAAAGAAAATGAAAGATTTTGCCGACCTGGAAGTTTATTCAAAAATAGAAGTGGTTATCAGAACTGATCTCAAACATTAACACTTGGTTGCCCTCCAAAGACGTGACATACTTATGTGTGCGTTACGAACTAAGAATCCATGAGTACAGGAAAGCTTCTGCGGATAAATGTGGAGGACAAAAAGGCTTTTTAATGTCAAACATTCAAGACAAACCGTTGAGTTTTCAGAATGCTTAATGTAGATTACCAGGCCTGAACACTTTTAGCCCAAAGTATTTTAAGAAAGCTGCCTTAAAACCAGCAGGTTTGTTATTTGACCCTTATTGAAACCACAGCGTCTCTACAGTGACAGTTAGCCGCAGGAACAACCAAACTAAACAAAAGGAGAAGGAAATGTACGGTACACCTGGGGAGCCAACGCAGGGGGGGCCATGCAAGCCATCCAATTTCCCCCCATACAGTGATTGCTGTTCCATGATGAGAAGTCATCAGGTGCAGCGCTGGTTCCAGAAGCTAAATCCAAACAGCAGATGATTGCAACGTTTCTCTACTCATAATAAGGCCGGGTCGGAAGGCTGCGTTTATTTTCTGGTTTCCCTCCCCAGCTTCCCCAACGCTACAAAAGAAGTCGGTGTCCCTACGGACACAATTGGCCGGGCGCCGTGGCAACGGTGACAGGGCAGAGATAATGGCATGAAACGCTGGCAGCTTGTGTGCGCATGTGTTTAGGTGGAGGAGCTAACTAGCAGTGACGGGCTCACCTGCTGGCGCTGCGCCATCGGCCTAATGACACACACACACACACACACACACACACACACACACACACAGAGAGAGAGCTTATTTTAGAATTCGACTCCTGTTTTGCAAAACAATAAATAAGAAGAAAATGGAGAAATAGATTCCTCTCTCTCTCTCTCTCTCTCTCTCTTACTGTCTCTGCCTACTCATCCTCTTCGCACCAAAATATCCTAAAATACGTGGCCCCTCCTATTGTGGAAAGAAGCAGGAAGGGCTGCCTGGCAACCGGGGAGCTGGCTGCCGTGGCAACGCTCCACCTGAACACCTCTTCCCTAAACAAACAGCAGTGCGAGCGAGTCGTGGAGTCGGCCTCTCAGCGGCGTTTGTTTATAGACTATTTCTCCCTCACGCCATTTTTTTTTTTAATGTGGGCACTTGGACGCAGCAGAAAACGGTTTAAACATTTTGGGGAGGAATATTGAAGATCAAAATGAATAATCCTTCATTACTTCCACGGCGGGGACATTTGCAGGACGACAGCAGTGGACACAGACTGCAAACAGACATATGTAGCCAAATAATTACAAGCCAAATACGGTACATTATAAAGTGAAACAATATTTTATATATATATATATATATATATATATATATGAAGGAAGGAAACTGCAACCGTAACACAACCAATGTTTCAGCGGCGGGTGGGCGGGATGTGTGGAGCGATGCTATTCCTGCTGCGTACAACTTTTAAATGTCTCAATGCAACACTAGTGTCTCTTTATGACCTACATAAGTAACCCCCCCCATCGGAGAGAAGATTGGCCTTTTCTACCTAGTTATTCTTAATGCTCACCAACAGGGCGAATTCCAGCACAAATCAAGATTGTTCTCAAAGCTGAACGCGAATTCTCTGGCGAGAGTTTTAGACAAGGCGGCTCCTCGTTAACCACAAACACGCAGCAAAAGCTGGCAAGTAACCCAGAATAGAATCCAACCAAATAGGTTTGGTATGAAAGTGAAAGTTTAGTGGCATGGCCCTTAAGCTCTTATGTCACTAATGGAGTGACCCTCGACATGTGAGCTTTGACCTTTGGGCTTCAGTAAAAAAACTGCACGGCAGAGTGGCAAATCCCCCTACACCGTCATTCTGACCAGAATAGATCATTCTGCAGGAATAAGTACTAATACCAACACAAGTTCCCTTGTCTCTTAGTCGATGGCTTCCATTTAACGGGTTTCAGTTACATGCATGAAACATAGTTTGCTAACACGAGCTTAAGGGCTTTTAAATGTGGTTCTGGAACAGAAGTTCCTTCAGAAGATGACCTAATCTTTGTGATGTTCTTTGTAATACAAGTCATGCAACCATGTTGTAGTTCGTATCCATCCTTTGGTTTGTTTGCAAAGTTTAGCTTTTTAGTTGAGTATTGGATTTTTTTTTGCGCAAGAAGCATAGAAGAGGTGTAGATCTCAGAGAAAGATGTGTATTTATCAGAACATTTGTTTGCCACGAAGAGTACTGCACCCAGTGGTGAGGAGGGTCCAAGGATCGATCAAGAACACCAGAGGGTCCATGGATGTTTTAAGAGGACTGGATACATCATTTGAAGAGTAAATACCCTCCTAAGACACTTGCTGCGCTTCAGTCTTCCACATTTTTTGGGCTGTCCTTGTCTGGTTGAATCTACTGAGTGCCAAAACAAAATTAGGCATCAATGCAGCTATGTTTAGTATTGTGATGCAACGGTCAATTTAAAAAAGAAAAAAGTAAAGTGAATTAGAGCAGTGGCAGAATGCTGGGGGGGGGACGCTGCACCAGCTATCAGAACAACAAGGGATTATATTCATCCTTCCATCTACTGATGTGTTAGAGTCGACCTTGACTCATCAACCCGCTCTTGTAAAACAAAAGTCCTGGTTCTAAGACGCTGTGGTAGATTGCTTCTGTTGGAGAGGAAATGAAGACATGGAGTGTGAAAACGTGCGGCCCCCTGACCGGGACAAGTTCTTTATTTCTTCTTTCATTATATAAAACGGTTGCACTTTATGTATCTGTTTTATATAAAATAATAACTGGGCCAATAGTTCGACAGCACCAACGGCTCCGGCTACCTTCCTTCTGGGGACATTTGGGTCACGCTGATTAATTGCTAGACAACGACTTCCATCTCCAATACTTGAGTAGGCTGTTGCTCTCCAAGTGGGGGGGCCCCAACCTGCAGGGCCACACTGGGCTCCCGGTAGGTCGCAGGTGTGCCGAAAAGCATTTTGAAGCCATATCCCATGTTTCACTGTGAGCAATACACATTCGCATCACTGCAGGTGCTGAACAGGGGGCGAGCGCGTACTGCCTATTTTGGGGCCTTCATTCGTGAGTGTATTTGCGGGTCGGACATATTTACAGAGTTGTGATCCTGCCGGTAAGCGGCTGTGCTGCTGGTTAGCTCGCTCGGTAGTAGCACGCTAGCCGCTAGCCGTCACCTGGCTGCACTCACTTACTATCCGCTGTTCGCCATTCGCTTGTTAGCCGCTAGTGGTGACGTTAGCTGCTAGCTGGGAAGTGACGTTACACTCCCGGTCGGTGGCCGAGCCGCGGCGTGCCGTGACGGTTTACCGGGTCGCGGCTTAACGTTAGCTCGCTGCTTAGCCGTCAGCGGGTCGGTCTTTTAACGAGCCGCGGGACAAGCGTCGGTACGTGACGTTAGCGGCTGCGTTCACTGTAGCGCAGGCAACGGCTCAGGAAAGAAAATGTCACCTTTCTCCCCGCGGGACCGCTTCTTCTTCTTCTTCTTCTTCTTCTTCCTGGGAAGCCCGTTCAAACTGCCAGCCGGCGTTAGTCCTTCGTGAGCGGCCACGCTCGCTCTCTCGGTGCCGCTGGGTCCCTCCGGCAGGAAGGCGTATCGGCGCAGAGGTCGCCTCTCCACGGCTTTGGATCCTCGGTGTGTCCCCCTCGCTCTCCCTCGCTCTCCTCCGTACAGCTCGTCTGTGCTTTTTTTTATTTCCTTACATTAAAAGGTGTGATTTAACGAGGAGGACGGGTTTCTATCGTTTTTCAATGCCTCCATATTTACACTCTTTCTCTCTCTCTCTCTTTTCTCCCACTCTTTCTCCCACACCAGCAACAACAACATTATTGACGTCTTCCTCCTGCCACGTGATCAGTCTGCTGGGGCTAAAAATAGACCCAATAGAAACCAATGGAGGCAGGCAGACAGACAGACAGGGAAACAGACAGACAAGGTTTAGTTTCTGTCACACTTACTTTCCCTTGTTTCCTTCTCTGATTGGGCCTTTGTTTACACTGCAGAGTGAGACCTGAACGTAACACGAGCAAAGACTGATAAACACCAAAAGACTAATCTCTTGGAGCAGTATTGAGCAAAACAAGATTTTTTTTAATCAGCCGGTCGCTCATAAAAAAATAGTGGGGAACGATAAAAAATAAAGAAATTCTTAAGCAAAGTGGCCCAAATCACACTTTAAAGCTTTGAGAGCCTTTGCTCAATACTTTGTTGAAGCACCGTTGGCACAGTGTTAATTTTGGCAGCTATTTTTGATTTAGTCTTAGTCTTTAGACGAAAAATGCATTAGTTTGTCACATTTAGTCATTTTAATCCTTCTTAGTTTTAGTCGACGAAAACTAGACTAAAATTAGTTTTAGTCACATATAATAGCCATATTAAACTCATTTTCTTCCCTTCTCAGGCCCAGGGACCCCCTGTGTTGTGTCTACAACTGCATACTAGTCCAGCTTGCAGTACTTGGTTGTCCATCAGATGTCCCTCATAGGACAGGTCTATAGATGTCCCTCCTAGGACAGGTCTATAGCAGGTCGGCAAACTTTCTGACTCGCGGGCCACAATGGGTTGTAAAATGTGACGGAGGAGCCAAGAACAAATGGTTGAAGTGTTTGTGTGAGCGAATATAAATGACATGTGAAAAATCATTATATGAAAGGATTTGGATTTTATCAAATAGCAAAGCATTTATTTGCAAGGCAATTTAACAAATTGGCAAAGGTGTAACAACTTCATGAGGACCAGGGACCTAAACGCAACACTTTGTTGTCTTTGTTTACTTGCAATGCTTTTGACACTTAATGGTCCTTTATTGTTTCCACTGTCCCAACAAAAGAGACCCCTTAACGCCCTACAATCGTTGCAATACATTGTTTTCTTGGCTTCAGAACCTCCAATGAGTTTATTGCGTTAGACGTGTTTGGAGAAGCGTGTAACGGAGCGTCTCATCCAGCCGAGGAAACGCTGCCTGCCGTCGCCAGAGAACAGAGCAGGAAGGTCCGACGGTCTTTAAACGGGTCTTCATGTTTCTGTGAAGCAGCGCGGCTTCAGCCCGCTGACAGGCAGCTAAACCGAGACAGCTGAGCTAAACTAAGGAAGCCACGTTCAAACTCGCCTAAGCGTAAAATAGTCGTCGCGGAACCACCGCTGCACCGATGTGATGCGCGCGTTCTGGGTTCGTGGATGACGTCATTATGACGCGTTAATATCCGCCGTACTTTGCCCGTTTGTTGTCTGTCAGCTGCGTGCGAATTCAGGGAGAAAAAAGTATCGTGACTTCGTCAACCACCACCATGTTCGTCTCGTTAACCAAAGTTAAAAAATAAAAACTATGACTAAATATATTCTAAGATCGTTTTCGTCACGTCTTAATCTCGTTTTAGTCATGGAAAAAAGGTTTGTTAACAAAATGTTTTCGTCATAGTTTTCGTCGACGAAATTAGCAGCAATTACAGCCTCAAGTCTTCTTGGGTATGATTCCACAAGCGTGGCACACCTATTTCTGGGCAGTTCCTCCCATTCTTCTTTGCAGAACCTCTCAAGTTCCATCGGGTTGGATGGGGAGCGTCGGTGCACAACCATTTTCAGATCTCTCCAGAGATGTTCAATCGGGTTCAAGTCAGGGCTCTGGCTGGGCCACTCAAGGACATTCACACACAGACATTCAGAGTTGTCCCGAAGCTACTCCTTTGTTATCTTGGCTGTGTGCTTCGGGTCGTTGTCCTGTTGGAAGATGAACCGTCGCCCAGTCTGAGGTCCAGAGCGTTGGAGCATGTTTTCATCGAGGATGTCTCTGTACATTGCTGCATTCATCTTTCCCTCAATCCCGACGAGTCCCCCAGTTCCTCCCGCTGAAAAACATCCTCACAGCATGATGCTGCCACCACCATGCTTCACTGTAGGGATGGTATTGCCCAGGTGATGAGCAGTGCCTGGTTTCCTCCAGACATGACGCTTGGCATTCAGGCCAAAGAGTTCAATCTTTGTTTCATCAGACCAGAGAATTTTGTTTCTCATGGTCTGAGTCCTTCAGGTGCTTTTTTGCAAACTCCAGGCGGGCTGTCATGTGCTTTTTACTGAGGAGTGGTTTCAGTCTGGCCACTCTACCAAACAGGCCTGATTTGTGGAGTGCTGCAGAGATGGTTGTCCTTCTGGAAGGTTCTCCTCTCTTCATAGAACAACGCTGGAGCTCTGTCAGAGTGACCATCGGGTTCCTGGTCACCTCCCTGACCAAGGACCTTCTCCCCCGATCGCTCAGTCTGGCTGGGCGGCCAACTCTGGGAAGAGTCCTGGTGGTTCCAAACTTCTTCCATTTCCACATGATGGAGGCCACTGTGCTCATTGGGTCTTTCAATGCTGCAGAAATCTTTCTGTATTTGCAAAAAACAGTTTTCACTTTGTCATTATGGGTTGTCGTGTGTAGAATGTTAAGGAAAATAATAAATTTAATCCATTTTGGAATAAGGCTGTCACACAACAAAATGTTGAAGCGCTGTGAATACTTTCCGGATGCACTGTATGCCACCTCACCTCACACACTGCTCATGCAAAAGAAGGAAGTGGAGGGTCATATTCAATACAAGATATTCTAAAATGAACTCAAGGTGCAGTATATGAATGTCTGAAAGGTGTCGGCTTTGGTGGTGGACAAGTCGATTGCCATGGCTTTTTGTGCGGATATCCATGTTCCCCGGAGGATGGTCCTCACACTTTTCCTTTTTTTTCTATCAATACCACAGAAAGCGTTTTTTTCACTCAAACATCTCAACAATTTTGGCTTGCCGGTACATTAAGAGCATTGCGTCCAGCTCGCAGACCGGTCCGTCAGTCTGAATCTGAATATCTTGCCAACTTTACCGAACTATGGAGGAGCCTGCGCATATCTTGTATATCACATATCACATTCACTACAACCTCATTTTATTTAATTTTTTTCAAAAAGTCGATCTGTATTGAAAGTTGGCAAGATATTCACAGATTCTGACTTTTTCCGGTATTTTACAAATACGGACCGGTCTGCGAGCTGGACGCATTGCTCTTAATGTGCCGGTAATCAGTGCTGTAGTGGTAAAATTAGAGGTGGGTAAACTCTGAATTTTGTGATCATACAGACCTCGACGCGATGCGAAGCAACGCAACACAAAGCGTCGCGACTCTGTAAGGCTGTCCTGGCTATATTGCATTATGTTATCAGTAAAAGTCATATACAATCAATGATAATGAATAAATGTGTTAGTAGTTTGTAGTTTATTAAATTTAAGAAAACCGTGAAGAAAAGTATGTCAACACAACACAACAACACAATTGTAGATTAAGAACTATCTCCTTTTTCCAGTAGTGCCCAGAGGGCCTCCTTGTCCTCCACGTCAGGTCGTGCCTTGCACAGAGGAGCCATGGCTCCTGTGTGCTTCTCTTCTCTCTATTGGACCTGGTGTTTCTCCTCTCCCTGTGCTCTCTGCATCATTGCCTGTCCTCTCACTGCCTGAAAAAATATGTTGAATTTAAGAGTTAATCTACGCGTCACCAGGCGTTTTTCTTTTACCGTGCACGACCAGCGAACACAGAGCGCGCGACTACTACCCCCCCCCCCGTCGGTCGTTCCGCCCGCAACGACTACTACCCCCCCTGTCTGACATGAAACCGGTCCGGGAGGTAAAAAGGTTGGGGACCACTGGGCTGATCCACAAGTGTTTACACACCTCCTGGATCCTGATTGGTCGCTGCTGCAGCCGCAAGGCACTGATTGGATGCTCACAGACCGTAATACAGCGCAGGTGAAAATGATTCAGACTACAGCGTTTATATGTTCAACAATAGGAAACGTAGTCTTAGCTGTTTTAAAATTACACCAAGTTTATTTCGGATTATTCCAACGGAATTATACAAGGCGCAGGGAACTTTGAGGTGCGTAAACGCCACTTAGAGGTGGGTAAACGCTATTTATATTATATTTCCAAAATCCAAGAGGTGCGTAAACGGCATTTACGTGCGTTTACCCTCCACTACAGCCCTGCCGGTAATGATGGTAAATGATGGTTGTAGCTGGTTGTCATCTACGGTCCACTACGATTACCGAAGGGGGGCGTTTGTTTTTTGACAACGTTTTATCTCATAATTTCGACTTTCTATCCCCTTTATTTAGTGCGGAAATGGGCTTCTATAGTTGTGTGAATGCATCACTCCAGCCAATCCAAAGACGGGGTTTGTAACCAATCAGGTCTAGATACCATGGTGACTGGCTCCGCCCCCTTACTGTCAAAAAGAAAAACAGCGAGCACGTAGAAAACGCCTTCGAGCGCAAGCAGAGATTCTCCTTGCGAGCAACAAAGTTCATGTTTCGCAAGCGAGCAAATATCTTGCGCGAGACGGAGATTTGCTGGCGGATGTTTGATTTACGCACGCATCAACCTGATTTACGCTCTCGAGTTTTGACAGTGATTTGCCGCCATACTGGATTAGGGATCCTCTGACTTTTCTGCTCGTGCCACCATCTTGAAAGCCATCGTTTGAGTTTGTCGGCTTGCCTGGAAATTTGGCCTCCACATCCATGTTCCCTTGAGGATGAATCGTAATTACCTTTGACTTTACAACTACAGCGGCACTACACGGTCAGAATCTCAGTTTTCTCATGTTGGCTGACTGAGTCTCAGAGCTACGAGTGTTGCCGTAGCTGACATGTTCTACTGCACAATTTTAGCAATTTGGACACACGGATGCCCCTGAATCTAAGCATCCTGAATTATCTACAGCAAAACAATTCACAGAGCGAGTCGAAAAGGTGCAAACTAAGCGACAAGCAGTCTTTGCTACATAAGAAAAATGCATGTTACGTTCCCAAACAGCGAACCGATATGTCAAACCAATCAACTATCAGAATTATCAGTGGAAAGGTTTGACAAAAGGCAAAAATCTAACTTTCATTCATCTTCATTTACAGTACAGGGAGAGGAGAGGAGCTATAAATATCTCCAGTCTCAGCCTAATGTGACTGCAGAGGAGGTGGAGGGAATAGAAAAGATGGAGATTGGCAAAATGAGGGGGTAGAGAAGGTAATGTGACAGAGCAGGGGGGTTTGGAGGAAAGATCGAGAGACGCACATAGAGGTGGAGGGAGGGAGGGAGGGAGGAGGAATCGGGAAAGAGGGGCAAGCAGACGGGAGGGGTGAGAGAAGGAGGAAGAGAGGGGAAATATTCTGCATGAACTGATTAAGGGAACAAGGTAGATGGAGGGCTGGGGTGGAATGAAGGAGAGAGTGGGAGACAGAAATAGAGAGAAAGAAAGAGCTATTCTGGTAATGACGTTGCCATGGAGACGCTCTGGTCTGTCAAACCACTCCACAGGTGCCCCGTGGGTATTTTAAAAGCGCATCACTGATTGGTGGAGGCCTTTTCAAAACGGCCCCATTGATTGGTTACGTAGGTGAAGGTCAAAGGTCATCCCGTTCATCTCCTCCCTACTTTCTACGCACTGTTTCCGTTTAAAGTAAACCCCTGTACAAACTTCAAGAGAAAGAGACTTTTGGTTTTGTTTTAAATAAATATCTTATGTGATATCCAGCAGCCAAAACACAACATGAATTGAGTCTGAGGCCAACGATGCATTCGCAGTAAAACAAACACCGTTCAGAATCTCTGGTGAGTTAGGTCCAAAAGACATACCTGCAGCTACCGTTCCTCACCGCAGGTGCCACCGAAGAGGGCGAAACCGAGATCTTCTTGATGTTAACTTTAACTCAGTATTTTGGTCACACTTTAAGCGATAAGTTCATCATTAGTGTTTTAATAATTACTGGTATGGGAGCCACTCATTTGCATTTGTGTTGAATAGGGTTATTTCTAACATCTCAGTAAATGTTTGGCTGTAAGGGGTAAATAAACCTCCTTGATTCTTTAGCTGCTTATGGCTGCTAACTATCAGTCTTTAGCTGGTTCATGTGCCCTTATCTTTTTCATTTCTCATTGGTGCTCACGTACCGTGCTGTGAAGGAATCGGGTCCAGCTTACATCCAGGACATGGTCAAACCCGACATCCCGACCCGCACTCTCCGCTCTGCATCTGATAAACTGCTCATCCCTCCCTCACTGAGAGCAAAACACTCGACTAGATCACGACTCTTTGCTGTCTTTGCTCCGAAATGGTGGAATGAGCTCTCTGAAGACATCAGGACCACAGAGAACCTTCACATCTTCAGTCTAAAGACACACCTCCTCAGTCTCTACCTCCACTAAACACTAACTAATTGTAGCACTTAAATTGTACTTGTAACGCCACTTATCTATATCAAGTTGTAAATTGGCTTATTTGATGAAATTGCACTTTATTGTTTCTTGTTCTTCTGAGTTTGTACCCTATGGTTGAATGCACTTACTGTAAGTCGCTTTGGATAAAAGCGTCAGCTAAATGATATGTAAATAATGTAAAGTACTGGATTTAAAGTGCCACAGCAGAGTACGGGGTACTTTATGGATACTTTTTAGTGTATTTGTAAACACTGGGTACATACAGGACTACATTACTGGTCATTGTATCTTTACAGTTGACATCCTGCAGTACCTCTTAATAAGTAATTATACGTTCATGTATTTCATATCACTACTGACAAGCAGGGGGCAACTACTAAAAGTCTATGTGAAAATTACTACTCTCTTTATGGTCCCAATCTCCAGTTGCAAGTTTTCAATAAAACGTGATGCTCATTTGGTAAATTGAAGGTTCATTTACAGTCAAATAGAACATGAAGAAGGGCATGTTTTTTGGTGGGGATAATCTCATACATTGTGATTGACAGTATGCGCCTATGCACTAAAAATATGGTAACCTCCATTTATTAAAACCAAATGACTGGCTGTAATTCAAGATGGTTGACGACATTTTGTCTAACTACAGGCTTCAAAAACAGCAGCCAACAACACTTCTTATGAACAGTTCCATCCTGGAGGGAGTGTTTTTTTCATTGTGACTTCATCCTGCACCAGTGGGCGGGAAATGAAATCTCAGACCAGCGGAGGCGCCACGGGTCCAAAAGCCACACAGGTAGAAATGTGTCCACTCATAGCCAGAGACGTGACAAATATACGGTGGAGAAAAGTGACTCATCGGTGTCACTTAGGAGTGAAATGAAGAGTTAGGGAGAGCGAGAGAGTGGGCGAACAAATGACATGTTATGGGACTCACACACAAACATGCATGCGCACACACACACACACACACATGCAGCAAAAGGAGCAGCGGTGAGTCAGCCTCCTGCTGTGAGTCACAGGACAAATCACAGATGTCAGACAGAGAAAGAGCGCACGCACACACACACACATATGGCCACAAGTTTCTGACATTAATGAAGACAACCGTGACAACGGTTCTCCTTCCATTGATAGTTACAGTGTGAGTGGAAGACCTGAAACACAAACATACACACGCAGCTCTCCGTACCTCCACATTCTCAAGTCTGTAACACACAAATCCCCTTTTCACACATTGTCCTAAATCCAAAACGTCGGCACGTTTTACCTGTGCGGGCTTCAGACGGGCATCTGATTTGTTCTCCATCTTCCCGCGTCGACCCTCGTCCCCCGATGGGTCCCTGGACCTCAGGGTGAACACCGCTCGTCCCACGCTGCTGCCGCGGCTGCACTGAGTGGCTGCTCTTCACGGCGGGTCTCAGGGACACTTGTCAAAGACCACAGCGCCCCCAGGAGGAGAGGAAGGATGGATGCTGGGGTGCAGTCCTCGCTGGATCACTTGGTTACCTCATCTATGCTGTCCTCTCTGTCCTTGATGACAGAAACTTGTTTCATATCTAAACTGCCCTCATCTTCTTACTATTACTGCCTGGTGAGGGAGACTCTGTAATGCATGCACACATTTGAATTTAATATTCATTATTTTCACTGCAGCCGTTCTGTGATGTCCATTGTGAGCAGTATTGTATCATGATATATTATTTTTGTTACCTGTATAACACAAGTTTGATTTTATACATTCAGCAGGAGATATTAACCTGTTTACTGCACTGAATATGTTTGATGGCATCAGTAGTAACTGGGCATATACAGATTTAACAGACGTAAGACAGTGCACCACATTAAACATGACTCAGTTTAATTGGCTGATATAAAAACAGAAAACCTTTGCATGCGGTTGGACGCCTCGTCTGTTTGTTGCAGCATACGCTTAACAATTCAACGGCACTGGAGTGGAGATTAATATATATATACAGTATATATATATATATATATATTTTTTAAATATATATATAAAATAAATATATTTATATATATATAAATGGCAGTGGTAATAGTTGTGCTACTCAAACAGTAGCAGACATATAGGATGGACTTTTATGGACGTGCTCGGTTTGTATAAGAGAGATGTCTCAATTTAGGGGTATATATATATATAAAACCGTTATCTTATATATCAAAAGATGTTTTTTTCCCCCAATCATATCTGTATATTTGTTTTTTAAATACCGGTATTTAGCCGTGGAGGTGTTGTGTAAGCAGCGTGTTGGAACACGTTGCCGCTGATTGTCCTCTAACGGGCAGCCACGAGTCACTGACAGACGCCTCCATCCTCCTGCGCCCCTCCCATCCAGCGTTGTCAAGGCAACAAACCCTTTACAGCGGAGCCATTCGTCATCAATCCACGTAGCCTAACCCCCCCATTCAATGTTATTGTGACGTTTCAGCACGAGTCAGATAAAGGGACGGTTTCATTATTACACACGCACGCATATAAGATAAACACTGATATGTATATATAACTCATATATGAATTACACTTAGATATTATATACTACGAAAAATTTATAAGTTGTAAAAGCAGAATAAAAGAAGGCTATAATGATAATACAAGGGGGGAAGATAACAGATAACAATCAAATAAGTAATACTACTAATAATAGTTATTTTCCTACTTAGCTGTCACATGGGTTGGGCTCGTTCAAAAACACACACGCGCGCGCGCGCGCACAGCCGCACGGTCAGCAGGAGGAGGAAGTCGGATCTGCAGACCAAACACTGGGTGCACTTCCTCAGCAGAGCAGAAGCAGTGAGTACCTCCCGCCTCGTTAATTCACCTGCTAATAGCCCGTCACCCTTTTCTCCTGTTCATGCAACTAAAACCCTCACGAGGTCAACAGCAGCCAAACGGAAGTGACCGCGCCAGGTAACAGGTGACGGGGTCTGGGCTTCATTTCGGCTGGTAACAATGGCTGCGGCGTGACGGGCTTCGTCACCAGACGCCGAACCGCGGGGACCTTTCTCGGTGACTCCCGTCCGCCCCGTGCGACTCTTCCTGCCGCGTTACCTCCGCGTCGCGTCGGTCTCCTCGCGCTGCTGGAAGCGCGATAAAAGCATCCGAAGGGGGGCGTTTTGGCCCCCAGTATTAATACTCTGGGCTGTGTATTTAAATACTTACCCAAAGAGTTCATTTGTGGCCATTGGCCTAATTATGCGCTTTGCAAAGTAGGTGTAATGTAATTGTACCTTTTTAAAGTAGATACTTACTCAAAGTTATTCCAAGTAGGCTTTGGATACTTGTACTGAACTCCAGTATTTACACATCATACCCATTAACAAGTGATGTCTAAATGTCTGGATTACGTTGCCGCGTGTCTGCCTTGGCGTCGTATCTGAATACACGTTACTCTTCCGCAGATCATGGACGATCCGGCCCCGTGTTCCGCGCGATCCGCCTTCCCGTGGCTGGTGGGGGCGTCGCAGGTGGTGGGTCTGGCGGCGGTGGTGCTGACCGGCGTGTGGATGGGCCACTTCCGCGGCGGTTTCGCCTGGGACGGTTCGGGGCGGGAGTTTAACCTGCACCCTCTGTGCATGGTGCTGGGGCTGGTCTTCCTGCAGGGCGACGGTGAGTCAGCCACCGTTGCTATGCAACAGACACCAAAAAAAAAAGAAACATTAATACCAATATGTAAACAATATATGAGAGTCAAATTTCATGAACATATAACAACATTGACATGTCTAATTACTACAGGAAAGTTACTTTGATGAGAGTTTTTTTGGGGCTCGAGAGGTAAGGAGATAACCTTTACCCCAAGACCATTAAATCACCTGAAAACATTACACGATATATTTTATCAATGCTTTTTTTTCTTGAACATTTGAACATTATCAATTTATGAGCCAGTGTTGTTAACCACTAATCAAAAGTCATTCCCCTGAAATATCAAAGTTTATGCAAAACATGTTTGGTAACTGTCAAGCTTGAAAATCAACCTGTTATTTTGGGTGTGCAATATGGAACGCTCAAGTCAATGTAAATAGGTGTACAGTACTTTTTAGCTCAATACAGTACTCTGTATCAGAATGCTTGATTTCATCTACCCGCATTATATATATATTATGATACATTTTCCAAACACCTTTAAGGATATCTTTTGTCATGTAAACTTGCATTCCAACGTATTCCGATGAGCAACTTTAGATTGGAGTTTAAAATCCAAAGATTATAAATTACACTTTTAAATGAATGATCGAGTTGGGCCACTATGGAGACAATGTGCCACGCCCCAATGCCCCGACTAAGTCCATATTTCATACAGTCTATGGCGGCCACACAAGGCGCGTCTGAAAGGGATTCTGTTGGTACACTTTGGTCTTTCCGCATTCAGTTAGCATGGGGACACAATTGAATTAACTTACTACCAATTGCGGGACAGCAGGTGAAGTGAAGGGAAGTCTTGAGATTAGCCCGGCTGGTCTTACATCAGTTTTGTAGTCAGGGTCAGCGTTATGCTGCAGTGAGTCTCAGCCTCTTGTGCCTTTTGCTGACTGGATGTATTAAGCACACGCTACCCAGACGTCCAGCGGTTTGATTGAAACAGAGATAAGCGGAAATGGTTTGAATCATTGAACGTACTGTTTTTTGTGAGTGTGTTTGGGACATATCCAGTGCTGCTTTGACAGAGTGCAATGTCTGCTAAAGTATGCTAACGTTAAGAAGATAACCACACCACAAACTACGGTCCTAGTTGTGATGATTTGTCTTATTTTATTTTTTTATTTAGCATATAATTATGTTCCTCTGGGATTTGAGAAAAGGGTTAAGGAGCATTTTAGGTTTGTAGTCAATCTGACAGGAAAGGTTAATAATATGTTATAAAGAACGGGAACTCTGAAGAGCAGAGGACCGAGCCCGAGAGTCCACTATGAAGGATGCTCATTAGTGGTGTCGCAAACTTTGTTGAACCTCCTCTTGTCACGGTATAAAATGCTAAAGTTCAGAGACAATGGTTGACAATGAAATAAAAAAAAACATTCTTCAAAACAAACTTAATGGCCAAGCTAATGAGCTAGCTAACTGACGATTAGCCACAGTTAGCGGCATTTATGGAGCTTTAAGATCGCAGGGAAACAAAAGTAAATTTTTTCAACTGCAACGAAAGTAAGTAATCGTCAGCCATGTGATACACGCCGCAGCAAATGCTCCTGGGATGTCTGCGGTCACGTAAATAAAGATAAAGCGAGATGTCGCCGTTTTTCCTGTTCTCCTGTTTGCCCCTGTGGCCCTCGGGTGCTTCTGCTAATGACAGTAACCGGGTTAGTTCAACTGGTTCACAGCTGTCTGTTGCAGGCCTGAATTGCATTAGTGCGGAAAAAGCGAAAAGGTCAGCTGGACATTAGACGGGGACAGGACAGGCTATGGAAATGCCCTGGGGGGACCTCACACACACACACACACACAGCTATACACATCAGAAAATATTCTGTTTGAGTCTGTGTTTGTTGCCTCCGGCCATTTCCATGCTAAAGCGATATACACTCACCTGAAGGATTATTAGGAACACCTGTTCAATTTCTCATTAATGCAATTATCTAATCAACCAATCACATGGCAGTTGCTTCAATGCATTTAGGGGTGTGGTCCTGGTCAAGACAATCTCCTGAACTCCAAACTGAATGTCAGAATGGGAAAGAAAGGTGATTTAAGCCATTTTGAGCGTGGTGCCAGACGGGCCGGTCTGAGTATTTCACAATCTGCTCAGTTACTGGGATTTTCACGCACAACCATTTCTAGGGTTTACAAAGAATGGTGTGAAAAGTGAAAAACATCCGGCAGTATGCGGCAGTCCTGTGGGCGAAAATGCCTTGTTGATGCTAGAGGTCAGAGGAGAAGGGGCCGACTGATTCAAGCTGATAGAAGAGCAACTTTGACTGAAATAACCACTCGTTACAACCAAGGTATGCAGCAAAGCATTTGTGAAGCCACAACACGCACAACCTTGAGGCGGATGGGCTACAACAGCAGAAGACCCCACCGGGTACCACTCATCTCCACTACAAACAGGAAAAAGAGGCTACAATTTCAAAGAGCTCACCAAAATTGGACAGTTGAAGACTGGAAAAATGTTGCCTGGTCTGATGAGTCTTGATTTCTGTTGAGACATTTAGATGGTAGAGTCAGAATTTGGCGTAAACAGAATGAGAACATGGATCCATCGTGCCTCGTTGCCACTGTGCAGGCTGGTGGTGGTGGCGTAATGGTGTGGGGATGTTTTTTTGGAACACTTTAGGCCCCTTAGTGCCAATTGGGCATCGTTTAAATGCCACGGCCTACCTGAGCGTTGTTTCTGACCATGTCCATCCCTTTATGGCACCATGTACCCATCCGCTGATACTTCCAGCAGGATCATGCACCATGTCACAAAGCTCCAATCATTTCAAATTGGTTTCTTGAACATGACAATGAGTTCACTGTACTAACATGGTCCCCACAGTCACCAGATCTCAACCCAATAGAGCATCTTTGGGATGTGGTGGAACGGGAGCTTCGTGGCCTGGATGTGAATCCCGCAAATCTCCATCAACTGCAAGATGCTGTCCTATCAATATGGGCCAACATTTCTAAAGAATGCTTTCAGCACCTTGTTGAATCAATGCCACGAAGAATTAAGGCAGTTCTGAAGGCGAAAGGGGGTCAAACACAGTATTAGTATGGTGTTCCTAATAATCCTTTAGGTGAGTGTATATACACTGTCAAATATGAGTACATACTGTCAAATGGATGCAATTTGGCAACAGTTAGCAAGTTTAATAGCTTTGAGAAGTAGTTTTTTCTCTTCGGTAGTTCACAATTAAATGAAGCTATATATAGGTCTGAAAATGAAGCGGACAGAGAAAATAAAAAGAGGCTCGACGAGCTAAATAAAGCAAGCGAGCAAGTTTAAGAGATTTTAATGTCTTGTCCTTAAAGTACAACAGTAGATAGCGCTCATGGGGATTTTGAAGCTTTTAGAAGGTTATTTCTGCAATAATCTGATGGAAAAATCTTAATGACCTTTTTTCTAAGGCTTTCATTAGAAGCGCCTGGAGATCTGGTTCAACACCTGAATCACGAGGAATGGACATGGCTAAGATATTATTTTTACAATGAAACTGTTATGTGAACCTTTCTTTTGGAATCAGATACACTGCAGTCTTCAGTGCTCGCCCTGAGAGCAATGGATCCCATTGGAAACCGCTTGAAGCTGCTTAGTAGCCTTAAAAGAATTTAAAAAAGAACACAATTAGCAACTGTGTTAAGTTTAGCCTTTTAAAAAAAAAATGCTCAAAGCTTTTGTGTGTCCTGTCCTCATGTAATGTGCAATGTTCATGCACATATCTTGCATATTTACTAGAAGTATCTAAATGTGTAGACAGTGCCTCTGCAAACTTTCATGTTCCCCATTTAAATTACGTTATCACTACTACTTACTAATAGTGTTTCTTTGTTTGGGATTTCGATAATTTCTTGGCCTCATAGATACATTTTTTGGTTATATGGTCAATTTTTTCTAATGCAATCGTTTTTGCTATTGCTGCAATGGTCATAAGGGCATTAAGAGCATTGCCATATGTTGAGGACATTGAGGATGTTTTACTGTTTAGTTGATAGTTTCCACTTGAAACATTAGCTTTATGTGTTGGGTGATTGAACTCTTTTGCGTTCCCTTATAATCTTCTATGACGGAACACGACTGAAACGCCGTGTCAACGACAAAAGCGATGGTCGTGGTGTTTTTTGAAAGGAAAGTACATAGAATTGTTGGTGAATCTCCTCCCTCTCTCCAGCCATCCTGGTCTACAGAGTATTTCGAAATGAAAGCAAGAGGAATGTTAAGCTGCTTCATGGCATCATTCACCTTCTGGCCCTCATCATCAGCATCATAGGTGAGAGATGGATGTATGACGGTGTATGAGGTCCATTGTTGATGGACAAAAAAATTCTAATATTCTCTGAAACGATAAAGGCATACTTTTGCTTGAGTCAAACTCGAGAAATTAAATTCACAAATGCATGAGAAAAGTAGTGTTTATGCTGTGTTAAAAGTAAAATGTTCCCAATGGGGCATTATTGTGAATGTTGAGAAGTTAACACTAATGTGTGTGTCCGTGATCTTGAGATGAAAATATCTCAGTGTGTCTCTCTGCCTGTGTGTGTAGGTTTTGTAGCTGTGTTTGACAACCACAAAGCCGCAAAGATCCCAGACATGTACTCTTTACACGGCTGGTGTGGCATGGCGACCTTAGTCTTATTCTGCGTACAGGTACTCAAACACACACACACACACACACACACACACCCACGCAGTCCATTACTTTAGAGGACACTAAATTCACTTGCTTTTAGGTTCCTGGTGATTTTTCCTCAACATAACAGCCTCATTGCAACCCTCACCCCAACCCTCAAATACAACAAAACCAAGTGCAATATGAGTTAAAACAGCAACACTCACTTTTCATCCATCAACCCCCCCAGTGGGTGATGGGTTTGCTTTTTTTCCTGTTTCCTATTGCATCGTCATGGTTACGAGCCTCTTACCTCCCCGTCCACGGGTTCTGCGGCCTGGGGCTGCTGGTTTTGGCCATCGGGAGCAGCCTGCTGGGCATCACGGAGAAGCTCCTCTTCAACATCATGTATGTGCATATGTGTGTATGTCCTGTATCTCGCTACAACGACATGGGATTCTCCCTCATTGTGTCCGTCTCTCTCGCTCTGTACGCCCAGGTCCACCTACTCTCTCTTCACCCCAGAGGGGGTGCTGGCCAACGTCTTGGGGGTCCTGCTGCTGTGCTTCGGGGTGCTGCTGGCCTACCTGACCACCAGGGAGGAGTACCGGCGTCCGCCCAACCCCGAGGAGGAGTCTCTGTCCGTTCACTTCAAGACCCTGACCGAGGGGGGTTCGCCAACCACGCCGTGACGCCTCCCCCCTCCCCCCTCATCTGGATACCGTGTGCTACCAACCTAGTAATAGAAAAGAGTTTTCAAAAGTAAAGGTTTGATTCAGTGAAATCCATTCAACCTGACCCATTTGATCTCAGACTGCTGACAGATAAGTCCTTATTTATTCTTGATTTAATATTTAATTAATTTAATAAAAGCACAGTGCAGTAAAAGGAAAATAGCAAAAAAGTCCCACTAAACCGTTGCAAAATTCAATTTGTACACAAAATAAATTGAATTGAACAAATCAAGTTTAATATAAAATAATTATATAGAAATAACGAGGGGTTTGGTGCCTCCTCACGCAAGAAGGCAAGAAGCTCAAACGTAATCACAGCTCCCTGTTGCCTCCACACTACAGCTGCATTTGCTTCTCCTGTGTCTTTGGTAGCAGCTCTACTGCGTGTTTTTATTATCATTTCATCATGTTTTTATCATATCCCAACAAAATCACTATCTATCTAATCCATGTTAGCAGTTTAACATTAATTCATGTGATCCGCAAATGTCAGTATTTTAACGAAGCCCTGCGAGGCGAATGAGAAAAACAAGTTTTGGCAGGTTGATCCTTCCTTTGTTTTGTTTGTTGCATCTTGTGGAAAAGGTTTGAAAAAAAAAGTAACTTTTTATTTTAATAACTTAACAACAAACAATATCTAAACCTTGTGTTTTACAGTGCAAAGGGAAATTTTAGTCTTATTTAGAACATTGGTTAGTGGTACACGGCAGTTTCTTGTGGCCAAAATGTGTATTAGCCTCAGCAACAGTCACACAAAAAAAGACGTTTCAGACATAATACAAGGATATTCACACAGACACTACGAGAAAAATGATGTGCTTTTTTTTAACATTAAAGCATGTGAACGTGTTACGGTGGAAACCCAATACAAGTATGAGTCTTAAATTAAGCAGATGTCTCCTATGGGTAATTAAGTAAAAATAATAACTTGCCTCTCAGGGCTTCAGATCAAGTGGCTTGAGTTTTTCATTTAACTGATGCTTTTATCCAAAGCGACTTACAATAACCACATTCAATCAAGAGGGAACAGAACCAGAACAACACAAATCCAGAAAGTACAAATTCTTCAAGAAAGCCAAACTACAAAAGTGCTACTTGTAAGTGCCAACTAGTCCAGCTATGGTCGGTAGAGATGTGTTCTTGCCTCGCATTCTGTGTTGTCCTTTGATTTTTCCCACGGTATCTGTACTCATCCCAGTCAGTACAGTTTGTCTACAATGCTAAATATATCAAGAACGTATATTCCATTTGTCTATCAGTAAGCTGTTTGAATTTAAATGGACTGTTATGTCAACACTATCTGTACAATGTGGGTTGTCGTGGCGCAGGGGTAGAGAGAGTGCACTGGGGAACCGCAAGGTTGGAAGTTTGACTCCCGGCTGCCCCATGTCGAAGTGTCCCTGAGCAAGACGTCTAACCCCTAATGGCTCCCTGGGAAAAAATGTAAAAAGCCATGGGTTAGAAATGCAACTTAATGTAAGTCGCTTTGGATAAAAGCGTCAGGTAAATGACCTAATGTGTATTTAGCTTGGTTGCTGGATGCACTTTGACTCAATGTTACATTCCAAGTGAAATATGTACCTACCGGTTGTCTTTTTGTGGCTTGAGTTCAGGACTCACTAGTGCCTCAATCAAAGCTCCTGCTGACCACTGCTGAATGTTTTCTGTCTCATGTACTTCTTGATACTGTCATCTCTAAAGTCTTAATATAATTGAGAAAACTGAAGTAAATAATAATAAATAATGTGTGTGTAGCGGCTTGAGGTGTTTCGCTCCAGTTGTGTTTTTCACCTGACTTCCTTTATCAAAAGTGAGCCCAAACTCACCTTGCTGTAACATTAGCACCGTTTGACCATGTCGATAAATGTGCTTTCCTGTGGAGATGTAGAGAATATTGATGGCGTTCTTTAACATCTGTCTGTTAGACATGAAGCTACAGCCAGCGGTGGTTTAGCTTAGCATGAAGTTTGGAAACATTACAAACTGGCTGATTGCTGGTCGCTGGTCGGGCAGCGCGTCCGTATGGGGCACGTGGCCACTTCCAAGCTCATGAATCGCGAACAATATCAATCAATAGACAAGTCTATTTCAAATCATTACATAATTCAAACTCCGCCAATGGTCTCAAATAGTATTCACCTCTTAAAGGACTGAAGTTATGACACCCTAACCCTTTTAAATGCCAGATGATATGCGTCTTGTGAAAAATTGGTTCAACATTTACTTGACAATAGAACATTTACTTGAACATGAAGCAAAATAATCATAATTTTACTTCTCCCGTTGGACCTAAAAGACTCACGACATGCCAGTGGCCTCCCAAGGGAGCGGGCCAATGGTTACCCACAGACTATATGGAAGAATTGAAGTCATCGTCCCTTACCCAATCGTTTCTGGACTGCCTCTGAACCCTCGAGTTCAGCGTTTGGCTGGCCGTTGTCTTTTTTTCCAATATCCAATGTATTTGGAATGCGTAGAATTAGAGGAAAGTCCTATACGTCTCTGGAATGGGCAGAGACCTGTCAATCACCGTAAGTCCGGCCTAAAGCATACCTTGCTTTAAGGTCTATACGACTCTAAATGTACCATGATGTACTATCATTTACTTAATCATCATGCTGTATTGAATAATTGAAACAGATTGAGATCATAAACTCATGTTAACTGAATCAAGAGAGAAGCAGTCATTCTTTCAGACTTCTATACTATCAGACTTCGGTTTGAAACCAGAGGCGTGTCCCCCTGCTGGTCAGTAGAAATAATGCAGGTTTTCAGACTCTCAGCATCGGCTTCACTCTGTGGCATCTTAGGTTGCCGCCTGGGTGAAACTTGCTTGAAATTAGGGCCTTTTAATTGGATGTCCAAAAAGTAGTAGTCCATTTTAGTCTTAAAATCCCCATTGTGTGATGTATTGACCCAGAAAGTTGAGTTGACAGCAGCAATTAGTTCAGTGGTTGCAAAACCTTTTCTGTCAGGGCCACCTTTCAGGATACAGGAAACTTGTAAGATCCCCTAAATGAATTGCATTATAATATATAAAACTATATCTTTTTTTGTTTTTATTCCTACTGATTTCTTCTGTGTCGCACTGTGTCTTTTTCTCTGGCTCTTTTTGCCAACTGAAGGAACCTTTGTTTGCTGCGTCAAGCTAGCACCAGCCCAGCTAGCACACTCAATTAGCCTACGTTTCCAAGACGGGGTTTTATCTCCAGAGATCTTGATTCTAGCTCAAGCTCGAGTTGCACAGTTGAGGGATTTTGTACCCACACATGACCCTGGTTGGCTCTCTGGTTTCTATCAGCAGAGTGAGTATCCGTCACAGTTTGAAGTAAAACCCTTATTTTGCTCAATGAAGATTGAAGTCATTGGAAATGTGATGCAGAGTAAAAAAGGCTCAATTAAGCTAACGTTAGCTCCATTACTCAAACTGTGTCAGACTTTTTACAAGCATAATTGTTTAAAAACAAGACTTTTGCAAAAGCGAACACATATGTTGAGTGTAAAACCAGGCATGTGGTTCTATTCTAATTCTAGAAAGTAGTTGGTTAGTTGGGGCATGGCCAGGCTTGATCCTAAATCCATTCTTTGCACTCGCTTATTATGCAAGCATCAGCTCCAGCACCACTACCACCTACTAACGACTGTACTGATTGGACAACCACAGTTTGGGGGGAGAAGTAGAAGTTATACAAAAGGCCTTCATAGAAAAAAACGAAATAACTCTACCTGGCACAAACATTTTTTGATGATGTCTTTCTTCAGGAATTTTATTGGAAAAAATGTAAACCGAAAACAGAGCAAAGCTGAACTGACTTTGCTTTTATTATCTCTTTGAGAAGAAAATGTACATATCAATGTTTTATGTGAAAGACCCTTTAAATGACTCCAAAAGGAATATACAGTAAGAGAAACAATATTCATACAGATTTATACAGATATAACTTAATAAAGATAAATATCACATAGTTTTTGTTTTATATACAGCAAGCCAGTGCTTATTCAAGGACAGCATCCTTTTGGCTCCTCAAACTACGGCTTGGGACCGTAACCTTAGCGGCACAGGTTTAAAACTGGACCCTGGACTGTGTTCAGGTGTTGAGTTGCTTTCAATGCTTCAAACTTGAAATAAAACCCTTTATTTAAGGCTCATGTCTGACTGAATGTAGTCCTCTCGAGTCGAGGATGTGAAACTCGCATTGTGGGCATTCAGTCACTTCTATTTTGAAATGTATTTTCAGCCAGATATGTTCAGCAAGGAAAGGATTTCTATTTTGTGCTCAATGATGACTTTTTTCAGACTTCACTTCCCCCCAAATCCTCCCCTTCCCTCATTGTGCTATGTAATGGCTAGAGCCCCTCATTTACTGTACTGTCCTGTAAAATGCGAGATATTCCTTTACGTTAAACTTTCCCCCAACTCTTCTCAACAATACAGAGTCATTAAGTGCACTCTTTTATTGTTATTTATTAACCACTCTTTATTAACCCTCCTCCCCGGTCTTTACTAAACATTTAAACCTGTCTCTACACATTGGACTCTACGAAGGGTCTTTTTGGTTTCACCGGAGAGGTAGGTCCCGTCTTTCTGTCACTGTGGATCACTGGCAGCGTCCTGGCCAGCTTCACATCCAGGTAAGAGGGATTCTGACTAGCAACCTTCACCGAATCCTCACCCTGAGGATAGTACTGGTTGTCGTTGTGGGCATTGTTGTTGCTGCGGTTATGGTAGGCGATGGAGGATGGTTGGGGGGGACCGAAGCCTCCCTGACTGGCAGGGGTTTTGCTGGGCGAGGTGACGACCGTGTCTACCGAGGACACGGCCCACGAGCGAGAAGGGCTGAGGCAGGAGCTGGAGGGAGCTTGTTGTTGGTACTGCTGTTGACCCCTCGCGGTCCTGTCGCTGACACACATAAAAGGAGTGTTCCTTGAGGACCGGCCCGCTTCTCCGGGATAAGTCCCTCCTCAGCCATGTATGTTTCAGACTGGAGAGAGAGATCAGAAAGAGGTCGTCGTGGTAGCTGGTAACGCCTCCCGCGTATCCCAGATCTGAAGGGGCCTCCATTGCTGGGCGGAAGCCAGACGTCTTGAAGCTTGGTCCGTGAATTGGGTGGCTGCCCGACAGCCAGGCTGGCACTGCTGGAGGAGAAACGGACAACTGATACTCTGGGAGTGGACAAGAGCCCTTGGAGGAACAGCGGGGGAGGGAGGTTGGGGTGGGCATTGAAGTGGCGTTGCAGTACACCCTGATGGTGGTATTGGTAATCGTGGGATGATGGGAGGCTATCAGGAGGTCCCATTGGTGCCTCGGTCACTGCCATCGGATAGTAGGCTGCCTTGGACTGGTTGCGACTTAGGTGACGGGCCTGACCATATCGATTTATCCCGGCCCGCTCCCCCCCTCCTTCTCTCCCGTAGGCAGATGCAAGTCTTTCCTGGCAAACAAAGTCAATGTCTCCATCGTCCACAGGATATGATCCAGATATCAGACCAGCCTGGACCTGCAAGCTGGGCCTGACATCCAAGCTCGGGCAAAGGCCTTCCCCCAGCTCAGCCAGCTCTTGTGGCAGATGGCCAAACTGGGAGTAAGCAGAACTTCCCAAAACCATGCTGGAATGGGACGCAGAACTGGGCTGACTGCTTCGGACTACCTGCACTTTGGCTGCTTGGAGCCACTGACCTTGAACGGGGTTCTGCTTTTGGAAGGACCTTTGATTGGACAGGTGATGGTGGTGTTGCTGCTGCGCCCCCTGGATCTGGTCTGGGTGGTGGTGGACGGAGGCGGAATGTGAGTGGTACTGCAGGCCTCCATTCCCTGACAACGCAGGCATACTCTCTGACATTTGGCTGGGCCGCTGTGGTGGGATGAAATGGTGGTAGGAGGTGGACTGAGGAGGAGGAGCAGGGTGACTTGGGGAAGAGGAGGAGGGGGAATGTGCGGGGCTCGGGAGGTGGCGGTACAGGTGAGTGGGGGAAAGGGAGGAGGGGGGCGGCCCGCCGGGGCAGCAGTGGGTGTCGAGATTTTGAACCACAGGTGGAGGATGCAACGAAGACGGGTGAGGATGAGCATCTCCTTCCCTCTGACTCTCCTCATCATCTTCCTCTTCCTCCTCCTCCTCCTCCTCCTCCTCGTTAAGCCCCCCCCTGTCTTGCACCTGCAGACATCCTGTGTCTCTGCACCTAGCCTCGTTGACGGACATGGACGCATTTTGTTGATAAGCAGGGTTCGACGAGGGAGGTAAAGAGTCTGGTTGTTGCGCAACCTGCCGACACTCTTCCTTGACCCGGGACAGCAGGCGCTGGATCTCCCGGTTGGAGGGGCACAGGCGGCTGGCGTCAATCAGGTCCTCCAGGGCAGCGTGGAACTGTCTGGTGAGAGAGAAGACGATACGATTTCAGAGGACCAAACAGAAATAGATACCTTCAAGTGCTTCTTTTCTGTTCCCTCGACCAATAGGAACACTGAAGTGCCGGAAGCTGGTGTACTGTATGTTGGCTACGAGCTCTCTTTTCTTTGTAAGCTTAGTTGTAAAACCTCAATATCCCAAACCAGAGACATACAGGAGTACATACAGGAGTGCAAGATCAAGCGAGCGAGGAGATGAGCATTTTGTTCGTGCCCTGCTTGACTTTATGCGAAGGTGTGACCTAGAAACACCATGTGGACGCGTCTCTGGCGGTGGTAGTGCCTTGTCAATCACAAGATAGCCCCGCCCTAACGCATACCCTGCTTTGGTCTATGCTGTAATGAAAGAAGTCTTTAAACTAACAATTGAGACCATAAACGACAATGTTTACTGAAGTAACAAATTTAGTATTTTTTGGTAGACTAAGCTTAAGAGCAGGAGCAGAGAGGGCCGCTAAAAATGCAAGACTTCATGTGCTAATTGGGGCAATTACATGCTAATTACATGCTAATGTGTAGCATGACTGGCATCGTCCAGTCAGCTGGATATTGATAAAAAATACAACACATGCATCATTCTTTTAAAGGGAGCAGTTCATGATTTTGTTAGGGTTGGGTCGTCCTTATGTCGCTATGGTTACCTGCGTCCACGCTTGGCACGGGCCCGGGCATAAAAGGCTTCGTAGGATTTAGCTTTCAGCTCGAGCGCCTTGGTGGCAAAATCCTCGGCGAGGCCAAAATCCTGCAAGACGATAGAAGAGAATTCCCGATAATGTGTCAGGAGGTCGGCTCTCTTTTGGATTAGGAACTAGAGGGGGTGAGGTGGAGGGGGGTGGAAAGAGGCTCACGTTCATCTTGCGGTGGCAGCGAGACAGGTTGAGCAGCACGCACACCCTCAGCTGCCTGGAGGTCTTCAGCTCGTCCCCGGGGAACTTCTGCAGAGCTGACTGGTACGAGTGAGCCGCTTCTTCCACGTCACCTTGCTACAAACACGCAAAACGCTTCAGATATCTGACAAACGGGACGAAGTGTTTGCTTGCGTTTGGATGGGTTACCTTGTAGAGGCGGTCTCCCTCTTGGATCAGTTTACTGAGCAGAACCATTAGGATGTCGGGTTTAGAGGTTGCCATGGCCCATGTCGCAGGTCCTACACACACGCGCACACACACACACACCTCTGTGTTAGAGACCGGTTGAAAAATCATTAGCAGGACATTTACTAAAATACTTGCAAATAGGAGACAGAGTTTACACACATAAAAGTCATGCATCAGGGCTACTCAAAGATTCCTTGCCGGCTCCAAATGATATAGTTTAAAATAACACACACACACACATTCTGAAGAAAAGGGAGGTCTGGACCAGAACTTGGACGGGTTTTCAAACAGCAAAGAAGTCTGTTATTCTTACTATGAATAAAGATCACTTTGTTCTGCACAAACTTTAGACCAAGAGTTCCTGTGAGATTATCGGGACAAGGGTGACTCATGTGGACAGTTCACACAGACGGTGACGTAGCTCTGTGAGGGATCATAACCTTCTAGGGGTGTAACGATTCATTCACTGAAGCGATTAATCGATTTATATTCCTGCGATCCAACTGAATCGATCTGTGCTCCGCAAATCTGCATTCCAGACGACATATATCGATTACAAATCGATTTGAAATGGTAGATAATCGATTGTATCGATACTTGGAAACTCCACATTGGATTTAAGTACAAAAACTGTGTGGATGTGTGTTTGTTTGTTTGTTTTTTAGCACTTTAGACACGTTAAACGTTACTGGATTCAGTCTGCCTGTCTGTGACGTCATCAGTACGCAGCGGCAGCCGCGCGAAACTCTGAACAGCAACAAAACACAGCGTGGAGGAGACGACTGCGAACGAGACATTTACAAACCAACTTATCGATCCAGCGCGTGGAAACATTTTGGCTTTTGCAAACACGGAGGTGTCCTAAATAAGTCGGTCGCTGTTTGTAGAAAATGTAGAAGCCAAATAAAAACCACGGAAACACGACGAATCTTTCCGTCCATCTACTAAGGCGCCGTGGGATTAAACAACGCCGACAGTCAGGACCTCTAGCAGCGTCACCGCTGCAGCAGGTAACTCTGCAGACACCCCAGGCCTCGCCAGCACCAAACTCACCATCACAGTAACAAGTTTATCTGTAAAGACGTGCGACCCTACAATGTGGTTGAACATCCGGGGTTCTGTGAATTGATCCAAACATTGTGTAATTATTGTGTAATGTTTACATTGAAAATGGCACTTGATTCAAATAAAAGGTTCATACATTTGCCATTAATTGTTGTTTGCTTGTTTATAATATCCATAATTAATTTAAATCTGATTTCCTTACAAGAAACAACAGGGATCTCAGAAACTTTGCCTGCACTGTCCAGTAAAGTTACTGAATCGATTTCAAGTCACTGAATCAAATCGAATCGTTCTAAATTAACCCAGATCGTCCATGAATCGAATCGGCAACCATGAATCGCGATTCGAATCGAAACGTTGTTAAAATGAATCATCAACACGCCGCAGAGGAGATTATCAAGCCTACTCTTATTTATAGTAGTTAGAGGGTGGGTCGTGCCGCCATGGGTCCATTCATTGGACACATTTTAGGTTTCGGCTTTTAATTACTGACGCACAAAAGCAAAGTGGATTCTTCGGTTCCACACAAATCATCACGAGCCATCGCTTTTTCCTCTGCACACATTTACCACTATCCTGACTTTGAGAAGATTCAGATCACTCTACATTTCTGTATAAATATGAAGGTTAGCTTAGCATAAGTATTTGGATGGCTAGCTTGGCCCTGTCCTACAAAGTAAAAAAAAAAGAATTCATTCATTCTTATAGAAATAGCACAATGAACGTGATCACGTATAGCGTTTAGCATTTGACTATCTGTCTCTAATTCTGTCATCAAACATTCCCAACAAAACAAACAAAAGCAAAACCGATTTCTACCTATCTTGGCTCCCTTTTTGAGCAGAGCGATCACAGCTGAAGTGTTTCTGCAGCCGACGGCCCGGTCGAGGGGACGCATCCCGCTGGAATCCACATGCTCCACCGACGCGCCGTGCTCCACCAGGTGCTGCACCTGACGGAGACCAAAAACAAATGCGACGTTTAGCATGTGTATTCATGTAAGAAGGGTTGTGACCTCGAGGTTACTCAGCTAAAATAAATCGGCTCGTTTGGTTGCAGGCGTTATCTATAAACACTAATATTACGAAGAAGAAGAAAGGACCCATTTAGCCTAGAATATGGACACATCACAGACTGTGCAGGAAACTGCACAGGTGGGGCTGTACACACCACTTCTGGGTCCCCGCGGAAAGCAGCCAGATCCAGAGGTGTCCGCCCGCTGCGGTCGACGTGGGTTGTGGCTGCACCTCGCTGCACCAGTTCTTTGACCAATGGGAGCTGGCCCTTCAGACACGCCCAGCTCAGCGGCGTTAGGCCTTCCCTGTCGGCCTGTTCGAGAGAGGCTCCTGGACACACAGAGAGAGCGCGGAGGAGAGATATTGATCTCATCTGCGGTATCGGAGGGTGCCCTCTATGCACGGATGGGGCCTCCATGTTCGGATTACGCCCCTCCCATTCGCATATAGCACCCGCCCCCATTGTCGATCTGATAGTTAGTACCGTGATCCAGCAGCAGCTGGGCTGTGTTCATGTGTCCCTCCGAGGCTGCTGTCATCAGGGCCGTTCGACCCTGCTGGTCGGCCATGTTCACCTCCACCCCTCGGCTCAGTAAGAGCTCCACCACCTGATGGAGAGGCACAAACGGAGACAGACGCTCAATGTTTGAATCTACGTCGGGCTCATTCCATGTGTTCCACTGTACCTGCAGGTGGCCCCGTCTCACGGCGCTGAAGAGGGGGGCCGCGCCCCGCCTGTTGCATTGCTCGACGGCAGCCCCCTGGTCCAACAGCAGGCGGCAGATAGCCAGCCTGCCGCTTGCTGCCGCCGCCGTCAGAGCTGAGACAGACAGAGACAGGTGAAGACAGCTTTCCAATTCAACCACCGGCAAGATCTTTTTTAGTTTCGGGGTCCATTGAGATGAAAATGAGCATATGAACATATAAGGTACAAGTGAGTTTCTTTTTGTCTCATGCTGTCACAGGCTATAGTTGTATATGAATACGTAAAAAATACAAACGGATAAACTACAGCACTTCAAATGATTATGTTTTTACGCAAATGAAATGTTATTCGTATATATATGTATACATATGATACACAATCTTCAGAGGTATTATGTTTAATACATAAGTATGCAGATAAGTACATTAGTGAAACTCAAGTCAGTAGTACTACTGCAGTGTAGCCAAATACTAGCTGTAAGGACTAGTGGCATGGTACTCATGCAGCGTACCCGTCTCTCCCCACAGACTGTCGGGTGTGTTGATCTCCGGTCTCTCCTCCTCGTCCTCGTCTTCCTCCGGAAGGTCCAGGAGGTACGACACGATCTGCACACACATGGCAACACACGTTACAAACACATCCCCAATGCAACACCCTCATTTGGTAACCACGTGTTGTTACAGCGTGTGTGTCTGCGGGCTGACCTCGGCGTGGCCCGTGCTGGCCGCCGCGACCAGAGCCTGCTGCACCGCCTGGCACCGGCTCGCCGCCCGCTGGCCGCAGCAGGAAGCGCAGCTCCAGTCGGTGCGTCTCAGCAGGAAGCGCAGCACGTCGAGGCGGCCCCGCTGGGCGGCGTGCACGAGCACGCAGCGGCCCGAGCTGTCCACGTGGCCCACCTGCAGGCCACAGGGGAGGGACAGAGGCTTAGAGGAGGTGCACCTGGGGCAAAGCACCTTCTGCCTTCAGTTGGATCTTAAGTGAGAAGCATGTTCAGTCGGCTTGAGATCAGGTAGCTGAAGAATATTCTGTGTCTTTGTCTTCAGAAGCTCTTTGTTTCTGATCTGAGCAGATAGTTTAGCCCCAAACATGTCGGAATCCATCCTGCTACGTCTATCAGCTGTGGCATCAGCAATGCACAGCTGAGCTTTGAGAGGTGGAGTTATTGTGAGTATGGTTTCCATAAAAATAAGGACCAATGTTTAAAATATTAAATTCTAGTATTAAAATAAATAACGTCAGGTTGGCACCAAATTAAGTTACGTCATGATATGAATAAGATTCTTTCTATTTGTTGGCATGCACTGTGAATTGTGTGCTGAGGAACCTGTGGGGTAACGGGGGGCTTATTATACTTCATTATTTTTATTATTAGCAAGTTGCTGGTGATGACGGTTCTACACTTTTCAGAGGTAATCTTTATAGCTGTGCTACGAGTGATCTCCTAAATATATATAAATAAAGAGAGACTTTTTGTAGACGCCGTGATTCTTCATTCGACCACCGGGTGGCGCCGCCGTACTTATTGTGCATTTCAAGTGTAAATTCTTCCCGTTGTGGCTTTAATTCTAAGGCACAGCATCTAGCAGGTAGGAAGGTGGACGGGCACCTTAGCGCTGTGCTGACTCAGCATGGTGACGATGTCCATATGGCCTGCGGCGGCGGCGAATCCCAGCGCGGTCACACCCTCCTGTGACTGGGCATCCACCTGTAAAAAAAAAAGAACACACAGAGAAGCCACATGCTGGGTTACGGCTCTGGCACCCACTTCTGATCGCAGAAACCAAAGTATAAATAATTGTACCTGAGCTCCGAGGTCGAGCAGCAGCGCCACGGCATCACTGTGGCCCAGGTGAGCGTGGACACACAGCAGGGGGGCGTTGTTGAGGACATCGCAACGGAAATCCACATCAGCCCCGCCCATGATTAGCAACCTGCTCACCTGGACGAGCATAGAGCCAAGTTACAGTACTACAAGTATGCGTGGATGTGTGTGTGTGTGTGTGTGTGTGTCGTGGTACCTTGATGTTGGGGGTGTAAAGGTTACGCAGCGATGAGAGAGCAGGGCTCAGGCTCTCCGTGCTGTAGGACAGCCACAGCCCCTGCAGGACTGAGGAGGAAACCCCGAGCTTCTTACTCAGACCCTGGAGGATAAAAAAAGAGGCAAAGAAAAAACATTCTAAATGATACATGAGAAAATAGCTCTACTTCTCTCTTGATAAATCACACAATAATCACACATAGACACCACGCTGGTGTGTGTCTGTGTGCCCACCTTGTAGATGTGAGCCTTCAGGATGTGATGTCCCAGCTCCAGCGTCTCCTGGCGGTTCAACTTCCCCTCCTGCCGGCAGAGCCAGAAGGCCAGCAGGGTGTGACCGCTCCTGGAGACACAAAACAGACCACCCTCAGTGAAGACGTCCCCTCTTTCTTCCTGTCTCCCTCCCACTCCCACGCTCTCCCAGCGTACCTGGGGTCGCAGAGGAACCTGTCGTCCTGACCCTCCTCTCGCCACATCAGCCACTCCCTGAAGGAGGCGTGGTTTAGCATCCTGCTGCCGTCGCTCCGCCGCAGCAGGAAGGAGGAGAGCTGCTCCAGGCGGTGCGCAAACTCCCCCCAGTGCAGCGTCCCCCCGGTCAGGGCGCCGGCGTTCACCACCTCAAACAGCTGGATTCAGACATCATTTGGCGTCATTATGCAACACGGGGACGCCAAAAGACAGAAAAAATGAAAAACCATGGGGCATTTCTTTAATCTGCAGTCACATTTCAAATGTATGAACATTATATTTTCGCAGCTCATTGATGTACCGAAAAGGCTCACGGTGTGTTCACACTTAATCGGGAAGAAGAACGATCACATGCTACGGGGTCACAGGTCAAAGTTTGTAGCTGAAGCTATAAATTGATCTGACGCTGTGTTGTGTTAGCCTTCCAGAGCCTCATTCTAACGACACCATCACCATCACATCATAATTATTCCACTAAAATCACTGCTGCTGTTATTAGTAGTCGGAATTGTTCCCTTATTGTTCTTTTTTCTACACAATTGACTGTGTGATTGATTCTGTACCCATGACACCTATTTTCTTAAGTAACTGATTTACTCCCTGTTGAAGGCTTATTGGGTTAGTTTTTCCTGTTGTGATGCGAGGGTCCAGAGACACGGGGAGAACATGCAGACTCCTCCCAGAGGGGGGCGGGGCTTTGAACCCAGGCGACAACCACCACACCACAAAATGAAGGTTGTTGTAATGTAATGCACACACACACACACACGCACACACACACACAGACGGTGGGTACCTGCTGGTCGGTCAGCGGGTGCAGCGACGCCACAGTAACGTTGAGCAGCGGCTGAACTCTCTGAAAAGACGACTGTGTGGGAAAGCGCATGTTGAGCTGCAGCAGGTAGACCTCTGCTAGACTCACGGGGACCACCTGCTCACACACACACACACACACACACACACACACACACAGATTTAGAGGCGTTTCTGTAAACTGTATATCAAAACGTAATACTTGGAGTGTGCATCAGCGAAAGGGTGATTTAGAGGACAGAATTTTAAATTGCTCTTTTACATTGAAACTATTTCCACTGTTCATTCCTCACCTTGAAGCTGGAACTCTTCAGGACCAAGTATCCCCCCTCGATCAGATCCAGGGTCAGTTTCAGGTAGAGGTAGGAGCCCCTACTCAGGCTCTTCAGGTGGCTGATCAGCTTGGCCATCGCCGCGTTGTCCAGGCGACCATTGCCCAGCGACACGTTGCTCTGGATCTCCGTGCTGCTGTGGATACGCTGCATCAAGTAACCCTGAGCAACACAAGAAGAAAAAGAAAAGTGCGTATAGATGTACTGATGGATCGAGCGACAGGAGCACGGACAGGACTGTGCGCGTGTTACCTGCAGGTCCTGATCTATGGCGTTGTTCTCCTCCATCCTGTCTAGAGAGATGCAGTGAAAAGGTAGAGAACGAGCAATGTCCTGATGGGGAAACAACAAGTTTAAGTTTGTTAGTTGCATGAGTTTGCTGAGAATGTTGTGTTAAAATGTCACAACCCGGCTAACTGTTTAATGTAGTTTAAATCTAATTTTGAATGTTGACCGACGTGTTTATCAAAAGCAGCAGCATCACGAGTAACATTGGCTGAGGCTGCTGGAGGGTAAACTCCAGAATCCAATAAAGAGCGGGAAAAGCCCTGTTAGCTTAATCCCTGATAGCATCACAAAAGAACTATAATCACGCTTTACTTTTCGATTTTAAGCCAGTTAGCTAATGTTTTCTTACTTTACTCCTGTAAGCTTGCTATGCCAATGTTAGCGGCAGACTTTTTTTTTGCCATTTTGGTTTTGCAAAGAATGAAAAAAAAAATGCTCCAAACTGTGCACACTGTTACTTTATTTTGTTGCAATTCTTCCTGTCATTGATTTGTTTTGGAAGGTGAATGGTGAGCTTACAGGCAGCTTTAATAAATGCTTTCCCAGATCTCAGATATGTGTTGTCTGTGTTCGGTCCCTTGTGTGCGCGTGTACCTGCTGACCGGTCCTGACGGTGGTTATGACCTTCAGCCAAGGGGGAAATTTCCGGACATTTCGGGAAAGGAAGGAAGTCAGTGCGTCGCCGTAGTCCGGCCGGTGAAACTCGGCCTCGTTCAGCCCGTCAATCAGTACTATGAGTCCCGCCCCGTCCACGTGCAACTTCCTCTCTGAAAACAAAAAAGCAACACAGCAGAATATAACTTATACTCTTACAGATCCTACAGACGAGAAGCAGAACGCAGAGCGTCTCCGGGGTACCTCTGTAGAGAGCGTCCAGGGGTTCTAGTATTCCTCTCTGCAGGGCTGAGCTGGGATCCTGGATGCAGGAGCGCAGACTGAGCGTGCTCTGCAGCTGCGGCGTGCGGTGCAGCAGCTCCCGAAAGGCCGACAGCTGGGGGGCGTCACTCAGCATCGCCGCCATGTTGTGGACGAACTCCGGCACCAGGCAGGTGTGACAGTTATCAGCTTGACAGAAATGATACGCGACGACCTGCGAGGTCAAACGGGAAGGCGGGTGTGGATGATTTTCACAAACCCTTTGAGTTTGTTGCCGATACCCAAGATCAGTAGAGCAGCAACTGTGTTACATGCACATTAACCAACGACATGCATCCTGCATTCGGTTAACTAGGCTGACTACGGTGCAGTGGTGCAAAAACCCTTTTTTAATGGGGTTAAAAGGAAAACTTTATCACATAGCGAGCTGTAAATGCTGTCCGATAGGGAGGTTGATCTCGCTGTAATACCTTTACAGAAAGCAACGGCCACGCATGAACATGGCCGGTAGCTCCCTTGGATTTTGTGTGAATTTGTTTTCTTTTCATCTTTACTACTCGTGGTATATGACTGACATAACGAATCAGGACCGAAGAAGGAAAGCCTCTTCACACCTCCTTGCGTGCGTCGACCCATTTTTCTAGGCTTGCGTCGAAAGCTACGCAAGCGACGCAAGCGACGCAAGCCTCCTGCAGCCCGCAGGGCTGCGATTGGTCTGCTAACTACGTGGTTTCATAGCACAATACTGCTATTTTTAAAATGAAGATTTTTTACGAGAGAACGGATCAGATTGAAGAGCTTTTGTTGGAAGGAATCTGTAAATATGACTTCACTTCTACAACCCGTCATTGGCGGACTATAAGGACGCTCCCGATTCGTGGAGGGAGATCTCCACAACGCAGCAGAAAGGTCTATGATAAATAAATAAACAAACCAACAACTTCCACACACAAAGACGTGACTCTCTAGGTAGTCTTTGACAAAAAAACGTTACTCCACCTCCACCACCTCCACCTGTTGTGAATTTCTTTGCAACACGCGGGAGCCTTTTTGAATGTGTACTTGGGGGCCGTGCTGGAGTTTATGTCCCTCTCTGCTTTCGGCTATCTACATTTAGTAAAGTGGGGATGATACCTGTGCTGCGAGCCTCCTCAGCGCGTCCTCTTGTCTCTTCCTCATCTCTGGAGTCCCCGGACAGCTTCCTCCCCCTCCTTCGTCTCCCCCTCCTCCTCCTCCTCTCCCCAGGGAGTCGCGGGAGTAGGACTCGGCCTCTGCATCTGGAGTGAGGAAATATTAGAAAATGTTACACTTTCAAATATCTCAGACGTGAAGGCACAAACCATCTGGGTCTTTCTCTCTGGCCGCTGCCTCCTTTCCCGTCCTCTCTGTATTCACTGCATGATTTAATGGGTTCTCCTGCTGGTTGGCTCGGCCTTGAATGTGGCTCCTGGTCTGATTTTATTGGGTTCTGCATGATGACTCAGCCTTCTCTGACAGACTCATTGAGGCTGTCTTCGTGGCTGGAATAACTCACTGGGGGTCCTTGGCAAGGAAGAGACAATGGCTCCTGCCAATCTACTACGTCCCCTTCATGAGCTGTAAAAATGATTTTTTCCATTCCATTTTTTTAATGTACTCCTAGTACAGTTTTCCCACATGTAAATCAGGGCCGGTCTTAGCCTGCTATGTTGGGTGTGCTGATATAAATAATAGGTGGTAATTGGGAAATTGATTTGTAGAGCGCTTTTTTAGTATTCCGACCAAAAACACTTTAACTCTAGATGTCATCAATCATCTATCCAGCAAGGTCGACTCATGGTTCAGGACTAACTAACAATTCACACAAATTCAACCACCAAAACGCCCACACAGCCGGGAATCAAACCGCTGATCCTCTGATTGGAGGACGACCCTGTTCTACCACTGAGCCACAGTCACACAGGTGGGCACACCGCAGGTAAGCAAAGCTAATGGTATCTAGCCACCTGGAAACCAGAGGGTACTTTTTCTGGAAATGGGAAATGATTAAATTGGTATTAAAATGTGGACTATCAGTGGAGGATATAGCCAAAATAACCCTCTAAAAATAAAGTAATCTGGTACAAAAGTAGTGTTTAGGGGACATCCAGTGTCGGTTCAAGCCCCCAGAGGGCAACATTTAAATTTGTAGCCACCTGACACCATTGGGCACAAAAATGAAATCATGTTCCACTTTCATAGGAATGACACGTTGCTGACTATTTTACTTGTACATATAAACAAAATTGCAAAAGAGTAAGTTGCAGGCTAATTTCCATCAGCAGCGTTGAAGGTCAATTAGTTTTAAAAGTAGCTTTAGCTTCAAAAGTACGGCTTAAAAATAACATAACTTGCCTTTTTATAGTGGAAAAAATGGAAATGCAAGCTTTATACCAGCTTATTCCTTAAGATGGAAGATTGTATTGTAAATCTATTGATATTGTAGCATTTATATTCATGAACATGTATGATTGTCTTTAATCCACTTGGTGTAAATATTGTAATAGTAGTGTATAATAGTGTATTTTGAAAAGATGGATATTATGACGAGTTATTACACTCGCATTGCATTCCTAATGACCAATTAACATATTATTATCCTGGTTTATTATTTAACCTCTGCTTACATTTAGCAGAGGTCTGGTTGCCGGCGGCGGGCGGCAGCATGCGGTTCCCATGACAACTGAGCGCCACCAGCCGGGCGACGATGGCCGTTTTGCCGAAGCCCATGTTGCCAACGATCACCACGCCCCGACTTGTCGCCGGGTCGCCACTTCGAAGACAGGCGTCCACTTCTTGGAAGAGCCATTCCCTGCCGGTGAACAGCCAATCAGAAGAGAGACCCGGAACCTCAAAGTGGAGGGGCTTCAGGTTGAGGGAGGGAGTGAAACACACTGCAGGAGAAGGAGCACGGAGGACTATTGTAATACTGTTTGCAAATAGCATGGCGGGTCTTTTGCTACGTGCGCGCTCGAGTGTGTTTACCTCTGTGGTCCTGTTGACCACGACTCCCAGAATTCTGCCTGGGCATTCTGAGGGACGTCCTAGAAGGGATGTGTCTCTGCTGCTCATCCAGATAGGCCAGATCTTCGAGGTGGGCAGAACTGGTGGCTGGAGTGAGAGAATGTTAAAGAGAGTTTGTTTTCTGCATAAAGAAATGGTGAATAACTGGTTTAAAAAAAATGTATCTCGACTTTCGATGAAATGTCCAAGCTACAGTACATAAAAAATTATATGAGGGGGATTTTGGTGTGAAACATCCAATGACACAACTGAAAATATCATTCCTGGGCGGTTTATGTGGAGTGGAAGTTTGCACATTGTGCAATTTGCATTGTAATGTGCTGAGCTCTGAGTAGTGGAAATGACTAAATTGTGGTTTAGAATCAAGCAAGGAAAAGCTGATCTTGGTAATACATAAAACTAAACGGTTTATTGAAGATGCTTGCTTCCCCAAATTGAAATAAAAAAATGAGTTTGCTGTCGGGACCCCAGTAATGAAACTACAAAAGAGGAGTCAGTGAAATCGTCATTCGGCAGCTCTGTATTTCTCAACTCAACGTTACCTTATTTGCTAGCTAACTAGCTAACGTTACTAATGATGACTTGGCAGAGAGGCCCTAACTTCTCTTCCTTTGAGAGAGACATGTTGGCAAAAAATGATGGAGCAATAGCTACAGGAATGAGTCCTAAAACCCGATTCAGTGGAGTGAGAAGTAAGCTGTCAATAACTGTACAAAACAGTCAATAAAATGTGTTTTTCATTAAGTGTCAATCGTCGCAACCACAAGAGGTCTTGGAGGGTAAGGTCATAAATGGGCATTAAAAGGTATAGGCTGATGGGTTCAGTAGTATTTGAGATTAGCCTCGGACAGACAGACACACACTCACGCACACACAAACAACACCCAACATGTGCTGAACAGCATGATGTGCGTAAAGGCTAATGGCCGGCGGAGAAAATAATTCTAACTGACAGAGCAGTGCAGGTAGAGGTACAAGACTGAACTAATAAAAATAATATGAAATGAACCAAGCTTGTTCACCTTCTAATTAATGCGCATTACTAATTCAGGTTCTTCCCCAGAGTTTTTGTGCTTTCTCGCCTCAAAGGTTTCCATGGATCGTGGTTATTTTTGGACCCGCCTCCTGCCGTGGCCCTGCTGACAACCGCTGCTGCTATCACTATCATTTTAAATTAATTACATTAATTAAAACATTACTATAACTGTCATCATAAACCAACATTACTGAAGTCTTTGTGCTTTCGCTCTCGGTGGTTCTATCGGGATGGTGGTTCTACCTGACGGTGGTTCTATCTGAGGGTGGTTCTACCTGACGGTGGTTCTATCTGAGGGTGGTTCTATCTGAGGGTGGTTCTACCTGACGGTGGTTCTATCTGACGGTGGTTCTATCTGAGGGTGGTTCTATCCTGTCGGTGGTTCTACCTGACGGTGGTTCTATCTGAGGGTGGTTCTATCTGACGGTGGTTCTATCTGACGGTGGTTCTATCTGAGGGTGGTTCTACCTGATGGTGGTTCTACCTGACGGTGGTTCTATCTGAGGGTGGTTCTACCTGAAGGTGGTTCTACCTGAGGGTGGTTCTACCTGAAGGTGGTTCTACCTGACGGTGGTTCTATCTGAGGGTGGTTCTACCTGATGGTGGTTCTATCTGAGAGTGGTTCAACCTGACGGTGGTTCTATCTGATGGTGGTTCTACCTGAAGGTGGTTCTACCTGAGGGTGGTTCTATCTGACGGTGGTTCTATCTGACGGTGGTTCTATCTGAGGGTGGTTCTACCTGATGGTGGTTCTACCTGACGGTGGTTCTATCTGAGGGTGGTTCTACCTGAAGGTGGTTCTATCTGATGGTGGTTCTACCTGATGGAGGTTCTATCTGAGAGTGGTTCAACCTGACGGTGGTTCAACCTGACGGTGGTTCTACCTGACGGTGGTTCTATCTGACGGTGGTTCTATCTGACGGTGGTTCTATCTGATGGTGGTTCTACCTGATGGAGGTTCTATCTGATGGTGGTTCTATCTGATGGTGGTGTTCCCTGCAGTAGTTCTGCCGTACTGTATTGTACATCTTCATTCTGTTCACATGACATCCATTGTAGTCTGTCCTCTGCAGTTATTCCTAAGGTGTCTTCTCTTTTTTCCCCATGAAGGGGTTTTTCATTTTTGGGGGGTTTCCTGTGCTGATGTGAGGGTTTCTGAGACAGAGGATGTTTCTAAAGCCCTCAGAGGCAAATTTTTAAATTTCAATTTTGGGCTATTCAAAACAATTTTTGAATTGTTGAATTGTTCTTAAAGTAATGAGAAATCATTTTGGAACACATGCTTAACAGCATTTTGGTGGGAGTTAGATGAGAAGAATGAGAACCAACACTGTCAATAAGGCAAATGTGGGGTGGTTAGCTTAGCATAAGGACTGGAAACCAGGAGAAAGAGGTCGCCCGGTCTAACCCGAAGTGAGAAAAAGGTTATGGAAAAGTAGTATTCCTTGTCTTATCTATCGTGAGACTCAAACAGTTTGCAGGACATTGTCAGAAGAGCGCGGTGTCGTGATTCCCACTACAGACACAATGGATTGGAAATCTATCAAAACATGCATGAATATTGTTAGCTTTGAGTTGTCTCGACTCCCAACAAAGACCGACAGACACCTACCCAAAGCTGATCCAATTCATCCAGCTACAATCCACTAAAGCCAAAGAGAATGTCAGAGTAGCCTATGTATCCTGTGTGTGTGTGTGTGTGTGTGTGGGGTGGAGGGAGGGCTGGGGGGTTTAGAAACGTCATACAAGTCATTTCCTTCCTTTTTGGTTTTTATGAGACTCAGAAAAGAGTGACTGACTTCTGAACACGCTACTGAGGCACTGTGTGTTTTTCAGCCTGATTGTTTTGTATCTACACAATACAACCCAGAAAAAATTAACAACTCAGTTACCTTTTACAGAGATTTTAGTAAGCGATTAGATAAATCTGTACAAAGCCTACTGTTTCCCCCTGCTTTGTTCTTAACGCTAAGCTAGGCTAACCAAGTCGTAACTGAAGCACTGAATAAGTGTATTTTCGAAAATGTTTAACTATTCTTTTAAGGTTTGTGTGATTATAGACAATTTGGCTGGATGTGTTGCTCAGGCTAAAAGGAAAAAAACTACATAACACTCAACTGTTTTTGCAAAACAGTGCTGGGTATCATTTCAAAAAATGACGACAGTACTAAAAACAAGTACCCTTAATGTGACACCGATACTAATAGAGTACTTCATTTGATAGCAACCATGCTAATAGAAGCTAATAGAAGCAGTGTGTGTGCCTCACTAGCTCATTGTCGCCACCGCTCTTAAAGACAGTGTCATTCGGATGGTTATTACCACCAGAATCCGCTTCCACAAGTGTAAAACCCATCCAGTTCTCCCTCAGCTTACTGATCGAACCCTAGGCGCTGTTTGTACTGTTAGCACTGTTAGCATCGTTAGCTAGAAGCACAAGCCCGCATGCAGGCCAAACCCGCCGATGACCAATCACACATTAAACCAGAGAATACTTGCGGTGATGGACTGTGATCAAAAAGACACCCAAAGAAATATCAGATAAGGGTATAAAAGTGTTTGATTGCAGTAATTGTGTGACTGCAGAGTTAATTTTAAACCTTACAAATTATTTAGTTTCTTAGCCCAGTCTTGGAAAAAAAAGTCTATGTGAACAAAATGCCAGCTGTCCACTAGTTAGCCACCTCGTTGTCACTCATCTACTAGATGAAATTTTGTACGCTTCTTACGTTTGAACAGCACTACTGCACTGCTTGTTTTAGTCATTAATACAAAACCGCGATCACAGGGACAACATTACACATAATAATGGCCGCCACTCCGACCAAGCTGCTACGTTGATTTAAATAGTAAGGTCACGTTTTCTCTAATTCTATGCGTCATACATTTGAAATCTTACCAGCAACGGAATTAGGGCGGGGCATGAGGTACAGAGGGATAGAGTGGGTGGAGCCTGATGAGCGGGCGGAGCCAGGCCCTCTGTCTGGGTGGAGTTTGTTGAGGCTGTAAGTGGAAGCAGCCATGGTATCCTCCACCCGGTTCAGGAAGCCGTCATTCATGCTTCCTGCTGCTACCATACAAGAAGAGGAGTTGGAGGCCACCACCTGCCGCCCCCCTTGCTGCCAGAGATTCAGGCTGCTGCCGTGGTAACCGTCGGCAGGATGCTTGCCGCTTTCGTCCCGCTCTGCTGCCGACTCAGCAGTGCAGCTGGTCAACGTGGCTGAAGGGACAGTGAGGGAAGACGGAGAAAGTGAATAATTTAGCAGTGAAAGAGTTTCTTTTTTGGAAGGCGCTGTATCTACGGCGTGTCACCTATGATGCCGCTGTCTCTGCTCTCCAGTGTTGAGTTGGGGGAGGTGACGGAGGCATGGTGGGGGGAGGCATGCTTGTCGTTGGTGTGGCCCTCCCCGCCAGCAGGAGGCTGCAGTGTTGAGCAAGGGGAGGTGGTGCTACTAGCCAGGCTGGAGGAAGGAGAGATCCTCTGTGGGAAAGCATTTTTTAATTTCAATTTGAAGGAGAAACAGAAGGATAAAATGTCATTTTGAGAAGATATTCAGAATCTGTGAATGTACAGATATAAGAAACGTGCTATTTCTACTGACTCTTTGTGGTGCAAATAACTATCTACATCTACTCAAGTGATGTTTTCAAGTAAAATATTAGGGTATATTTATTGGATATGTACAACTTGTGAAGGGGAACGGAACACTTTACTTACAATAAGCAATATAACCACACATACAAAAATTACAATATGATTGATTTCGCATGTGAAATCGGAATTTGCTCCAGGGGAACCCAACCTTTCCCGTTATCAATCGTCATACAGGCATAGTAGGATTTAAAAAAAACATCTACCCTGATGTGAGTGTGCGAGTGAATACCTGTCCATCATCCTGGGCGTGGTAAGAAGAGCCCGGCTCGCCGCTGATTATCTTGTCCCCCAGCAGGAAGCCCAGCCTGGTCATCAGAGCATCGGCCGCCTCGTCCACTGAGGGCGGGGGTCCTAATTCCTGGTCCTCACCTGGAGAGACTGGAAAAAATGTTTCATTCTGTTTTTCGTTTCTCGTTGGGGCCGTACCCCATCCAGAATTTCAGTTTGAAATCACATTTGGCTGTTCACTACAAAGACACAACAGAATACAGAATACATTCGACAAATTTTGAATGTATTCTGGAAGAGGGTGTTGGCAAAGGAAATGTTGTGTGCTTCACAGGCTAAAATGAAGCAGCGATCGCCTGACAGAAAAGGGTGAGTTTATTGCCGGTATTCCTCTGTGGTAAAAAGACTATAGCTCCACTTGGGATGAAAATGGTTCGCAGCTTTGGACATATAATAATCTCAGGAATCAGGAACATTAGCAAAATATGTTAGACATACAAGGAATTTGACTTTAGTGCATAACATCAGACAGTGAGACAATGGATAACAAGACAGATACGACAACGTAGTGCAAGAAAATGGCGTTTTGAATTCATAAATTTACAATTTGACTTTACGGTATAAAATAAAATATATGGCTATGGGGTAGAGGAATATAGTCAAATTGTTTCCAGTCTTTATGCTATGTTAAACTTAAGCTAAGAGTTTAACCTAAGATATGGCATCAAAGTTATCACACAGATATTTATAGTATCATCAATCATGCCGTTTAAGCGCACTGTTCCTTTGACATCTGTTTTGCCGATGCATGCAAAATGCTTTGCAGCCGAGTACAAATAGAAAGGAAGCCACGCAGCACACTGACAGAAACAACAGGACTTGACTACTGGAGCAAACTAAAAAATGTAGGCCTCAGTGCTGTGCCAAAACTATACACAGTACCAGTCAAAGGACACACTATTTATTCAATGAGAAAGTATGTCCAAACTTTTGTCTGGTACTGTGTGCATATTACGTTTCCCCACCTCCTCAACAATCAGATCAGATCTCAATCAGAGGGAAAAAAAGAGTGTAATATATATATAATCTTAATACACACAAAAGCAGAAAATCCCACAGGGATGATTTTGTGGAGAACAGTAATTGATCTCTATATTAACATATTCACCATTATGACAGATTTACCAAGAATAGACACACTCACACACACACACACACACTGAAGACTGTGCGCCACAGCATGAAAGCTCATACTCTGTCTCTTTCTCTGACGGCCTGTAATTAGAGCTATAAATTGCTGACTGTAGGACTAAAGACTAGAGAAACAGACAGACAGACACACACGCTGAAAATAAAAAACCAACCAAACACAAAACAGCACGCTGTGTGTGTGCACACACGCACACATGTGCACGTTTGCGTGGTTAGCCAATAACAGGGTGTGTGAGTCATTTTTAGAGGAAGAAAAATAAAATGGAAAGATCAGATACAGAGAGTCTTTTCAACTACTATAGCTTCTGGTTCCTCTGTCCTGAATTCCTTCCCTCCTTTCTTCCATCATCCCAATAATCACGTCTCTTCCTTATCTACGCCTTTTCGTTTGGCCATTCTGAACAGGTAGAAGCACATCGGTTTTCAGACACTGTGATCTTGTTCGTTTTGAGAGTAGCAGCCACAATGCGGCATCTTTCTCTGGCTGTTTTCAGCTCTGAAGAATAAAAATAACCACAAAGGAACACAAGAGAGTACAGGCGTGATAGATGTGGGATCAAACAATGGAACGTGACAAAGAAATGTGTTGTCTGTCACACACAAAAGATAGTTTCACTTTTATTGGAGGTTTGGGGGGGGTCGAGTCAAAAAGCGTCAAAGTAGCGTTCTAAGTAGGTTATAAATAACATAACAATAACATGTGTTATAAATAACACAATAACAGACACTCCGTCAAAAAGGTTTCAGCACTGGGTCTTTCATGAAGATGCACAAATAATTGTTGTTGTCCCACTTTGTTGTGGCATTGAAGCTAAAAGCTCAAATATACAATCAGATACAGGACCAGTCTAACGTTGGGACACACTTTTGTTAGTGAATGTTGCACATTACATGTTAAAACGACATATTTTTGCTCATTTATTTCTTTGAATAATTGAATATTTGATCAAATAAAGGTGGGATTATACGCATTATATTTGGTTTTCCACGGGACACGGTAACTCCTCTAAACGACAGACAAGACTAATCAACTAAGGACAAGGAGAATTTTTATTCCATCTGGCAATCTGACACAGGGGAGTAACTCAGTGGCAATGAATTAATAAAGCCCAAGTATAAACGGTTAGGATCTGTTTTGGAGGGAACAAATTATTTATGACGCTAGTTAGCATTTTAGCTGTTAGCATCGTTTGCCATTTAGGTGTCTTGCGTTGTAGTATAGTGTGGATATATTAGAAAGGTGTGGAGAATAATGTTTGCAAAAGGACAATTACTGTAACTTGCTTATATAAGTCTTTCATCGGCATGCTAACATCTAACTTCATCCCCCCATGCTGTCAAATTATCCTTTGACACGCCAACATGACATGCTGTTTCTATCAAAGGGCCTTTTAAGTCTTAGAAATTCTTTTGGCTTTCAAATTTATTTTAGGCCAACTGACGCTAAACAGAAATGCAAGTTAGGTTCATTTTCTTTTGTGGGTTTGGAGCAAACAAATAGGGATACAGGGTAGTTTGGTCAGAGGATGGTGCTTTAGGCTACACTTGGCTGCCAGTGAACAAAGAAGAGGAACAAGAAGTAGCTAAAGAGTCGCGATGTAGGCCTGTTGCAATATGAGATAAAATGACATATCAAACACTATCTGAAATTGCGTGCAATGATTTTTGGTGCTGCGATATTCATTTTACATATAAATGAACATTTAAGTTGATCGCGCTGCCTCTGTGCCTTTTCCTTGTAGAAAGCGGGGCCAGGGAGTATGCAGCGCGCACACAGATACAGAGCGGACACCGACCGGTGAAGAGAAGCAGTGAACCCAACTGAGCTAACTAAGCTAAAATCTCAATCTCAATCTTTGGGCGGGAGGAACGCCGTCCCCGGGCCGCCGCCCTGTGTTCCTCCCGGACCGGCCAATTGTTAGCGGGGCCGAGCCGCTCCGTCTCTCCCTGCAGCCGCGGAGCGCGTCGCCCTGCCGGCGGTCAAAGCCCCGCGTTAAACCTCCCCGGCTGCCGCGGTGCGCTTATCAGCTATGGGGCGCCGTTTGTAAAATGTCGCACGTTCTAAAATCCTGCGCAGTTTTGCTACATTTAGCATTATCATATGAACAAAAAAGAACGACAATATTCATTCATGTTACTTTTTCAAACATTTAGAGAGAAATTCATGTAAATTCATGCAATAACTTTTCCAAGGATAATGTTTGGCAGTAACACAGTATTTAAGTTGTTAAATAATATAAATGTTAAATGTAAATATAAATGTTAAATATAAATATAAATGTTAAATATAAATGTAAATGTTTAATGCAAATATAAATGTTAAATGAATATTATCATGCTTTTTTGTTCATATGATAATGCTAAATGTAGCAAAACTACGCAGGATTTTAGAATGTGCGACATTTTACAAACGGCGCCCCATATTCAGCTGGAAACATTTTCTCGAACCCAAGCCCATCAGGCCTGATGCTTCACCCGCTCCGTGTCCCCAGCACTTTTATTATTTTTGTTTCATTTATATAGGATATATTTTTTCACATTCCGATTTAAAGTATTCTGACCAATAAAACGTTCTTTGTACTTTGAAATAGCGTACTTTTATTACTATGCTATTATATTATCATTATATTATCCGTGGTATAAAATGGTCTGCAATAATCGTACAACAAAAATTTGATATCATGACAGCCCTTTCACCATGGCCACCTAAGGATCCACAAGAAAACAGAGAGAGGTTTCCGTGAATTTGGTTCAATTGGGCCTGTTGTTCCGAGACGAGAAGTTATGGCGATATCTGACAAGACGGCAACAGCAGAGGCAGCATCTTGGTCAGGTGAGTTGGATGTTTTGATAAAGGCGTTTCCAGTGGATTCAACACATGGCCTCTGTCAAAAAACACCTTAAGCTAACAGGGAAAGCTTTTTTTGCAATATTGCGATACTTTTTTTTTGGAATGGAAACATGGTTTGTAAGTAACTACATTGGGCAACATTGATTCTCACTGTCCATGCTACAACAACCCGCATCTCCCTGATATATAACAATAATACCATAAGCAAATACGAAGGAACAACTCAACCAACACTAATTTAGGAGGATTGGACCTTGGTGGAAACCTGTCAGCCTGTACAAGAACATCGAAAGAGAGAGAGAGAGGGGGGGGGGGGGGAGTCCTTCACGCTCACCTTCCTCCTCACGCTTCCCTCCCCCCTGTGCACCACTGGGACGGTGGTACCATTCCGGGCATCGGTCAGAGCCGTCCTCGTGGGACAGACAGCAGCAAGCGTAAAACAGCATGTGCTGCAGGAGGGAAGAAGCACGCCCGCCGACCCTCACTGCAGCGACATTGCCGCTACAGCTGCAGCCCCCTGCTGGTCTCCCGGGGCGACGGACGGAGGACCGCTCATGCCGACACCACTTGGTCCTGGAGCGGGCGCACGCTTTCAAGATCGCCGCCGTGCAGTCCATCGCTGACTGGCGGTGTGGTTCTGATCGGCTCAGAGTGGATCCATGGAGGGGATGCAGTCAACAAATCAAAATGGCTCTTATAGGCTCATAAAAAAAGGCGATATGGTGTTTTTGGTCCTGAGCTCCTCCTTCTCCAGAGCACACAAAGGAGAGATGAATGACGAGATACGAGGAAGAGTCTTCGAGAGAAGAAAAAACAAACAAGACAAAGGTCTGCAGGATAAGCGCCGTTAATAAGCCGGACAGTCCAACATGCCAATGCTGTGGTAACGGCTAAACCCCTCCGAGGTCCATGTACTGTATTTTCAGAGGTAGAACCACATGCCACACACTGTTAAGCTCAAACACAGCAGATCCTGACAATGTAATCCTCTGGTTATTTGTCCTTTGTGGTCAAAAAAATGCCGTCCAAGCAGTTTATTCACAGGTATAGCCTCCTCCAAGCCATGCGAAAAAGAGCCGGCAGCTTCTCAAGCATGAGGCAGAAAGAGTAGATCTCCTCCCTGGTCCATCTCCCCTTCGATTAGTAGCACAACAAGTAAAGTTTCCAAGTGTTGGGAAAACTTTTTCTTTCAGCCTCCATATCTGGTCTGTAAGACGACCTCCCTCGTCCGACTGCACGGCAAATAAAAAACCTCCCCTCCTCCAACCCGAAAGAAACCTCACACACACACACACACACACACACAGGAGGGAAAGGGGGAAGACTGCAGGAGGAGCAGAACAGGCAGAACAGGGAGAGTAATAGGTTGTAGAGGAGCACGCGGAGAGTTTCTAGAAGACAGTTCAGACTTCTTTCTTCTAACGGGGGAAAATGTGGCAGAGCAGAGAAAATGCTGCAATTGAACTCGTTCTCCAAGAACAGAGGAACATCTGACCACAAATCACAGTGACGATGGAAGGGTGTAATCCACTTTAGCCCAGAAAATGTGAAAAATGTTGTGGAAAAAATGTTGTGGTCTGATTGAATTAAACCGTGTGTTTGTGGATAAAAGTATTTCTGGAAAAAATGCCTTTTAAAATCAGAGATGTTTTCAAGTCTCCTTTACAATGACAAAGCGATTGGTAAAATGATGAAGGATAACAAATGCAGAAAGATTTAGCGGTATCCTGCCGTCCAAGTGAGAGCGGGAAGCAACGCATCTGCCCAACAGAAGCTGAGACCAGTAAGAAGAGAGGTGCAATTGTGAAATTATAGCGTTTTAAAAGTTTTCAGGTCGGCTGACAAATTGTGTAACCATAGTCAGTGGGATATATTGCACACTGCTGTCGTGAAGTCTGGGATTCTACAGTTTTGGTCATCACCAAAACCAGGAGGAAAGAGAGAGGGTGGAGCCAGGTGCAGTCAGGTTTGGTGTGTTTGACTCTAGATGGACCATCACTTACTACGTGAACATCACTGAAGAAAAAGTTTGAGACCATAAACTCATGTGTACAAGGTTCAGATGGAATAAGTCAAATCATTTCTATACACTCAGACCTCAAGATGAGTCGCCATCTGATGGTCAGTAGGAAGAATGAACGTTTTAAGAAACTTCCACATTGGAGACCAAAACCAGAAGGTAAAAGATAAAATATTGGACTACACTGGTTGGCCAAAAAAAGGACTCAACATGAATGCTCATGCTGCTCAGTACTAAGGCTTTGTCCTAAAGTAAATCAGATGTCCAACAGTCCAAAAGATTCAGGTCTCAACTCAACCAAATGTGCAGTGTCGGCGTTTTGGCCCTCCAAAGAATACATGACAGGAGTCGGGAGAAAGAAGACAAAATGGAGGTTCAAAAACACAGAGGAGAGGTAACGCAGCGAAGAGAATTAACTGAAATCAGGGCATGGTGACAAGTTGCCTAGCTCATAGCGGTCCTGTTTTGAAAGAGGGCTGGAGAGAGACTCCACATGGTTATGTTTAGGAGAAGTGTCAGATCAACCGGGAGGAGGAGGAAGAGGAGGAAGAGGAGGAAGAGAGGCCCGGTGGAGGCTTGGGTTACACTCCTGTGTTTTTTCTTTCACTAAGGCACGGAGGGACGACCGAATGCAGGGTCAAAGGTCGCCCCCCCCCCCCCGGCTGCCAGACACAGTTTAACAGGTCACAGCTGTGTGTGTGTTGTGTGTTGGACAGAATGGGAGACAAAAAGGAACTATTTAAGCCTGGATTCCCTCTGGCTCTCCTTCCTTTGGACGCAGAAAGAGGGAAAATTGACTTCTATTCAAACAAAACTCGACGGATTAAAATAAACGTGCGTAACCCACAGTCTTCCGGGGCGCCATACCTATGCCTAGATTTGATAGCTATATATGCGCTATTTGGAGCGGCTACAAAGTTAGCATAGCACCTGTCAAATTCCATCCAGAAAACGTGTTTACATTTTAACAGTTGCTTGCTAAACATCCTGCTTACAGACCTGAGCACAAAGTCAGACTTTTTTCCAGCAGAATTTTGTTATTTCTGCATCCTTCGAACATCATAGCAAAAATCTGCTAACTTGGGGTTATATCGCTTCTGCCATTCAGCTCACATGTGCCTTGCTAGACACAGTGAACTAGGTGGGGGCAACCTGGCCGTCCTTTTCAGGGTTTCTAGCATCATTAAGAAGAAAAAAAAAGACAATGACCATTTGTCAAACCATCGCGGTAAGGAGAGAAATACACTAAGTTGCTCCTGGAAAATAAGCAAAATCAACCAAACGTTGGCACAAAAAGATCTATGTACGGTCACATGATCAGCCGAAGAAGACTTTCTTCTCATTTTCCCTTTGAAATGGAGGAAGAGACGTTCGTGAGTCAGCAGATAATTCTCACAAGGATTGCTGGGGGATCGGACTTATTTTAAGCCTCATGCCAAACTGAGCAACTTTCAGAGGAATTAACAGGGTTTCTGCCGCTGCCCGGATCCAGTTGTCCTTACTCATCCATGTGTCACTGGCATGCAGCCATGTTTGTTCCACTGAGGTGAGCATTGACTTCCCATCCGTTTCTCCCTCTGTGTGATAAGTGTGTTGTTTATCTAGTGGGAATGTGTATTCCCGTTTACTGACTCATGTGTGATGGACTGGGATAAGATAGATGGTCCTACCGGGTCTTTTTACCAGGCGAAGGTTGAGGAGGGGAGAAGAAGGGAGCGAGCGGCTGTAACCCTCCATCATCCTGACCTCCAACCCCTCAGACTCTATGCCACCGCCGCCTGTGAAAGAGACGGGGAATTCAAGGAGAATTTTGAGATTTGGGGGATTTGAAAGATGCCGCCTTGTGAAATCCTTTGAATCACCAAAAGAAACCTAGAATTGGAATAAAGGAATGTTTGTGAAAATGCACCCTTCTGACATGACGGGGTCCACTACATATAATGACTAATGAACTACTCACCACTGTGGTTCTTGCGGGTTTTCCCTCCCAGCAACATTTTCAGGCTGTTTCGGAACATATTTGCTGCCAACACACCCTGGGGAGAGAGATCGAGGGATGAATTGACTCTTTTTTTTCATTTCAGCTGATTAGTAATGAGGACCAATCATATTCATTGCTCTGTCAGCGCTGATGGCGTTGTTAGCGCTCCTGAGGCGGTTACCTAGGGGGTCGCCGCACAAGTGTTCAGGCGGCCAATCCAGGCGGTATCGATAGTAAGTCTCATTGGATCAAAGAATGCTGCAATGGCTGCAAGCAGAACTGTGACAATAATCATGTTTCTTCCTTTAAAAAAAAGGTTTAGAGTATGGATACGGGGCCATTCTGGATAGGGCACTTGTTAATTTGTGCTTTAGCGCAGTGGTCCACAACCACCACCACTTGGTACCGGGCCGCAGAAAATTATTTTTCATTTGACAATTTTATCTTGAAAAATGATTGGATTCTTTCCCAATTACATGCGTTGTCCCTCGTGACACATTTCTTAAGCCACACCCCTAACCCCATCCTCAACCCTGCTTTTGCATAGCTTAATCTGCAGAAAGTTTCCCTTTCCTTACAGGCAGAGGGACTATTATTACACACACACACACACACACACACACACACACACACACACACTCTCTTCTTTTTCTACGGTGTGACTTTTGAACACACCAAACATGCTGGCTGATAATGTTGTTTCTAGGCAACCGTCTGCCGTTGCTAAGCAATGCATTACTGAGTATGTGTGCTAGAATAGAAACCGCTGTGGCTGCGGATGTTTGCATACGTATGCTTTATTTGTGTGTGCGGTTTACAGTCGGATGCACACTTTAATATCATTGTGTCAAATGATAATCCTAAAGGCAAAACCTCGAGGGAGACGAGTGTTGATTGAACCCTTTCGATTAATCATACAACCCTTTCAGTTTGACAGTATGTTTAACACGCCCGCCATGAGCAGCGAGGGATATTATTGGGTAAAGCCTGTCACTAATATTTTCTCTGTTGCTCTTTCTTGCCACTACTCTCTCTCAGAGCTGATTAGAAAAACAGCAGCAAGCAGATGGCAGATTAAAATAGCACAAAGGCTTCCTTTTTTCTCATTCACACAGGGAGAACACACACACACACACACACACACACACACACACACACACACTTTCTTGTTGAAACGTTATAATGGATAACATTAGCTGGCTAATGTTGAACCCATTAGCTGGCTAATGTTAGCGTAGCGTTATATTTCACGGTTAGGACTTGGTGTATTGTTTGTAGGGTAAGAGCCCTCACACCAACATCCAAGTGTATGCAGATGACACTGTAATTTACTTGCATGGTAGCAAATTGGAACAAATTGCAAATCATCTCACTAAGTCTCAGGTGAAAAAGGTCAAATTCACTCTGTCGAACTTGAGCTTCACACAAAACTACATGTCAACAGAAGCGGCTAAGACATACTTGCTTTATATGGTTGTTTCCCCTGCTGTCTAACAAGCGGGTCACAGGCTCGCACCCCTACTCGAAAACTACTACATTGATTGTATTAACAGACACACAGGTTGTAAAAAACAACACGTACAAGTCTCATGTACAAGATTACCCATGGCTTGATGTCTCCTCCGCTCAAACAGTTTGTTATCTCAAGAGGAACTAGATATCGGCTCACAAGAGGGGCAGCGAGAGAGGATTGCATTACCCCGCTCAGGAAAAGTGCTGTCAGTCCGTTTGCCTTTTCAGTACAAGCCGGACTACAATGGAACTCCATCCCAGTGACCATTAGAGAAATACAAACATATAGTTCATTTAAACTCATTTAGACAATGGATAGTTGGTGGCCTGCTCTGTCAGCACTAGCATGTAACTGCACTTCTGTCTGTGTTGAACTTCCCTGTTTGTCTGCTGTCACCGGCCTGTCGGTCTTGAAATGGCCGGTCATACATGTTCTTTTGGTTGTTTTGCTGTGTCTGACCGATTTATGTATTCCACGCACGCTGTCATGTTTAGTACCTCTGACCTCAATGTTTGTCCTTTCTCTAATAACTGCAAGTATTGTTTTTAGTCAGTATTCCTGTTTGAACAAATTCGTCACTCATTTTATTTTTCTTTGTGTGTGTTGACTTTGAGCCTCTGTGTTGCAGGTCTTGTGCGGACTTGACAATGTTTTATTCTCACTTGTTATATTGTTTGAGCATGCATTGTAAAGCATCAATATTGTTTGACAATTTAAACATTCTTTTCCTAATTTTAGGTTTATTTTGTAACATCTGCGACTTGGGACTACAGATGAAAAAAGGCCTTACAGCTAACTGGTGTTTTTATTATCTGTCCCAACGTAGGATTAGGATTTGGTTTGAGGGTTGAGTTCAGGGTTAAACTTGGGTTGGTTAATATTTAACTTTGGCATCACGGTAAATTTGGAAAGTTAAGACATTGGTACGGTCAGGGTAATTTTATACAGTTATTAATGTAGGCAAATATAATGTCGTCTTTAATTACTGAAACTATTGTGTGTGTGTGAGAGAAAGTGTGAAAACGTAATACATATTCTTTCATTCCAAAAGTTGTATGCATCTACTTTTTTAAAAATTAAACAAAGTATAATAAATAAGAGCAGAAAAACATCTAAGGGGTAAAGACTTACCTTTGTCCCCCTCTGTTGTCCACCAGTGGTCACTGCAGTATGCTTACATTCATTTACTGACTCCCTTTTGACTCGGTTCTGATGCCTTAGGTCGCACCTACATCTATTTTCCATTCAATTCATGATATTGTCATAACAATAACAACCCATTATATTTATTTATTTTTATAAATATAAAATACATACTTAAATGTACGCTCTACTACACACTAAATACACTAATACACTGACATGAGCATGGTGCTCATGACTTTCACTTTAACACACATGCACGCAGCACGCACACACACATGGCAAATAAACAGGGACACGATAAATGAGATAGATCGGTGTGCTCTCTTAACCGGAGGGGAAATTAGAGATCTGTGTGACTTACGGAGCGCAAAGACTACTTTTTAAATTCACGGATAATATAATGAAATTACCAAAAACACGTATTAGAAACCTTTATCAGCTCTTAAAAATGAAAAACAATTGACCTCCATGGTCTGCACCTATCAAAGAAAGTACTCGGCACTTCAAACTGCAACTGGTTCTGTTATTTCATCACTGGAGGACTCTGCAAAGGAGATCATCACTGGCGTGTCTGGGTGAGGTGAAGTCATTTACTTGCATCAGTCTCGTTAAGGTCGCTCACTGTTAAAGAGAACACAAAATATAAAAGAGTCAAAGAACCATGTTGTATGAAGCGTGGTGGAACGTGATGTTACCACAGCAACGGTGCAGAAGTGACTTTTAACATGGGGCGACAATTTAGAAAATCAATTTTAGGTGACTACTCAAGACTGCAATCATCCTGGAGCAAAGAAAACGCTTTTTTAGGTTTATTCCAGACGGAGCAGTGATAAAAGAGAAGCACGGCCCATAATAAATAAATAAAAAACACACAACTATTGAAAACATTGATAGTATAGGGCCCATGGTGCAGCGCGCAAAAGAAACACTTTTCACAAGTGTTTCCACGGCGACGAGATGATAAAAAAAAGAAGAGTAAAACAAGGAAACAGGTGTTGGAGGA